CCAAATTTAATATGACAATTTAAGGCGGAGCCGAACTTCAACAGAGGCGAAGCAATTGAAGTAAGTGACGACTGCCTCAGCTGGCACCTCTCTCAACGGTTAAGTTTTAGAACGATCGACTATTGACTGACTCATTGGCACGTTATTTATTATGTAAATAAAAGTAGATAATGATAAAAAGAATATGATATTCAAACATGGCACTATATCACTTCAGTTAAACGTTTATTCTAATTCCTTAAAGCTCTGTGACATTTTGTACACCATAAAAGTTATTTTTATTAGAAAATTTAAAAACTGCGATTTTGTTAAAAAAACAACAACAACAACAACAAAAAACACACAAAATCGAGCCTAAAATTTTCCCCATTGCAGTATGGGCAAATGCATATTTATACTAGACGCCGCTTGCTAATAAAATTATGCATCATATTTATATACATGTACTTTACATGTATCGAGGATAGCAACAGTCTAAAAGCAAATTAATCATTAAACTACAAAAACTCAAATCAACAACATCTCAAACTCATTGATCCCAACACGGATTTAAATTACAATTCAATTAAAGTCCGTGATCCCAACAAAAATTGTCAGCTTATATATCAGTTAAACCCTTTTGTTTGCACATGCAGCTAACGTTATGTGCAAAAGTAGACTGGCCGCGGAAGCCAGCCTGCACGACTCCTTGTGCGACTTGAATGCTGCGCGTGCTGATATGCATTGACAATGTCCAAAATGGCGCACAAGTGGTTCAGGTATACAGACTGTTGTGGCCGAGTGGTTAAGGTCGTTGACTTCAAACCACTTGCTCCTCACCCTGTGGGTTCGAATCCCGACAGAGACTTTGGACTCTTTAAAATTAATGTGAGGAAGCTTTCCAGCTACCTTACGGAACGTCGGTGGTTCTACTTGGGTTCCCGTTCGTGCCTGAAATAATGCACGGAAGGGCACCTGAGATCTTCCTCCACCAGTAAAGCTGGAACGTCGCCATATGACCTATAATGTGTCGGTGTGACGTAAAACCCAATTAAACAAAATAAACAAACAAGTACATGCAGCCTGTATATAAACAAAGCAGTAAGGAAACCTTATATTTTTTGGAGATGATAAAGGGCATAAAATAGTGCGATCTCGTTGTTGTGCGATTTTGCCATAATTAGAACAAGCCTGCCTTGGAAAGGTGATTCTACGCGACCTTTACTGGCTTCGTGATGAGGAATGAAAACACACACTATATCTAAGCTCTAGGCCTTTTTCTTTCAGAGGAGACGTTTTTTAAAAAATTTACCAAATACATATAAGGAAAATCAATGACCCCCTGGGGCGAGGTTAATTTTGACCCCAGGGCTATAATTTGAACGATTTTGTAGAGCTTGATTAGATGTTTTTGCACACAAAATATCTTAGTTACAGGCCTTGCACTTTCAGAGGAGAAAATTTTTAAGATTTTATTATATGTCCATAATGAAAATCAATGACCCCCAGGGCGGGCCAATTTTAACCTTGAATATTTTTTGAGTTTCATAAGACGATGTAACACACAAAGTAGTTTTTACTATTCCGAAACGTTCATAAAAATAAAGATTTAAACTGAGAGAAGTCTGAAGTAAACAAAGTTTAAAATAAATTTGTCATCTTTGCTTCCAAATGCTATTCCTTACGTAATTATTCATTTTCGTGCAATTATATTTGCATAGTTTCTAAAATATTCGTTTCCACTATTTTAACAATAACTAAAAATTCTTATAGAACCATTTTGCATTTCAATATCAACTTAGAGCACGGTTTATGCATTTCTTAGTGCTTTGGAAATACCCGGTATAATCCGTAAGGAGGATAAGTCGATAGATTAACAGAGGTGAAATATGTACGGAAGCCTATGAAGCCATTTCAAGTTTTCACTAAGCATTCCGAAATTAGAACAAGAGTTCATATGTTAGGATAATTTGTACACATTCTGTTCGTTCTATTAGATTTTGGCACGAGAATAAATGGAGAACTGAAATTGCTTTTATACTTGTTACATTTTTCTGGTCCTTTGAGTTCCATTAATGATTCTTTTACTTTAGTGTGTGAAAGTGTACGCGCATAAGTCGCTGCTAGGGACCGTCCGAACTTTTGCATCAAACATTATCTCGTTTGAACATAATGAACAGACAAAACCAAACCGAGGCTCCCCTTATAGAAATCCAATGCCAATTTAATGCAGCAAATTGATCTAAAGAGTAGTACTATAAAATATATCAATAAATCAAAGGATCGAAAATGCACAAAAAGTAGAAAAAGCAAAATGCCTAACATGAAAATATCTATCTACATAAAATGTCGGGACATTATTCCTATTCCGCCCCAAACACCATTTTAAACACAAAAGTGAATTGTCTGAATGGTCTGAAATCGAATTAGAAAACACTGGAAACCTGAAACTAGTGACAAAACAATAATTAACAAAGCTGAAACAAATATATATGTTAGAAATTCATAAAGTTTGTATGAATAATTTTTTGAAGATGATTATCATACAGAGTGCCAAACCTTTATTGGAGCCCACCTAGCTGAATCTACCAAACCAGTAAATAGTTCTTAATCATTGTCAAATATCTATGTACATGTCATCCTCTGTATATTCAGCACAAATGAACATGCAGAACCAGCTCCAACAATTTGTACGATCAATTTAAATGAAATAGATATTCAAATAATCACGGCTAGTCAGTCTCATGGTGACTATGAGTGAACAAATTGAAGATATGGTGAAAGCAGAAGTAAGCAAGCAGATTGATGAACATGTTGTATTTCTACAGAGACAGGTTATTTACCTTTAGTTAGAGAGTTGATCAGTTAGAAATTGAACATGACAATAAAATACATGTCTCGCTTATTTATATCTATAGATGAACTCTCCTTTTACAGTGTTATCATACACGTTCCGACCGTTCTGCTGATAGTCATGGTGGAATCCTAGTATATGTAGGGATCCTCTTACAACTTAATTATCTTCGCAATGATCTTGAATCTCTTAGTATTGAATTTGAAATCTGTGTTATAAGCAAATGTCTCCTTCTTGGAGTATTTTATCGTCCACTTAATTCTAATTCTGTTCTGTCGAAAATTGACGATTCTATATGCCTGGCATTTTATCAGACATCAAAGGCATACTCATCACTGGAGATCTCAACTTGGACTACAGTGCAACCACCCCACAACAGCCAGCAGCCGGACAGTCCTAAATTGGCTGATGTGAAAGGTGGTTGTTGTTTAGAGGATTTGTGTCACGGATAAAACTTTTAATATTTTTTTATGTTTTTGAATTATGTAGGGCTGTAGAGACATAACGAATTGGGAATACAGGACCCTTTCATGTGGTTATTATCGATATATAGGTTTTCATTACTTAAACATTTTTGATGCTGATAGCCGGACATAATTTGATCATAAAAACCGTCATGACTTTTATATTTATGCGGGCAGGCACAGAATTTCTCGTCCAGTATCCATTTTAAAATTGTAGAATACTTGGGACATTAACAACTACAGCTTAAAAAGCTACCCGACATGCAGCTCAACGTTATCTTGGAGGAAACCGAAGTGTATTAAAGTCCTAAGTGTTTAAGCAAACACAAATCATATACATGTACAACGATTACTCTGTTCATTCATATTTCATTTTAACTTTAATTCAACAAGGTCAAAAGTTTCATGTCATGGGGTTCATGTCTATATAGAGACAGAAGAAAGTTTTGCTTTCCATGCATGATGTACATATATTGGTTTAATTATAGAAAACAAGCACGTAACAAAACCACAACACATGTATGCAATGCAAATATCACATTCCAACAAATAAGCACAGCAATTAAAAAGTCTAGATATATATGTCCATCTCAAATTTTTGGACAGTAATCAAACAATTCATAAAAATCCATACCTAAACCTAAAGAACATAAACATAACGATCAGATATTTAAAACAAACAGTGAAACAAACAAACACTTTTATTAATATCTTCTAAGCACAAACTCAATTACACGACTTTAAGACACTTGCACCAAACCATGCCAATAATTTCTGTTGAACTTGCTTCTCTTCTCTACAATCTCTTTAACTATTCAATGCATACAGTGTAAGTTCAAGCTCAGTGGAAAGTTTCCCAAGGATGTGCCATTTATAAGGAAACGACTTGCAACAAGATGTCAGTTATTATAGACCAATATTTCTGCTCAGTGCCTTCAACAAAGTTCTTGAGCGTATATTTCATAAATAAATACATGTATTCAAAATTTATGAGGAACATCTTTTTCTCTCGACCCTACACACTGGTTGTATGCCAAGATTCTACTGCTTAAAATCATTCTCTTAATCAACTCACTCCCATCAATCAACTTTTTTGCCAAGCCTCAGAAGGTTGCAAAAAAACGGTGGCAAAGAAGTAAGAGCTGTTTTTGTGACATATCTAAGACTTTCGACCGCGTCTGGCAGCGTATTCTACTCTTCAAACTTCATCAAAGTCGTGTCTCTGGTTAATTCTTACTCTTTGGCACAACAATGGTTTGTTTCCTTCAATCCCTTGAATACAGAGTCTCTTATTCACCCACGTAAATACAAATACGCCCCGTCATACGACACTTCATACGCCCCATAATATACCCGTCATACACCCCATCATACGCCCCGTCATACACCCCATCATACACCCCATCATACGCCCCATAATACGCCCCATAATACACCCCATCATACACCCCATCATACGCCCCATCATACACCCCATCACACACCCCATCATACGCCCCATAATGCGCCCCATAATACACCCCATAATACACCCCATCATACGCCCCATCATACGTCCCATAATACACCCGTCATACACCCCATCATACGCCCCGTCATACACCCCATCATACACCCCATCATACGTCTCATAATACACCCCATAATACACCCCATCATACGCCCCATAATACACCCCATAATACACCCCATAATACGCCCCGTCATACCCCATCATACACCCCATCATACGTCCCATAATACACCCCATCATACGTCCCATAATACACCCCATAATACACCCCATAATACACCCTATAATACGCCCCATAATACACCCCATCATACACCCCATCATACGCCCCATAATGCGCCCCATAATACACCCCATAATACGCCCCGTCATACACCCCATCATACACCCCATCATACGTCCCATAATACACCCCATCATACGTCCCATAATACACCCCATAATACGCCCCATAATACACCCCATAATACGCCCCGTCATACACCCCATCATACACCCCATCATACGTCCCATAATACACCCCATCAAACGTCCCATAATACACCCCATAATACACCCCATAATACACCCCATAATACGCCCCATAATACACCTCATCATACACCCCATCATACGCCCCATAATGCGCCCCATAATACACCCCATAATACGCCCCGTCATACACCCCATCATACACCCCATCATACGTCCCATAATACACCCCATCATACGTCCCATAATACACCCCATAATACGCCCCGTCATACACCCCATCATACACCCCATCATACGTCCCATAATACACCCCATCATACGTCCCATAATACACCCCATAATACGCCCCATAATACACCCCATAATACGCCCCGTCATACACCCCATCATAACACCACATCATACGTCCCATAATACACCCCATCATACACCCCATCATACGTCCCAAAATACACCCCATAATACACCCCATCATACGCCCCATCATACGTCCCATAATACACCCGTCATACACCCCATCATACGCCACATCTTACACCCCATCATACGCCCACTATACGTCCCATAATACACTCCATCATACGCCCCGTCATACGCCCCATCATACACCCCATTATACGCCCCATAATACACCCCATCCACGAGTATGCTGACACTGTTTATTACAACATCACCCTAGGTGAACAGAAACACGTTGAACGCTGCTGTATTTGTTTCTGATGCTACTTGACTTGGTTTTTTATGTAACCTATACAAGAAAAACTGCCTTAGAACCACATAAAGGCTTTAGCAATATAATTTTATTCATTTTTTTACTCTCTCGCTCCCTTATATCTCTTAAACCGTGTTCCTCATCTGTTGGTCGTAATTCTCCTTTCTGATGATATAAGAAATGTCCACTGTAACTCTAGACTTTTTTCAATTTTTTTCATTCTATGAACGATAAAGACTTGGAGTTCTTTAGCACCCAACATCCGCAACACACCAACTCTATCATCTTTCAAAATGCTTTAAGCAGGGACATTATAGAAGTTCTAAATTCACGAAATTTCTATTACGAGCCTCAATCCTACATGCTGGATTACGCATGCGCTGTAGCTCTGTCACAGAAAATATCTGTTCAAAAATATCATTGAAAACTCAATATTCACTTGTCGTGAAATTGATGATACAAAACACTTTCTTCATTTATGTCCACATTACATAAATCAACACTTCACAATCTCAGCAATATCATGACAATCAATGAAAATGTACTTCTCTCTGGAAATATAACTTCCGGGAATCTGATGCTTATATGACCATTTTCATGTACACGAATGTATACACAAACACAGAGATTCAATCGCTTGTTCGAATCTGAAATCGCTTCTTTCCAGAGTAAGACCCACCCATCTTTAACTTTTTTTCTTCAAATGACACTTCTAGGCTTCCGTAGAAAGTTGAATAGCCTAAGTAAAAAACAACTTAACCCACTGTGCGTAAATAATGCATAAATTCATAATTCGTTATACAACTTGCTTTTAATCTTTGTGTGTGTCTGCATGTACGTAAAAAAACCTTTTACTTTTGAAAGTTTTAATGCCGACATGTTAACGATGGAAAGGACAATAATTCAGACTACTTTTTGTGCACATGTATAGCATAAGAAAATGAACATTTTTCTCATTAAAAATATTGGACATTTATTAAAAGTTTCACTGGGGCGAAATAAAACGGAAACAATTTGAGAAAACGACACCAAAGTCAAAAGGTTTAATTGACTTTTGAAAGACCCTCCCCTTAGAGTATCGTCTTAACATTGTATTGTACTTTTGTTTATTCGCTCGTGAATAAATGAAAACGAACACTGATTTAAGAGATCTGTTTAAAGATATCAGCGTTATCTATGAAAATAAAAGTGAAATATATTATTACTAGTTATAAATAACACAAATGTATTAATTGAAATACTTTCAACTGTACAAATCAGGAGGCATTTTCACGGTAGACAAAGTTATTGTCTTAGATTGGAAATATAGAGAGAGTGAATTATAATACATACTGGAATGAAAATATAATGTACATGACCTGTTGACAATATGTAAACTGTAAATGTTTTAAAATATGTTTGTTTAAGTGTCTATGTAAGCTAAACTAACAAAATTTATAAATCCACGCTTCGAGGACAGAGTGTTGACTGTTGGAAATGCAGGCATGGCAAGCTATGATATGGTAAGTTTTAGAACATATGATTTCTTTTTTTTTACATATATTACATATACATTTTTTTAAATAAGGGGTAAAAGGCAATGTGTATATTTTTCTTCTTTAGAAAGGAAAACATTTGTGATTTATACTACTTAAATGTTCATATAGAGGATGTTTGACGTTCATGTGAGAAAAGTAACGCTGAATTTAAAGTAGTTTGTCATTAATGTAACAAAATGTTAACGAAGTGGGATTTTGAATTCCATGCGACTTAAGTACAAAAGAAACTAAATCATTATAACTACATGTATATACTATATTCAAAAATAAGGTTGTAATTTATGACTAATGTGTTGTAAAAGGGCGCCGAAAATAAAACATGTTTGTGAAATGAAAAAAAAAATCATTTTAGGGGCCTTTAATCCAGATGATTAGTATTCAATAATTGATAGTGCCTACTATATATATGCAAAAATACATTTGTCTTGTTCCCAATGATGGATCTTAATTTATCCAAAGAAACAATGCAGCAGACTGACAGCTTAATCACAGTAAAAACTTTCACACAATATTGCTCTGATGAAATACACCGTTAAATTCTGTACCTTTCCTCTTTTCTGAAAACATGGAAGTTTATGGGATGTTCAGCGAAACATTAGTAAGCATCTGAAAAAAAAATCTTTTTTATATGTAATCATGATTCTATCCTGAATACCAAGTGGAATTAGAAACGAATCAAATGATCAATGAATCAAAGCCGATCAGAGCCAATTTGATTTCAAAATTTATCTTTCAACATTATAAATACACATTTTTGCCTGGAAAATGTCTTTGTTGTGTAATGATATTAATATTAACTTCTTACAGAATGTGAAACATATACACTATGAAATCTATGTTTCTTGCATATTAATAGATTTTTTTTATTAACGCGACGTGGCTCTTTTTCCTTGTCTAAAATTTCTATTTTGTTGTGTTTCTATAGAGTTAGTTGGAAACCATGTTTCATTATTTGTTATCAAAATTTGGTATGTCTTTTCTTTTGTTACCATTAATCTTGTTTAGAAGTTTTGAATAGAACAGATGTTAAAAGAGATCGTACAGTACAGATAAAAATTATAGCTTACGAAGACTTCTGGTTAATCAGCAAAGATTACAGTAGTTAAGATATTTGAATAAACGCCTCGGTATCCAGACATCGTCATGTAGTCAACATTCTAGTTAGGTCTCATGTCATAAAATAAAAAAAATAATGTGATCCACTTCATATCACAGAATATGAAAAAATGTGACCCATTACTCGTATTTCACATAAAAAGGAACAAATGTGACCCACTTTATGACACGGAAAACGAACAAATATTACCCACTTTATGTCACACATAACGAACAAATATGACGCATTTTATGTCACACGAAACGAACAAATATGACCCACTCATGTCACAGAAAACGAAAAAACAATACCCACTTCATGTCACAGAAAACGAACAAATGTGACCCACTTTATGTTACGAAAACGAACAAATATGACCCACTTCATATGTCAGACATAACGAACAAATATGACCACCTTCATGTCACAGAAAATGAACAAATATGACTTACATGTACTTCAAAATTGAAGTTAATAGACGTGCTCGGACCCGGAATGCAGAATATTTTGGATTTTCCAAGCTAACGTTTACATTTACATCATCGAAAATAAACAAATTGACAAATCTGTCTAAGACCATCTTTCCGAACAGTTATTTGTTTACTTTGTAAATTCATTTCATTATGTTTTTAAAAAGTAGAGAGGTCATGAAAAGGTTGTATGAATTTAGACAGCATGAAATAAAACAAACACATGTCACTGAAAATTAGACTCGAGTCTTCGTTTAACTGATATTATAATGGTGTGTTTATTGCATCTATTTGCAGGAGGAAGAGCATATCCCAGAGGAAAGAATAGAAGGTGACATATACTCTTCTCTTTGCTTGTTGTAAAAGTCATTGGTAGCCAGGTCTCTATTTAAATATGATGCTGAGATTATTATCAAGTTCTGATATGGTAGACAATTATTATGTGCAACATCTGTTACATTTTTCAACTGCATAAATAACCACCATCCTTTTTTGGGTTATAATGTGGAATATGGTGGGCTAATTGTATTCACGAAGCATTCGGGTTAATACATGTATGTTCTAAAGACAATCTCAAAAATAATCGAATAAGATACATTTTCATTTGCTTTTAGTCAATTTTCTGTCTTACATTAGTTTGCCATTCATGTGCAGCCATTATCTACCTCCTAATGTATGAAATGATATTTAATGAATATGGGACAGTTTTGAACTGTTTATTATCAATTTCATGATGAAAATTAAAAGCCTACGAAATTTCAAGACGAAATTTATTAGCACACGTAAAACAGGTCGGTGAGAATGTAGTTATGTGCAGCTATACTGTTTACAATGGTCATACCTCCGGTACCAGCAGAATTGTGAGGATTACAGTGGATAGATATTGTATCTGCTTGCACTTTCTCGCAAGTTTACTATAGAATCAAGGATATACTTTCTTATAATATTATATTCATTTCATAGAGTTCCGGGAAGCTTTTTCTCTATTTGACGAAGATGGGAACGGTGAAATAGCAATTGATGAACTAATTAAAACATTGCAAAGTTTAGGTAAAAACCCATCGCAAGAGGAAATCAATGAATTAGTTCGTGATTTTGATGCAAATGGTAAGGATGTTGTTTATTTATATATATACATATTTATAAGGAATGTACGGAATGCCGTTAGGACCATTGCCTATGAATGTGTTGACATGAAACGCGATAGTCGATAGTACGATGGTGAAAACGCGAAATCACGAAACTACGATGGTGAAAACGCGAAAGTACGATGATGAAAACGCGATAGTACGATGATGAAAACGCGACAGTACGATACTACGATGATGAAAACGCGATAAACTATCGTGTTTTCACCATCGTACTGTCGCGTTTTCACCATCGTAGTTTCGTGATTTCGCGTTTTCATCATCGTACTGTCGTGTTTTCATCATCGTACTATCGCGTTTTCACCATCGTACTATCGCGTTTTCATCATCGTACTGTCGTGTTTTCATCATCGTACTATCGCGTTTTCACCATCGTACTGTCGTGTTTTCATCATCGTCCTATCGCGTTTTCATCATCGTCCTGTCGCGTTTTCATCATCGTACTGTCGTGTTTTCACCATAGTACTATCGCGTTTTCACCATCGTACTATCGCGTTTTCATCATCGTACTATCGCGTTTTCATCATCGTACTATCGCGTTTTCACCATCGTAGTTTCGTGATTTCGCGTTTTCACCATCGTAGTTTCGTGATTTCGCGTTTTCATCATCGTACTGTCGTGTTTTCATCATCGTACTATCGCGTTTTCACCATCGTACTATCGCGTTTTCATCATCGTACTGTCGTGTTTTCATCATCGTACTATCGCGTTTTCACCATCGTACTGTCGTGTTTTCATCATCGTACTATCGCGTTTTCATCATCGTACTATCGCGTTTTCATCATCGTACTATCGCGTTTTCACCATCGTAGTTTCGTGATTTCGTGTTTTCACCATCGTACTATCGACTATCGCGTTTCAGATTAACACATTCATAGGCGATGGCCCTAACGGCATTCCGGAATGCCGTTAGGGCCATCGCCTATGAATGGTTTGATCTGAAACGCGATACTCGACAGTACGATGATGAAAACGCGAAATCACGAAACTACGATGGTGAAAACGCGACAGTACGATGGTGAAAACACGATAGTTTATCGCGTTTTCATCATCGTAGTATCGTACTGTCGCGTTTTCATCATCGTACTATCGCGTTTTCATCATCGTGCTTTCGCGTTTTCACCATCGTAGTTTCGTGATTTCACGTTTTCACCATCGTACTATCGACTATCGCGTTTTAGATCAACACATTCATAGGCGATGGCCCTAACGGCATTCAGTACATTCCGGAATGCCGTTAGGGCCATCGCCTATGAATGGTTTGATCTGAAACGCGATACTCGACAGTGCGATGATGAAAACGCGAAATCACGAAACTACGATGGTGAAAAGGCGACAGTGCGATGGTGAAAACACGATAGTTTATCGCGTTTTCATCATCGTAGTATCGTACTGTCGCGTTTTCATCATCGTACTATCGCGTTTTCATCATCGTGCTTTCGTGTTTTCACCATCGTAGTTTCGTGATTTCGCGTTTTCACCATCGTTCTATCGACTATCGCGTTTCAGATCAACACATTCATAGGCGATGGCCCTAACGGCATTCCGTAGGAATGTGTTCATATATATGAACTTAAAGGGGGGGGGGGGGGGCAGCTGTTTTTTAAATTAACAAGAACTGTCGGAGGAAAGTAAGGCTCGACTATTCGAAAAAGCTGTCACAAGGGGGTGTTTTATTGAGTGTAATTATTCTTACCTATATATATATGAATACATAAAATTGACCGAAAAGGTACAAAGGCTTGTTATTAAGATGTTTTATCAAGTAAATCACTGCTTTATTATTATGAATGCATAAAAATGTCCCAAAAAAGGCACAAACCCTTCAGTGGTTATGGAGATAACAGCTTACAAGCAAAACTTTACAATGAATTTCTAAGTTGAAAAAGGGGAGAAAATCAGCCTAAATGCAAGATAGAATTATTGATTTTGGTCAGTGACCTACAATTATGACCCTAAATGCATATGTGAAGTTTTAAATAAATTTCTTTAATAGTTATTGAGATATGTAAAACTTGCATGTAAACATTAACCAAGAGACTAAGTAGAAAAGGGGAGATAAATCAGCCTAAATGCAAGATAGAGTTATGGAACTTGGTCAGTGACATACAATTATGACCCTTAATGCATATGTGAAGTTTCAAATCAAAATCTCTGATAGTTATTGAGATATGTAAAACTTACATCTAAACATTAACCAATTAAGAGACTAAGTAAAAAAAGGGGAGATAAATCAGCCTAAATACATGATATGAGGACTGTTCAGTGATCATCATTTATGACCACAAATATACATATGAAGTTTCAAGTTTGTATCTTTAATAGTTTCAGAGATGTGCAAAACTTGCATGTTAAACTTAACCAAGAAAAGGAGATTTTTTTAGTACAAAAGGGAGCATAATTCAGTCAAAATACATGGCAGAGTAATGAATCTTGAGATGTGACCTTCAATTATGACCCTAAGTACATGTGTAAAGTTTCAAGTAAATATCTTTGAAGACCTTTAACCAAAATTTCTAAGTTTCAAAGGGGCAAATAATTCTGCAAATATTGCAGGCAGAGTTATGCAACTTTGCAAACTGATGTACATTGTTACTATAAATAAGTATTGTAAGTTTCAATTGAATATCTCAAGCAATAATTGAGATATTTGACTTTACAAAAAACTTTAACCAAAATTTCTAAGTTAAAAAGGGGCATAATTCTGTAAATATTGTAGGCAGAGTTATCCAACTTGTCAATCTGATGTACATTGATACTATAAATAAGTATTGTAAATTTCAATTGAATATCTCAAGCAATAATTGAGATATTTGACTTTACCACCGCAGACGCCGACGCCGGGGCGACTATAATAGCTATCCATATTCTTCGAATAGGCGAGCTAAAAATGTTATTTTTAGATAAATAGTTACATCAAAAGATAAAAATATAGCGGCGTTAATACACAACCATCATTACCGCTTATCTACCTTTCCATTCTCTATATGTAAATTAGTAAAGTGGACGATTCATATTTTTTTTGTTACAAGGATTATTACTTTAAACAACAAACAAACAAGAAAAGAAAACACATGCATACGATATCATTTAATTTTGAGTCATTTTACACAATGCAAATGATTATTACCGAAAATCCAAGGAGCAAATGATGTGAAATTTTGTACACAATTTAAGTTATACTTGTCGAGACTAATCAAGTGAAAAAAATATTTCCAGTCCCGTCACGATAAAAAGAAACAACAAAACCATCAGTTTGATGAAAAGAAACAAACTAATACTGGCATAGCGAACGGTATTACACAGCGTCTAGCTTGGCGATAACCCGATTTGTTCTCATTTTCTTTTCTGTAAGGAGATGGTGTGATCGATTTTGAAGAATTTAAAGTGTTGATGCTCAAAAAGATGAAAAACACTGACAGTGCAGAGGATATAACAGATATATTTCATTGCTTAGATATTCGTCACCATGGATACTTCACTGCTAGAGACTTACATGCTGTTATCGTTGGTCTGGGAGAAAGTTTCACTGTAGACGAAGCTGAAGAACTAGTAAATGACACAAAAACTGAACATCCGGGAAAAATCAATTATGACGGTAAACTTTTTAAATTGATTTTATGAAAGAAATTTACTTGAAATAAGTAACGTACATGTTTAAAGATTTCAGTCTGAGTTTAATTAATACATAAAAGTAACTCAGATATATAGCCATCTTTAAGAAATAAAATTATTGTTTAAAATAAAAAGGGAGACTATTTATGAATGGTTATTGTTTGATAAATTGTTTAATGCATTATTTCCTGTAGTGTAAGTTAGTCAGCAATCTGTCCTGCGTGACTGCATATTTGAACAAACACTAACCTTCTTTAGAAGTGGTTGAAATTATGTTTTAAAAGTTTCAACAATGCGAGTTAATTTATCAAAGAATTTTGAATAATGGAACGAATTCATTAGACAAAATATAATTTCAACCACTAAAACATGTTATTTATAAATTTTACTCATTTGTCGAAAATGTGCACAGTTTGGTACAAAAGTCGTTGTAGTTGTTAAACAAATACCGATGATAATATTTTGTAAAATGAATTCACGAAATGCGTCATTAAATGTTCAATGTTATTTTCATTTCAGATTTTTGTCACTTAGTAAAGACTTTAACTGGGAGACAATAAAGATGAAAGTGCCTGTCGAGCATTGTATAATGTATCAATTGTTAATGGTCCGTGTTCAAGTTTTTAATTCTAAGATAACATTAATTGTGCTTGTTTATTTCGTACACAATTGCCTTTGTCCTTCATTTGTAATTATAAACATTATAATTATGCTATATTTAATGCTGAATAAACTCTAATGTTATAATGAGGATATTTGTTTAGTTCAGTGTAAGATCGGAATATATTTCACCGAGTGAGCACCAAAAGGTATATTTCACGAGTGGCGCAGCCACGAGTGAAATATGAACTTTTGGTGTTCACAAGGTAAAGTATATTTCGATCTTACACTAAACTAAACAAATTTTCTTTTTATTATAAGCAAAGAAACGTTTTAAAAAGACATTAAACCTAATGCTGAATGAAAAGCGCGCCAAATAATAATACAACGTGACGTCATTTACGACTTGGTTCCTAGTACTGTGCACGCTGGTATTTCACTGAAACAACGTAAGGGGCTAAAATTCAAAACAGTGAAATTATCAAATTGATAATTTCACTGTTTAAAAAAGTGAAATTACCAGTTTTATATCACTGATATATTTCTATAAACCACCGAAAAGCATGTAATAAAATATATAGAGGATATTTGTTTAGTTCAGTGTATAATCGGAATATATTTCACCGAGTGAGCACCAAAAGGTATATTTCACGAGTGGCGCAGCCACGAGTGAAATATAAAACTTTTGGTGTTCACAAGGTGAAATATATTTCGATCTTACACTAAATTAAACAAATTTTCTTTTTATTATATGCAAAGAAACGTTTTAAAAAGACATTAAACCTAATACTGAATGAAAAGCGCGCCAAATAATAATACAACGTGACGTCATTTACGACGTCACGTCATTAAGTTGGTACCAAGTTCTGTGCACGCTGGTATTTCACTGAAACAACGTAAGGGGCTTAAATTCAAAACAGTGAAATTATCAAAGTGGTAATTTCACAGTTTCAAACAGTGAAATTACCATTTTTATATCACTGATATATTTCTATAAACCACCGAAAAGCATGTAATAAATTATGTTATGTTATAATATTAACTGAACTAATTGATACTGGTTGGGGACCACCAAAACCGGACAACCACCTAACCCGGACGGCCCTGAAAATGCCTAATTTAGTATTTTCTTTGTTCAGTGGTTGTCAGTCACCTTTTTATCAACAATAAATGCATGTTTCTTCTAAAAATAAATAAATAAATTTATTTCAACCTCCGTAAATGGTAATATTTTAATGGCTATTACGTTGAAATTTGGGGGTCAAGAAAACAATGCTTGACGTCATATACCAGCTATAATCATTTGCAGAGTAAACAATAGAATTTCCAAAACTTCAGCATTTGTTGCTGAAATATTGTCTATCATGTTAAAAATTAAAAATCAAAACACCCAAGCCTTTATCTGAATTAAATCACGTCATGTAGGTACATAAATGTCCGGACATATATTATGGTACTGCAGTGTAGACAATTGAGGTAATTTTGATACCCTCCTTGTCGAGCCTCAGATATAAGTGTCAATACAATCAGAAATAAACAAACCAGTTTGTTAGTTAGGAGAAGAACCTAGCTGAACATTGTCATTATTATTATTATTCTTTTTTTGTCTCTAGGTTAAAAATTATGAAATCTGTACAGAAAAATGTTCAAAAAATGTCCGGTTGATGGTCCCCAATTAGTAATTGTTTATAATAGCATTTATTGTATTTACAATTATAATACATTGTTAAAAATCACGATCTGTGCAAGTGTCTTTCCACTTTGTTGTGCCATATAGTGAGAGAAATAATTACTTTTAAAAGTCATTTTAAATTATGCAGAAAAATTTTGTCTTATAGCACGATAGCGCAATTAACATAAAGGTTGTTTTTTTTAAAAAAAATGATGTTTAGCGTTCAATTATTTTTTTCCCACATAGTTTTTGTACATGTACAGTATAGACAATGATTCAAAGTGGCTTTTTATCACAGTTACCACAACGGTCCTACATATATTGCTTGAGAGGGGCATCCGTGGCCGCGTGGTTTAGGTCGTTAACTAAAAATCATTCGCCCCTCTCTATGTTCAAATCCGGTCTAGTCTTTGAATTCTTTCATGCGAGGAAACTATCCAGTAGCTTGTTCTAATCGTGTTCTCACTCGTGCCTATAATTATGCACGAAAGGACAATTGATGTCTCCCTCTACCAGTTAAGCTGGAAAGTTACAGTATGTCACCTTTACAGTGTCGGTGTTAATAAAATCCAAACAAACATTTCAGTTTTAAATAATAATTATCTTTGTAAAATCTAGCTAATCATTAAACTATCAGAAACAAGGGAAAACATAAGTGACAATTTACAATTTGAAATAAACTTAATCCAAATTTTAAGTCAAAGATTTATACATAAAATAAACAATATAAGACTAATGTATATACATTTCCTCGATCTCTACGTATATTTTACTTTAAACAGTTTAAACAATGGCGGTATGTTCATGTTTGTTTCAGAACAAATAACATATGTTCAAGAGCTAGTATTCCATGCTCATAAACATAGAAATTAAAACAAAGACATTTCTTAATTTAAACTTCAGGAGACTATTACATCTTAAAATTCTAAAAACAAAAACAAAAAAACAAAACAGATCAGTAAAATGATTACTCATATAAGGTTACTTTAAAAAACAACAACATGAAAATTATGTGTATAAAGCAGTTTCATGCCCAAGAACGCCCATAGCAAGTGCCACATCAAAATGATCCCGTACCAAAGCAAGACCAGCCTCGACTCCCACCATGTCGTCATATAAAAGTACAGTAAGAGGTACACGTGACCACCATACAAAGGCTGGCACCAGATATCCCGGCCTACTGCACATCACATCAATTAAAATGCAAATGATTGCCTGACACATAGTTTTAGGAAAAGATTTGAGTTTTTTTTCTTAGTTAAACATTCGAACGAATATGACTGAATAAAATAATTATCATCATTATAAGAAATATATGTCAATGTTAGTTTTGAAAAAAAAACAAGTGTACTGCAGTACAACAGATACGTTAACGATACTATATGCAAGTACAGTATAAATGAGTTGTCGAGCAATAAACAACGAAATATGTATACTGAAGATATATAAATTAAATGAAAACATTACATAGAAATGATGTATGAAAAGTATACGGAAGCTCGCCTTAAAATAAAAATATTGAACTGTTACGATATATAAATTGAAATTTTTTAGAATTATTTATTTCTGACCAAAAATGAATTACATTCCTTGTGAAAATAATAACCCTTCATCTGGCACCTTTTCATAGAAAAGAATCTTGGGTCTTCAATAATCTACTTCAAAGTATGACACAGAAACCATTATATTTAGGGCAGAGATTAAGAAGAAATCATGTTGACAATTTAAAGCCAAATGCTCATTAAACTTATGTCATTTCTTAGAAAAAGAACACACAACAACGACATTTTGTTCTAAAATAAAACTCTTTTCTTTTGGTGGCTTCATACCAACAACGTAACTTCGTGACTAGCGCAATGCGGTAATGGTATGCATATACGATACAGTTGTAAAGTTCATCGTGTGTATTGTATTAGAAAATGATTCAGTTCCATCACCCAGTTATGATTGAGAGATCATTGATGTGAACTCTGAAACAGAACAAAACATAGTTTTTCCCGTCTATACATTATTTCAAAATTTGATTCAAATACATGTTTATATAACAAGAAATACAAATGTGTGTAAACAAAAAAATCCATTTTACTGAAAAACTGCCAGGAAACCGAACCAATTATGCTTTAGTTACACATGTTAGATTATATATTGTATGTATTCATAGTTTACGATTCTATGCTTATTTAATCTAATATGTTCACATCATGTGAACATACATCTATCTATAGTTTGACAAGTTAAATAACCAATTATATAAAGAGTTGAAAGCCTATCTAAATATACATAAAATTTAAACAATGTTTACCAAGAATGTTGATTTCCCCGTCTCCATCAGCATCGGCTTCGTCAAGCATCTCATCTACTTCTTCGTCCGTAAGCCGTTCTCCCATAGTCGTCATAATATGTCGAAAATACTCTCGCGGAATGCTCCCTACACAATAGAACAAATGATATTTTAGCAGTTATACCCTCATAGAATACTCCGTTCACAATAAAACAAAATACCCTTTAGCAGTTTATACTCTCATAGAATACTACCTTCACAATGAATCATATGACAAATTAAATAATTTTGAGACACATTATTGTCCTTATACACCGACATTACAAATTTATAGTTATTTATAGGTCGAACTTCTTTACATTGGTCACTTTCACATAGAAAAGATATGATAGAAAGAGGTCAATTAATAGAAGCAGAGATCTAGTGGGTTAAAGTGATAATGGAGAAGGGGACAAACACCATGAGGTTGGTGTGGTGCTTGGTGTACACCACACCACTATCACCCAGAGCCTGGATCGAGTACCCGCAATATGGTACACCCGTCAGGAGGCATAGCGGAGGTAGACAAAGGGTGACGACAGTAGCTCAAGCCCTTTTGTTTATCCAGGCCGGTCGAGCACGGTTGGCAACAGCAATGCATCATCGTAATGACCTTCTAAATGCTTGTAATTAGACAGTGCGTAGAAGTTGCATGAGGATAATCTGCGACAAAGAAGATTGTATAAAAATACAATTGGCTCGTCGGCACCGCAAGGCTCGATTGGAATGGGCAAGTAGACCAGACAAAACAAACACTGGATACAGACATGTTCTCTTCACTGATGAGTCTACGTTTTGTCTAAACTTTACTGACGTGCGAAAGTCTGGATAAGACCTGGGAAAAGGTTTCAAGTCAGAAAAATTGCGGAGCACGATCGCTAAGGGGATGGGTCAGTTATAATGTTGGGAGGCACCAGCTTGGATGAACAAACTGACCTCGCTATGCTAAAATGAGGTTTATTGACTTCTCAGCTGCACATCAATGAGATGTTAGACAGCCAGGTTATTCTGTATGTCGGAGAAGTTTATTGTAATGGACGATAATAATCGTCCTTAAGAAGCCCGGGTGGTCCAGGACTACCTGCAGAGTAATGAGTGCCTTAATTGGCCAGATTTAATGGTTATCTTACATACTCAGACTTCATAATAAATGACTAATCAGATAAAAAAATATGTTATATATGAAGGACATATAAAGATGGCAAAAGACGTGTTATCAGTACATGATTTGATCACAGACGTTAGCAATGAATGTCATGCAAAATCTATTCTTTCTGTTCCCTTGATTTTTTTTTGATTTTTTTATACCAAACAAACTGAAAATGAAATTGTTTACCGTTTCCTTCTTTATCAAATACTTTGAAGGCTTCAGCTATAGCTTTGTGACTTGTAACATCCTTCTTGTTGCGAGACATCAAATCACAAAACTCATCAAAGTCTAATTCACCGTTACCTGAAGTATTGAAAAGAAAAACTTTATTCTTTCAGATTGGTGAATAAATACAGAATGTCATATGAACACATTTGTTTAAAAGCAGCTTTTCTTAGCAGTTGCGAGAGGGATTGACAGTACTGAGAGATAGATAAAAGTATGCAACAACAAACATTTATTTTAAAATTCTGAAGAATTTTCTTTACTTCAGTAGTTTGTTTTATACATGTAATAATGATCAGATATTTTAACATATACGTCGAAAATCTTGTCAGAAAACCTTATCCTACCTTTATAGTAACCCGCTGACCCTAAAGTTGTTGATGATAATCATACTAGACTTCAAGTATTACATGTTACCGTCGTTCCGGTGACTGGATTTTTCAGAAACTCATTCCCTAACTGTACCTAACATTTTGTCTAACATTTACTTGTGCTCGAAACACAGGTTTTTGGCCCTATAATAGAGTATATCTCTAACATTACAAATCTTACCATCAACGTCCACCTCTGTCATCATGCGTTCGAGTTCTTCGTCTGTAGGGTTCTTACCAAGGGATCTCATGGCTATAGCCAACTCCTTTGCTGTAATTGACCCGCTACCATCACGATCAAATATATTAAATGCTTCACGAAATTCTGAAAAACATGTATATAAAGTACAGTAACTGTTATGAATCAATTAATCAGTTATAATGTACTTGTTTTCCGAACAGTAACTCGACTTAGGAATAGTTGATGTTTATAGAGAGTCTGTCGCTTGATTCTTGGAGTGCTCTATCGCCATTTTTGTTCTTCTTAAAAATGAAACAGGCCATGTGCGTATACCGTGTGTAATTATAAAAATTGAAAAGAATATTACACCATTTTGCTCTGTCTCCAAAGTATGCAGATATGCAAAACAATTTACACCTGTGACAGTTTTTGTGAAAACAACCAGTAAAATATCTAAATGCTGAGAATCGTGAATCGTGAGTGTGTGGGGGTCAAATTGATTTTATTTAAAAGGATTGTCTGGACTTTTGCTTTCAAACAAAGTGGTGTTTAGTTATTATAATCTTCGGGAGATAAATCATACTATATTGATCTATCCGTTATTGTTTTGTTAGCAGCAGGAATTAGTCCATCACGGTACAACAATACAAGAATCGATTTCTAAAGCTCGTAAAATGAATCGTTTCATTAAGAATTCATAAATCGATTTGAATATATCAAAGAGTAAACTGCTGTGTGCTTATTTATTGATGGAAAAAGAAACGGTTGTGCAACTATCATTGTACATACGTCACATAAAAGTCCTGAGACAGCAGTACCTTTTGATAGCCGTGGCCTGAGACAATCATGTCTTGAGATAGCCGTACACCGAGACAATCATGTCTTGAGATAGCCGTACACTGAGACAGCTATACGCTAAGACACACGTGCATTAAAATAGCCGTGTCCTAAGACAGCCATGCTCTGAGGAAGTCGTGGCTCGATACAAACGTGTCCTGAGACAACTGTATCCTGATTCAGCTGGCCCTAGACAGCCACGCAATGAAACAACCGCGCACTGAAACAGCCATGTCAAGTGTCATGTAACAGCCTTGAACCCTGAAACAGTCGAGCCATTCCCTGAGATAGCCGTGTCATGATACATTCGTGTCATGGTACAGCCGTGCCCTGAGGCAGCTGTTCCCTGAGATAGCCGTGCCCTGAGACAGTCGTGCCCTGAGGCAGCTATTCGCTGAGATAGCCGTGTCATGATACAGTCGTGCCCTAAGGCAGTCTTGCCCTGAGGCAGCTATTCCCTGAGATAGCCGTGCCCAGAGACAGTCGTGTCCTTAGACAGTCGTGCCCTGAGGCAGCTATTCCCTGAGATAGCCGTTCCCTGAGACAGTCGTGCCCTTAGACAGTCGTGCCCTGAGGCAGCTATTCCCTGAGATAGCCGTACCCTGAGATAGCCGTGCCCTGAGACAGTCGTGCCCTGAGGCAGCTATTCCCTGAGATAGCCGTGTCATGGTACAGTCGTGCCCTGAGGCTGTTATTACTAAAGATACCCGTGTCATGGTACGGCCGTGTCATGGTGCCGTGCCCTGAGACAGTCGTGCCTTGAGGCAGCTATTCCCTGAGATACCCGTGTCATGGTACAGCCGTGCCCTGAGACAGTTTTGCCCTGAGGCAGCTATTCTTTAAATAGCCGTGTCATGGTACAGCCGTGTCATGGTACAGCCGTACCTTAGGCACTATTCTCTCAGATACCCTGAGACAGTCGTGCCCTGACACCCTCGTGTCCTGAGACTGTCCTGCCCTGAGACAGTCGTGCCTTGAGGCAGCTATTACCTGAGATAGCAGTGTCATGTTACGGCCGTGCCCTGAGGCACTATTCTCTTAGATACCCTGAGACAGTCGTGCTCTGAGACAGTCGAGTCCTGAGACAGTCGTGCCCTGACACAGTCGTGCCCTTAGCCAGCTATTACCTGAGATAGCAGTGTCATGTTATAGCCGTGTCATGGTCCAGCCGTGCCCTGACACAACTGTGTCTGTTTTGTACTTAAGTATTGTTTTAAAGAAATGTGCAATTACTATTAAATTAAACTATATGATCTACGGTAAATACATACCCTGTATCTCCTCTTCAGTCAAGTTACTGCCCTGAAAAATAAGTAATGAGAGTGTGTGAAAGGGGTTGCTTGATGACAGATCATTATATGAGCATGAGACACATGAATGGAGTAAAGTTTAGTCTACTTCATTTTAAATGCGTTAAAGCGAACTGGTCTATAAGGGGGATCTGTTACACCATCAATATTAATGTTGATTGCATTTACTATCAGTGAAAACAAACGGCGAAAGAATTATGATTAGTGTGAGATACATGATCCAATATGACATATCTTGTGGCAGATAATAAAGTTGACTAGAACAAAATATTATTACAAATGTATCATATATATACATGCTGTTCAGTCTATGAAGGTTTAACTACTGACACGCAAGTGTTACAGGCTGATAAAGTACATGGTGTTCAGTATATGAAGGTACAACTACTGGCACGCAAGTGTAACAGGTTGATAAAGTACATGGTGTTCAGTATATGAAGGTACAACTACTGGCAAGCAAGTGTAACAGGTTGATAAAGTACATGGTGTTCAGTATATGAAGGTACAACTACTGGCACGTTAGTGTTACAGGCTGATAAAGTACATGGTGTTCAGTATATGAAGGTTTAACTTCTGGCACCCAAGTGTAACAGGTTGATAAAGTACATGGTGTTCAGTATATGAAGGTACAACTACTGGCAAGCAAGTGTAACAGGTTGATAAAGTACATGGTGTTCAGTATATGAAGGTACAGCTACTGGCACGTTAGTGTTACAGGCTGATAAAGTACATGGTGTTCAGTATATGAAGGTATAACTACTGGCACCCAAGTGTAACAGGCTGATAAAGTACATGGTGTTCAGTATATGAAGGTACAACTACTGGCACGCAAGTGTAACAGGCTGATTAAGTACATGGTGTTCAGTATATGAAGGTACAACTACTGGCATGCAAGTATTACAGGCTGATAAAGTACATGGTGTTCAGAATATGAAGGTACAACTACTGGCACGCAAGTGTTACAGGCTGATAAAGTACATGGTGTTCAGTATATGAAGGTACAACTACTGGCACGCAAGTGTAACAGGCTGATTAAGTTCATGGTGTTCAGTATATGAAGGTACAACTACTGGCACGCAAGTGTTACAGGCTGATAAAGTACATGGTGTTCAGTATATGAAGGTACAACTACTGGCACGCAAGTGTAACAGGTTGATAAAGTACATGCTGTTCATTATATGAAGGTACAACTACTGGCACGCAAGTGTAACAGGCTGATAAAGTACATGGTGTTCAGTATATGAAGGTACAACTACTGGCACGTTAGTGTTACAGGTTGATAAAGTACATGGTGTTCAGTATATGAAGGTACAACTACTGGCACGCAAGTGTAACAGGTTGATAAAGTACATGCTGTTCCGTATATGAAGGTACAACTACTGGCACGTTAGTGTTACAGGTTGATAAAGTACATGCTGTTCAGTATATGAAGGTACAACTACTGGCACGCAAGTGTAACAGGTTGATAAAGTACATCTGTTCAGTATATGAAGGTACAACTACTGGCACGTTAGTGTTACAGGTTGATAAAGTACATGGTGTTCAGTATATGATGGTACAACTACTGGCACGCAAGTGTAACAGGTTGAAAAAGTACATGGTATTCAGTATATGAAGGTACAACTACTGGCACGCAAGTGTAACAGGTTGATAAAGTACATGGTGTTCAGTATATGAAGGTACAACTACTGGCACGCAAGTGTTACAGGTTGATAAATACATGGTGTTCAGTATATGAAGGTACAACTACTGGCACGTTAGTGTTACAGGTTGATAAAGTACATGGTGTTCAGTATATGAAGGTACAACTACTGGCAAGCAAGTGTAACAGGTTGATAAAGTACATGGTGTTCAGTATATGAAGGTTTAACTACTGGCACGTTAGTGTTACAGGCTGATAAAGTACATGCTGATCAGTATATGAAGGTACAACTTCTGGCACGCAAGTGTAACAGGTTGATAAAGTACATCTGTTCAGTATATGAAGGTACAACTACTGGCACGTTAGTGTTACAGGCTGATAAAGTACATGCTGATCAGTATATGAAGGTTTAACTACTGGCACGCAAGTGTAACAGGTTGATAAAGTACATGGTGTTCATGAAGGTACAGGTCAGTAAGGCTGGTGAACGAATCAAAGTCTGGTGGATTTCCATCCCCATGCTTTACTATTTTAGCTTTTGAGAAAAGTTATAAAAGACCTTCATTTACACTGTAGTGTTCAATATTGATAAGTTCCTAACGTAAAATAACTATATTTATTTTAAACAATTTAATAACTTGATTAAAAAAGTGCGAGATACAATGTAACTAACATGTTTAAACTCTTCCTTTTCCATTGTTGGTTGTTTACACTGTTCTGTCATAACTCACTTATGTTAACATATCCTTCGCCTTCAATGGTTCATGTAAATTTATTTATCAGAATTAGATTAGTCTTTGTCGAATAAAGTTAAACAAGATATAAAACAATCCAAATTATCACAAGTCATTTGAGTTAAAATATCCGAAACGCACCTTCTTTGTGGAGAAAATCAATATAAGCACTTATTTTTAGAATTTGAAAACAAGAATTTAGCAATGTTTTTATTTATGAAATTGTTTTGGTAACTAGTATAAACTGATCACATATTTAAGTCATGTCACCTGTCTAATAAAAATCGCATAAAGCAGTCTGTCAGAGGTTAATAGCGATCGGAAATTTTATTGATTGCCCAGAACAGATCTGTGTATGGGCCGCTGTAAAGTCTACGAGTTCCATATAATACCTAGTGGAATTATGTATGGCTAAAAAATCGAATAGTATGCCATTCATTTAACTAAACACCCAAGCCTAATTTGCTTTATGATTAAAACCTGGTTTGCAAACATTTATGTTTGATTATTTCATACAGAACATCTTTACTTTGTAAATATTAACTACGCTATCTGTGACATATTTGAATGAGATCAAAACACGAGGCTTTCGGTGTGTTTATTTAAATATTGATAAAAATAGTTCTGTCTTTTTTCTTTAACGTTTATAAAGTGATTTTAAAGGTTTAAAATTAAATAGTAAATGTCATAGTTTAAAATAATCCATTGAATTTTTAAATTCATTGCATGATTACATATAAATAGGTTTTTGATTCTTTTTTATGTAAAGATTTGTTCGAACCATATTCATATTGAGAGAATGTTTACTTTTAAATAATTGAGTAACAGAACGAGATGTATTTTGAACTGTAATGCTTACAAATTAATATTTTACATGTGGTTTATTTGGTTTTCAGTCTCGCACTATTGCACCTGTTTGCTCTTTGGAGGGTCTCCTGATATGTTATAGATATTTCGCTGGACGGACCGGTGTATGACCCTTTTCTTCCATGCAGGAAATACCCTAATTTTAATTTAAATCAAAATTGAAAAAATCTAATGTAGACAATTCACGTAAATCAGCATATGATGATATGGATTTATATGATCCCACATTTCAAGGGTCCATTATGACCCAGAAAAGCCTAATTTTTTATTTCACAAAAGATTGTGTGTGGGGATCCTGTAATGATTATCATAATTACCTGAGTCATCTTCTACTTCTGCTACTTTTTGGTAATTAGTTTGGTATTTTGTATGGAAGACATTTTTTTTTACATTTTGCTACTTCTTTGAAATGTGAGAAGTTGGCCGCATACAGCGGGTCAGCGACCTGGCGGTCCCGAAGTTTAAACGTTTAAACCTGTTTATAATTTTGGAAATTACAAGTGAAATGGTTCTTAATGAAGTTTTAAAGACATATCTTATCATTTAAAAGATACATAAACAGAAAAATCACTTTCAGAAAAGTGTTTTAATACTTTTTGAGGAATAATTTCACATTTAGTGCTACATTTATCATATGATTAGCATCTAACATGTTCTAAAACAATTATTTTTAAAAAGACATGAAACCCATGTTTGATCTTTTCATAGAAGAAAAAATCATTTCTGAGGCATAATGTGCCTTGAAAAAAAATATAGGATTAAAAATGCCCAAATATCTGAGTGTATTATGTATAAGATAATTAACATAATAGAGGTCAATTCGATAGTCGACAGGTAAAATGTTTATGCAGATTTTCGATTGTTCTACCATTATTTATGCATACAATAAAAGGGCAATGATAAGTACACATATAAAAAAGTGCCGGATCAAAAAATTATAAGAAAAAGATGTCTGATATTAACTGATATTTCTCATTTTAATAATTATAATGAATGGTGTATGTTGTTATAAAAGTTATGTAAGTAAAGTTACCTCTGGTAATACAGGCAGGTTGTGGGTACTCCTACGCTGTTGTAAATGTCCCCTATTCCGAGCCATTTAGATCTCAATATATATGTATTCTCTTTTCTTGTATTATTTAACAATTATTATATTTCATAATTAAAATCTTAACACATTTATCAGATAAAAGTGAAAGCTATATCACCAAACAACTTTTGAACCGTTCTGCTAAATAGATTTGCAATTTCTTTACCTTTACAATCATTTAAATCATTATTGACTTAAACATATAGCATGGATAAAAGTAAAAGGATTTGGAGCGGATTAAAAGGTTAAACATAATCATATACCTACCATTGTGCATTACAGTTAAATCCTTCACTTTACAATGTCTTTTGAGAAATATAAACTTTAGTAATCAAAAAATTATTTGCACTTTTAAATCGCAAATTTTTCTTCAGTTCTAACACTGTATCACTGTATATATATAAATAAACATATGCTGTATCGATTCGAAATCAAGATAAATTAGTTATAAATTTGTAGATTTAATCAATATAAGATAATAGAAAATGTTAATTAGTTTATTTAGGTTTTTCAGAAGCTTTTGTTCAACATGGTACACAATACTGCTGCTACACCGCACATAAGACTGTATCAATTTCCAATCTACAATGTATTTGTCTTTTGTTTTAGCCTTCATGACCAAACTACGAACATTACATTTATAATTGTGTGTCATTTACGTCATTCAATTTTCTAGATAAAAAAAGGTGTTCTGTTAGATTTTCCTATCAAATAAAAAGTTCGCACTCCGTATTTATACACAAATTATATGAAATTGTATGCACTGGCACGATATAAAAAAATTATCTTTCAACATTCATTCGCATAGTCACTGAGGTGTTTTAACATTAAAGGGCAGGTTTTTTTTTAGGTGTGACAATGGCGACGTAACAGCGTAAACTTTTATAAAAAACAATTAAAACGACTCTTGATGAAAGGTACATTTCTTGCAATTAAAAATATATAAATTTACAAATGTTTTTTATTTTGTCACTTTCGTGACGTTGGCAGCCTTGCAGCCTAATTTTTTAAGTAAGAAAACAAAAACAAAAAACAATTGCAACGGGTATAAATTCAGTTCATAAGACATTTATATTCATTTAAACAAATAAAAAAAGCAGCTGAAAAATCACTTTCATTATAAAGTTTTAAATATTATCATTTTTGCGAAGTTTGAGGCCTACCGACCTAAAATTGTAACTCTTAAGTTGTTGAAATGATAAAATAAGAAGTTACACATTTCTTGTGTGTGTGTGTGTGTGTGTGCGTGCGTGCGTGCGCGCGCGTGCGTGCGCGCGCGTGTGTGGGTGCGTGCGTGTGTTCATTTTTTTCTTTAAAGATTTATAAGCAGAAAAATCTAATAGTAAGAAGTTTTTTTACTTTATTATCATTGAGAAGTCGGCGACCGAAACTTTTAACATTGTTGAAGTTGAAAAATAACAATTAAAACGCGTCTTAATAAATTTCTTCAGATATTTCTAAAATAACTTTGAGAGAAGTTTTTGTTTTATTTTATCGTTTTGTGAAGCTGGCGACCTTGCGGCCTGTCGGCTTAAACTTTTAAAGTTGTTGAAATATTTTAAAACATTTAAAACGGCTTTTAATGGAGTTCTTACGACAATTCTTGTCATAGCACGATTGCGAAACAAGCTCTTGCAACTTATATTAACAACAACCCGTATTATACCGAGTCTGCCATGTTGCAGCTAGATACTCGTACCAGTCAATCCGTGTATAACCGAAAATACCGTATAGTCCAGTCATTTTGTAACAAAATTTGCTAAAATACTTCAGAAAATGGGAAAAGCATCAAAATTGGCACAGATGTTAATGAAGACAAAAGGAACATTTTGGGCATGTGACCCATTTTATATATGCCAAGATGGTTGCCATGACAGCCATTTTAAAAAGGTCACCATCATACGAAATTAACACTTTCCAATTCCAGTATACGCTACTTATAGTTACAATTTTACTTGAATATAACACAGTTTTCACTTAATATGAGAGATTTGTATTACTTATTATTGAAATTAAACTAGTTAACAACTAATATGCAATTTTTATGCCACCGCAGCATCTGCGATGCGGTGCCATATAGCGATTCACCTGTGTGTTTGTGTGTGTGTGTGTGTGTGTGCGCGCGCGCGCGCGTGCGTGTGCGTGTGCGTGTGTGTGTGCGTGTGCGTGCGCGTGCGCGTGTGTTCTATAGATTATATAGTGAACTTAAAAAAATCTTCTTGTGAAAAACCACTAGTCCAATTTCAATTAAACTTGGTAGGATTGATCCTTTGGTGAAGGGCTTTCAAAGTTGTTCAAAAAATTTCATCCATGCAGAAATCTGGTTGCCATGGCAACCAAAAGGAATTATACAAATAAATTTAAAACATCTTCTTGTAAAGACCCAAAAGGCCTAGAGCTTAGATATTTTGCATAAGGCATTGTCTGGTAGACCTCTACCCAGATTGTTCAAATTATAGCCCTGGGGTCAAAATCGGCCCCGCCCCGGGGGTCATTGGTTTTCCTTATATGTAAATAGTAAAAACTTATAGTAAAAATTCTTCTAGCAATTGACAAATGCTAGAGGTTAGATATTTTGCATGAAACACTGTGTAGTGAACCTCTAGCAAGATTGTTCAAATTATAGCCCTGGGGTCAAATTGCCCCCGCCCCGGGGGTCAATGATTTTCAATATATACATATAGTAAAAAATAAAAAAATCTCATTGTCTGAAGGTACCAGGCTTAGAGCTTTAATATTTGTTAAATGATATCATCTATAGGTACTCTACCAAAGTTGTTCAAATTTTGCCTCTAGTTGTCAAAATTAGCCCCGCCCTGGGGGCCATAGGTTTTCCTTATATGTATATAGTAAAAACTTAAAAAATCATCTTCTCTAAATTTACAAAGGCCAGAGTTAAGATATTTTGCATGAAACATTGTGTAGTGAACTTCTAGCAAGATTGTACAAATTATAGCCCTGGGGTCAAAATTGGCCCCACCCCCAGGGGTCATTGATTTTCACTATGTACATATAGTAAAAAATAAAATAATCTTATTGTCTGAAGGTACAAGGTTTAGAGCTTTGATATTTGGTATATAATATCATCTATGGGTCCTCTACTAAAGTTGTTTTAATTATGCCCCTAGTGTTAAAATTGCCCTGCCCCAGAGGCGATAGTTTTCTTTATATGTATAAAGTAAAAACTTGAAAAATCTTCTTCTCTGAATTGACAAAAGCTAGAGGTTAAATATATGGCATGAGACTTTGCGAAGTGAACCTCTACCAAGATTGTTCAAATTATAGCCCTGGGGTCAAAATTGGTTCCGCCCCGGGGGTCATTGATATTCATTATGTACATACATATAGTAAAAAAAATAAAAACTATTTTTGGCTGAAGGTACAAGGCATAGAGCTTTGATGTTTGCTATATAATATCATCTATAGGTCCTCTACCAAAGTTGTTAAATTTTTTTCCCTGGTGTCAAAATTGGCCCTGCACGGGGGCAGTGATTCTCATTATGTACACATAGTAAAAACAAAAAATAAAACAAATGTTTTCTGAATGGGAGAAAGCTACAGCCTAGATATTTGACTTGAAATGTTGTTTGGTGGATTGTATCAAGATTGTTTTGAATTAAACCCTTGGGTCAAAATTTTGCCCTTGCCCAAGGGGACAGTGACCTACTTTCTTGTCCTTTGATGTACAGCAATGAAATTTTGACAATGTGCACAGTTTTAGTTGTAAAATTGAACTTTGTTATCAGGTGACCTAGATTTTGATGATGTGACCTACTTTCTTGTCCTTTGATGTACAGCTATGAAATTTGAACCATGTGCACAGATTGTTCACAGGTTAAGATGTAAAGTGAACTTTGATATCAGCTGACCTAGATTTTGACAAAGTGTCTTACTGTGTTGTCCTTTGATGTAGTCATGAAATTTAGGCTGTGTGAAATATGACCTTCACCACCAAATTCACTAGACTCAAGTACATTGATAGATTCCTACTCTGATCTTTTATTGGATTAAAATAGATTATAATAATAATAATAATAATGCGGTCGCATAGGCATTTATCTAAAATTTCAAATGCAATCTTGCTGTTTCTTTTTTCCAAGGTAACAATTTCACGTGAAATTGACAAATCAGTCTATTTTAGTGATCAGTTCGTGAACTTTGTATATTTTTAATAATTTTCTCATTTTCATTTTATTTTATTTTAATCCTAAGTAGAAAATTGAATATAAGCATCAATTATTGAAGAGTTTTGTTACATAAGGAATAGAAGGTAGGATAACTTTCACATGCAATGGATTCTTCAGAAATTGTTTCTAAAAAAAAATTGGATCATTCTAGAACAATTGATATGATAAAAAGGGCAATTATATTTGTGGCAAAGGACACTGCCAACAATCAACTTATAGATGAAGCACAAGACAAAGCGATCATGTCAAAGTAACTATGAGATATGCTTAAAAATGTTTCCAGTGTTCATATGGGCAAAAAACGTTTCATTTACCAAATAAGAAGTATTTAAGTTATTATGTCTGAATTTTTCAAACAGTAGTCATGGTAATAACCATTTGTGTTTTAATCCCTCAATAAATGATGACTAAATGGTCCCAATACACATTTTCATATTTTTATCTGAACTTTGACCCCTATATGTGACCTTGACCTGGGCTGCAGGGACCTAACTTTGACACGCGACACTTCGCCTTACAATGGTGCACATTTGTGCCAAGTTAAATTATATATTGAAATCTCTTTATGCATGTAGAAGTTTTGATCCGGATAAGCGTTTTTCAATGACCTCTAAGTGTGACCTTGTCCTTTGACCTAGAGGCCTGGTTCATGCGCGCAACACGGCTTCTTATAATGTTAAAAATTTCTATGAAGTTTCATTGAAATATCTCTATGGGTGAAGGACATATGCTCCGAACAAATATTGGACGCCGCCCGCCCGCCCGCCAGGGGAAAACTATAATACGACCGTTTTTCAAACGGGCGTATAAAAAGCGAATAATTTAAAATGAATTTGATAAGCATTTATTAATAATAACGTATACTTGATAAAAAAAAAGATACCATATATATATCTGCCATTTTTTTTGTTTCTTTCTTTAACAGGTTGATTCTAAAAGCCATTGATAAAATTTCATATTGATATGATATGGCAATTGAAATACTCAAAGACTAGAATCTTGCGCAAGTCTCTTAATCACAGGGCAGGTAAAAGAGCTCAGTCTAGTTCACGTCCAGGATAAACTATAAATCATTGGCGTAACATTACGAACTTTAATTTTAATTACAATTGTTAATCTGTTTAAGTATATATCATTGTAAATAAAAACAGGTCATAAACAGTAAAAAAAAACAAACTCGACATTATTTAAATTTCATCCGATTTCCAGAGTCGTGAAACTAATGACAAACAGAAATTATAAAATATTTTAAATATATAGCTCTAAGTAGACAAGGCAATGTTTCAATACTTATAGCAACTAATTTTACGCTAATAAACCGCTAATAGTATAAGTTATAAAGATCGTTGACAGGTTATATGGCCCTATATAAACGGCTATTTGTAAATATAACCCGAGCCGTTAGGCGAGGGTTATATTGCAAACAGCCGTTTATATACGGTCATATAACCTGTTAACAATCTTTATAACGAATTTATAATACAGCAAGCATCATTTCTAGAGAAAAAAGTAAGATTTATTTATGAATCGACAGCAGCCGTGTATATAAAACTATATAAACGTCAAGATTATCCAATGAAAAATGACGTTTTATTGTTTAAATAACATTTCTGCAGCAACATTAAAATTTTTGGCCGCCAGCCACTAGGCCGCCCGGCCACTAACTTCACGCCGCCAACCGCTAGGCCGCCCGGCCGCCAACTTCACGCCGCTTGCCGCTGGACCGCCGGCCGCCAACTTCACGCCGCTAGGCCGCTGGTCCGCCAACTTCACACATCTATGATTAATTAAGTCGATTTTGTGAAAACAAGCCTTTATGAAATTTTAAACATGTATGGCGGCAATCTTGGATTTTTCGGCCATATTGGATTTTCAGAAATGGGTCCCATGCTGCTCATTTTTTCTTATATAACAAAAAGTTTATTTGTACCAAGTTTTGTGCTTTTCCAATTTTCTGACTATAAACAATAGTTTTAGAGAGTTCATCACAGTATTATCGCCTGATAAGACCGTAAAATCTATAAATAATTGTGCACATGTCAAGTTCCGTGTGTGACTCCAGTTTTGGAACCCGTATTTAGTTACTCTACTAACCAATTTGATAAGGATACGAATTTTCATTTCGTAAATGCATTAAAAGATGTTCACAGTTGTTTACAGCGAAATGACTGTCTTAATTGTGTTTAATCTTCTTCTATTAGGGCATCATGTACAGGGATCGAATAAAAAAGGCATCTCATTATGGCCAGATCAATATTCCTGCGATGATTTTAAAGCTCTTAACAATATGTCATGGTGGTAAGAATTTTTTTTGTACACTCAAATATTTGAACAATCTTGTTTTTTATCAATGTGTTATAGATATGAACTACAGACTATTCTTATTATAAGTATGCCTGAAAAAGAAAATATGTACCAGTTATAGTAACAGAAAATAATACGCTACAAGCCAATTTGCCATAAGCATCGGGTCAAGTGACAATGAAACTGAAAGACTACTTTTGTTTATGTTTCTAAATATAACAGGTATGACTGGCATTCGGATTTGGCATTTTGGAATAAAAAAGTTCCAGCGAACTGCAGTCCAATGCCTCAACATATCCCTATGATATGGACATACAGCAACCACTCGACAATAAACATTCCACAATATGCTCAATTTATTTTGGGTTTCAACGAACCAGACCACAAGGATCAAGCTAACTTGTCCCCACGTACAGCTGCAAATGCTTGGAGAGAAGTAGAAAAACATTCTCGGGGCTTACCTCTTGTCAGTCCCGCGCCAGCAGCCCAAAATTTCCATTGGTTGGACGAATTCTTTAGTTTATGTCATGGTTGTCGTGTTGACTATATCGGTGCGCATGCGTACAGTTGCTCAGCAAATCATGTAATGTCGTACTTACACAAGTTATATCAAAGATATCAGAAGAAAATCTGGTTGACAGAGTTTGCATGCCCCCAGTCATGGAATGAGAAGCAACAATTGCATTTAATGGAGACATTGCTTCCTCGACTAGAGGCTGCACATTACGTATTCAGGTAAAACACTTATATAGCCGGTTGTTATTTGTCAGCTTCTTAACAATATCATTCAACCGGGTCGTTTTAGTACCATGACATAGTTAATTACTTAAAATTATGAAAATGATTAATCGTAATTTAAGTATTTTTTATTTATACCAATCTCATCAATGTTTATTGATTTTGTGAAGTGACAAATAGTGTACCTGACGTGCATTTCCATGTGTTACAAGGAACCGGACAAAATGTGTGTTATTCCACCACCCATCTTAACTTCACAAGAGTTTGAAAAAATTATTTAAATAATTATATTATGTGACTTAAAAAAATTCTGTTTGGCATCTCAGTCAAGTTGGATAAAGGATAAAATTAGCTAAACTGAAAACTAAAAATGCATTATATCACGTGTTCCGATTTTTTTTACAGAATGATATTTAACCTCGATTTTAAATGTTAATAAAATTTATATAAAAATGTTATATATTATATGTAAAAATATTTTTTAATATGGACGTTTTCAACAACAATTAAATTGACTTCTTTATTTGCTAATATATATATATATTTCCACATATTTTTACAACAATAATCTCAATGTCAGGTCAGTGATCGTAAGGGGGAATTCTTAAACAATCGTCTTTTCCTTTTTGGGGCAATCTTGGCCAGAAAGCTATGAAGGTATCTTTTGTGTTTCTGTTAAAAGCTATTTTATATGATTTTTTTGATTTTTTACCTTAAACAAACTTGGAATTGTCTATGAATTTCTACTTCATCTCTATGTAGCGCATGGCTTTTTTTGCCCTACGGCGCGAAAAAATACTACTTCCGGTCATTTTTTCATAGCAACGGACCGTGTCGTAAAAAGGTCTATAACACGCGCGGTTCTAGAGGGGGTTGGGGTTCATGGTTAGTTTGTAGAATCATTCTGTAATGTAGGATCAGCTTACTTTTTTGCGAAAATAGCACAAGAACCTGATAAAAATAAGCAATATTTTGACTCATAACCACCTCTGAAAAACTTAGAAAATATCGCCCCACCCCTTTTGGACTATACCTAACGTCTTGTGACCCCGTCTGGTAAAAGAAATCCTGGATTTGTGCATGTATAATTATATAGCAGTCAGTTTCATGGGTGATCAAAAATCATTATAAAAAAAGGTGTTCTTAATATAAAACAATTTAATATTTCACGTGTCATTCAGGTTTTCCTGACTGACAGACAAATATTGCTTGTATTGGTTTTTAAGACAGACAAAATTAAAACATAATATATGAATAATGTTTTTTCTCTACATTTTGTCTAAAAAGTTCCTACTCGCAAGATGTCTTTGCTATATGTAACATTAAAAGATGAGGGATTTTGAATTGTGTATAGAATGTAAGTTGTAAGCTGTCGGGAAGCATTAATTGTTTTATTTAACAAAAGATTCAGTTACAACTAGTCACGTGATAACATTACATGTATTAATTAAGTTAGACTGGTTATAATGCTCTTTTAGATATTCATGGTTCGAGGCAAGAATAACGAGGTCGTTTCCAAACGCATGGGTAACTCCAGCAGCAAGTCTTTTGCATAATGACTCTTCGACGTTAACAAATATAGGCCGATTCTATAACAACTTCCAGGCAACGAACCCACATATAATTGGATAATTTATTATCTCAAATTATGGAATAAAGAACGAAAATGGATTGATAACGCTTGTTTACTGTTTTTTACTTCCAACAAAACTGCGAGATATTTTAATGTGTACACTTCGGGTTTTGATGTTAGCTAAATGCTATCAATTAAATTTGTTTTAAAAATTAATTGGTAAATAAATAACAAAGTTATGATAATTTACGCAAATTTCAATCATGTGCCCTTGACGATCAAGGTCAAATGAAGTTCAATGTCATATTTGAAATATTCAACATATGGGTTGTGTATTTAGAGGGTTTTTTTAATCAAATATAGATTAAATACAATGTACTTTATCAAATATAAATCAAACCCATGAATAAATAAAAAGTTAAGCAAATTTCGCTAATTTGACCTTTAGTGTCAATGTCAAATTAAGGTCTATGTTCTGGTTGAATTAAATCTTCTTTAATGTCTTATCCTAAGGATTGTTGGACAAGACGCAACAATAATTTTGTTATACATAGCGGCAGTATAGGCACAGCAAATAATATGTCTCTGAATCCAATCTTTTCATTGAAGGCACCCGCTTTTAAATAACAAGTTTACATGTAGATCTTTACAACTGACTTAAAATAGAAAAAACAGGCTCGTATCTTCCATTGCATATTATACATATGCAGGTTTGCACACATATAGATATATGTCTGTACCATGAGATATATAAATGAGATGTAAAACTCGAAAACAGAAAATAGAGTTTAAGAAAACGTGTTTCCAGTTGTAGATATACAAAGTAACATGTTTAATACGACAAAAGTAGATTCACAAAGTTAAACGATTTAAAGTCATGCATGACGCCCCAGCCCTCTTTGAGTTTTTACGAACTTCTATTACGGAAATGTACGGACATTTTTAAAACCCGGCACCTCTCCCAAATTTCTCAATAAAGTGAAGGAAAACACGGCTTCTTTTCTTGTTTTTCTTTTTTATAAATAATTTTGGTATCAAATGAATGATTACTCCATAAGCTTTCTATGAATGCCTCAGAAATAACAATAAATTAAATGCATGTAGAATAATATGTATTAAAATTTTTGTTTCAAAATTTATCATTTTTCCTCTGAAAATCACCCTCTCAAATTCGGTAAGTAACTCCAAAACTTTAAACTTCTTAATCAATTTTGATATTTTTGGATTGAAATAAAAGAGTGCTTCATAAGTTTTATAGTATATAATTATAAAATGCCTAAAAATAAAAATGAATTCAGGAGAAGTATTAAAATTTTCATTTCAAAGTTCATCATGTAACTTTCTGAAAACCACACTCTGAAATTCAGATAGAAAAACACGGCGCCCCCTATTTACTTTTTTTTATTTCTTGATCAATTTTAATTATTTTGGTGTCAAATGAAAACTCTTTCATGAACTTTCTAGTGATGCCTTAAAAATAAGAAATAATTACGTAGAAGTATTTAAAATTTTGTTCCAAACTCATCGTTGCTTAATTTTTCTTTCTCTCTTAAAACCACACTCATATGTTCGGGGAAAAAATCACGTCGCTCTCTTTAGATACTTTATAAATTAATCAATTTTCAAAATAGAAAATGAAAATAGAGTAAAAGTTAAGACTATAAGCTTCGAGTATTAAAAACTGAAAATACCTTATTAAAGATTGCACATACTGTATGTGTTACGGATAAGGACTTTCTTAATTTCGGAAAGTAAATATCTGAAAATCGAAACGTGACGGTCAATCTGTGTGCATTGTGTATAATCTATGTTTTAAATGAGGATCAATCCTCTCGTGTACGTCACAAATAGACGTTAAATCTGTGTGTGCGTGCGTGCGTGTGTGCGCGCGCGCGTGCGTGCGTGAGTGCGTGCGTGTGTGTGTGTGTGTGTGTGTGTGTTTACCCTCGCCACCGGAAAGAGACCATATGGGCGAGCATATACTTCATTTATAACCTATTAAAAGGGGGAGCTGATGTTTCTTTACTTATTGTTATATCCGTACATGTGTTATGTGCATACCATATCCCCCATGACAGGGTAGTCTCTACGTACAACCTCTGCCATGGGAGGAAGATGGGGCAATCCCATTTTAAGTTTAAAGTTTCTAAAATTTAATAATTAAAATGCACTTATTTTAAAAATGGCCAAGACATTTATAGAAGTTACCGTCTTTTATAACAGGTCAATTTAATAAGGAGAAAATTTCAATATTTACATATAAAATTTACAGAATTCGCATACTTACATGCGAAGAAGGCATGTCAGGAACGTTTTCTGACCAATTCAAAGTGGGCTCACTGTGATTTATGTTGGTTTCTATTTAAATGTTATAAACCGAATACATTGGGAATACATGTTTGTAATTAGCAGAATTTGTTATAAATTTTGTAGATTTTGTAAGTTCTACCGAACACCCGCTTTATAAAAGTAATTTTGATTCGTTTAGAGATGATTGCCTCCTTTGTCCTCATTGGTCTAACTTGGTTACCCATAATGTGATGAGATAGTCTTTTTGTAACTTATTTAAGAAAATCTCATGCTTGAGTGAACCCGTGATAAACGTATTGCTCCATATGGGGCACGGGTTCACGTTTACTAGTATTAAGCACAGGCAATCGGTGCGTGACTTGGATAGTATACATGTACATGACCACGCCCACTTACTTTTTTATAAATTTTTTTTTTTTCACTAATAAAATATTTTTTTATTCAAAATATTTTTAAAATATCTTATTTTCAATAAATCAACAAAGAAAAAATTGTTTTTAAAAAATTTCATCCGTATATACTATTAATATAGTAAAGGTAGAAAGGTTCGCCAGCGGACCTACCACCAGGCCTTATGTTACCTCCCAGATCTTTGTTAATTGTCAACCAATTTTCACCAAATAAAGTGCAATCTACGCAGAAATGATTTTTATTTCGAAAAATGTACAATATTAGAACAGTTGGTACGACAAAAGATGGAATTTTAAAGCAAAAATGCACTTTTTGTCTAGGTCGGCCATCGCATGACCGAGCCGAAAGTAGACGATTTTGAACATAAATCGATCTTTTTCTTAATAACAAACTAATGTCAGTGCATGCAAACAGTTGGAATAGAAAAGGCAGCTATAAAACTATCGCTTACCGGTCCAAAGTTAATCCAAAACGTCTGCAGGTACGCACTTTCAGTAGTTATTTGCACTAACTTTTAAAATTCCCTGACATTACATGTATACAAATGCTGACCCGGATGTATCTGATGCGTACCCCTTTTCGCATCATAAAAATTGAGCGAAGCTGGGTACCAGCGGGAACCGAGCATGCGTACCTTGAATATCCGGATCAGAATTTGTATACATGTACAATGTCGGGAAATTTAAAAAGTTAGTGCAAATAACTACTGAAAGTGCGTACCTGCAGACGTTTTGGATTAACTTTGGACCGGTAAGCGATAGTTTTATAGCTGCCTTTTCTATTTCAACTGTTTGCATGCACTGACATTAGTTTGTTATTAAGAAAAAGATCGATTTATGTTCAAAATCGTCTACTTTCGGCTCGGTCATGCGATGGCCGACCTAGACAAAAAGTGCATTTTTGCTTTAAAATTCCATCTTTTGTCGTACCAACTGTTCTAATATTGTACATTTTTCAAAATAAAATCATTTCTGCGTAGATTGCACTTTATTTGGTGAAAATTGGTTGACAATTAACAAAGATCTGGGAGGTAACATAAGGCCTGGTGGTAGGTCCGCTGGCGAACCTTTCTACCTTTACTATATTAATAGTATATATGGATGAAATTTTTTAAAAACAAATTTTCTTTGTTGATTTATTGAAAATAAGATATTTTAAAAATATTTTGAATAAAAAAATATTTTATTAGTGAAAAAAAAAAATTTATAAAAAAGTAAGTGGGCGTGGTCATGTACATGTATACTATCCAAGCCACGCACCGATTGCCTGTGGTATTAAGTATACTAGTTTTATATATACAGGACTAAAAAGAAAAAGATAATAAATAACAACACGGGGCTGGGGGCAAAGGGATATATACAATATGGAGTCTTTTTGACATTATGGGTAATCTGTAGCCAGCACCTCCCAATTTTGAAAATAACCATGAGACAAATTGTTCTTTTTTTTATTATCCTGGGAAATCCAGACGCTATAAATAGACACGCACGGATTGGTTTAGCAATAAATCTAAATTTAGATTCAGCCTAAAGCAATATACATGCTTCACCGAATACCATTCATATCTGCGCTCAACTAGTTTACACACATAACTTTATCAACTAGTGGGATAACACTAATTTTTGTCATATTCCTCGGATTTTTAAAAGTTGTCGAAGAAGTGTACTTTTCGCTTTTTTTAACAAAATGAGTGGAGAAGACGATGAAAATCGTTTTATAAAATGTGTTGTGGTAGGTGACGGGGCTGTTGGAAAAACTTGCATGTTGATGAGTTATGCAACTAATAGATTTCCGACGGAGTATGTACCGACAGTATTTGATAATTATGCAGGTGAGGTGATTTAAAATATGCATAAATGTTACATGTTTTCTAAAGAACACACATCGTGTATTCGTGTTTAAGTCTGCTGGATATTTAAACAAATGTTCATCAAACCTAAATTTATATACTTTGGCTTTATTATGTAGATTCTAGATCTACAAGTGTACTGTATATTGAAAATGATTGAAATGTTAAACACTGTTGAACTGAGCAATTTTCCCTTTGTTGTCTGATTTTCGTTTGACAGTTAAACAGGATTACCCTAAGGTCTATGACGTAGGTTCAGATTTTCGTTTCCCGGTAAACAGGTAAAATGTTGCCATGACAAAACCCAATTCATTCTATTTAAATTAGTACATGTACATGTAATTTGAAAGATACTATTAAAAGGTCCTGATTGATTTCTCCCCATTTGATTGTTCCTTATTTCTGAAAAAATTAATTGAATGAATATCTACAGATCTATTCTTTTACACATTACACATGTTCAACAATACAATGTTTAGATCTGTTGTAATAATATTTGCCATAATGCAAAAGAAAATCAATTTTTCGATCTTTAAATAGTAATATGCAAAGTTGAACTAGAGGTTTCTTTATAGACCCTCCTACCCTGAAAAATTTAGGGAAGGGGAAGTTAATGTTTTTGAGGTCTGTTACTTTTCCAGTTTGTGGATGAAAACCATACGTTATTCCTAGTTCTAGACACCAATGTAAATATAAATGAGATGAACTGGTAGTTTTCTGGTATACATGCATGTGAATGAATGCTTATGCCCTGGTGATAAGGTCGGGTGATTAATAGTTAATCGACCTAGGTTCGATACATACTATGATTAGTTACAATTCAGAAAACGCCATGTTAATTTCTTTGTATAAAACGTCTCTTTGTCAATTGAGGAATGTTAACATCACTTAACGTAAACAGTTATCTTGAGTTTTAATAAGTGCGCGGAAGATGAAGACCTGAAACTCATTGTTTTGATATGATGTGACGGTGTCAAGTGTTACAAGTGCCCTCCTAGACATAAAAGATGCTGTGTGTTAGTATAAGGAAGTGTCTTGTCAAATGTCATAATTATTCCCGGACAATTATCTGAACCTATCATTATTAATCATCTCTTATCAAGTAATTAGCACAAGATAACAACCCATCGCCACATCTTATCAGATTTGACTCCTAAGAAACGTAAAGTATACACATGCAGTGTAAATATGCTAGAAAAGTCGGCAAATAAGCGTTTCGCCGTGCAAAATATATAACATAAAATACAATCATGCAATTACAGACAATCATTTGTCACAGCTCATAAATAATATGGGTCATATTCTGTCAATGTATATAAACGATTAGTCACGAAGGCGTCTCTCGAAGTCTGATGTCCAAAAACTTGGTATTTCCCTCGCGTGCTTACATTTGTGACCTTTATATATGAAAATTGACAGTAATGGTCAATTATATGTATACAATTATCATCTGACCGATCAATTGATATATAAACCATGTATATACATGTACTTACACATAATGCGGCTCCATACATGCCTTCAGTAGTGAAAGTTTATTTCAACTTACTAACATACTTTCTAAATGTGTTAGGAAGATAAGAGATAAATTAGAATATAATAATAACAGTCGTTATAATACTTGATGTGGCATGTATATATCTAAAAATGTTGAGTAAGAGCTTTAATGAAAACTTCCTTATATGTTGTGAGAGACAGATTAATTTTTTACTTTATTTTCTTCATGTAAATATATGGTGTATATGCATATCGTATTTATATTTAACAGGAGTGTATCACTATCAACAGGAAGTTAAAAAATGAGTCATATATTAAACAATATCCGCCACTAAACTAAATAATACCGTTGATTTTTTAAAAATAGGATTGGCGATTAACGATTAATCCTAAACTATACAAACTACGAATGAGATTTATTGTATGCGGTCATGTTGTGTAGTGTATGCATGCACTTGACGGGAAGTTGTTATCTTATGTAAATATCGGGTCACTTAAATTTTGATCAGTGTAACGGAATTTTATAAATGTTTCAACTTACATTAATTGCTCATTGTTCATGTATACTGTAATTATTAAAACATATAGATATACTTGAAAGACAATGGCTGAAACGCTAACCTTGACCACACAATAAAAGTTTTAATATAACATCAACTATCATGGGTTATTATGACATGTATTTTATACAATGTTTATATGATTTTATCAGTGTTAAGCTTTCCCCGTTGTACCTATATGATAAATGCGCCTGCACGGGGCACAGGAATGATGACCGAAACTACATCATCAGAATTTTTGTACCCAATACATGCTTCTGTATCTCTTTATTCTGGTTCCCCATACATGCTTCTGTATCTCTTTATTCCGGTGCCCCATACATGCTTTTGTATCTCTTTATTCCGGTGCCCCATACATGCTTCTGTATCTCTTTATTCCGGTGCCCCATACATGCTTTTGTAACTCTTTATTCCGGTGCCCCATACAGGCTTCTGTATCTCTTTATTCCGGTGCCCCATACAAGCTTCTGTATCTCTTTATTCCGGTGCCCCATACATGCTTTTGTATCTCTTTATTCCGGTGCCCCATACATGCTTCTGTATCTCTTTATTCCGGTGCCCCATACAAGCTTCTGTATCTCTTTATTCCGGTGCCCCATACATTCTTTTGTATCTCTTTATTTCGGTTCCCCATACAAGCTTCTGTACCTCTTTATTCCGGTGCAGCGTCCGTATCTCTTTATTCCGGTGCCCCATACATGCTTTTGTATCTCTTTATTTAGGTTCCCCATACAAGCTTCTGTACCTCTTTATTCCGGTGCAGCGTCCGTATCTCTTTATTCCGGTGCCCCATACATGCTTTTGTATCTCTTTATTCCGGTGCCCCATACATGCTTCTGTATCTCTTTATTCCGGTGCCCCATACATGCTTTTGTAACTCTTTATTCCGGTGCCCCATACAGGCTTCTGTATCTCTTTATTCCGGTGCCCCATACACGCTTCTGTATCTCTTTATTGCGGTTCCCCATACATGCTTTTGTATCTCTTTATTCCGGTTCCCCATACAAGTTTCTGTACCTCTTTATTCCGGTGCAGCGTCCGTATCTCTTTATTCCGGTGCCCCATACATGCTTTTGTATCTCTTTATTCCGGTGCCCCATACATGCTTTTGTGTCTCTTTATTCCGGTGCCCCATACATGTTTCTGTACCTTTTTATTCCGGTTCCCCATACATGTGTCTGTATCTCTTTATTCCGGTGCCCCATACACGTTTCTGTATCTCTTTATTCTGGTGCCCCATACATGCTTCTGTATCTCTTTATTCCGGTGCCGCGTCCGTATCTCTTTATTCCGGTGCCCCGTACAGGCTTCCATATAAATCAGCTGAAGGTTGCTAATGGCATTTAGCTCACGTGCCACAATTAGTTCATTAGCACTATAGTGATCACATTTTTGCATCAGTTGTCATCAAAATTGATCAGAATGTCTGAATATGGGTCATCTGGGGTCAAAAACTTAGTCACACTATCTAAATATTGAAAAACCTTGTAAGCACTAATACTGTTTTGGACCTGTTTCTGTCCAAATGTCCTGGAAACTTGTCGATGATTTTTAGCAAACGTTTGACATAGAGTCAAAAAGTAGGTCATTGTCCAAATATGGAAAGACCTTGTCAACACTCTAGAGGCTACTGTTCCGGTCCAAATATCCTGAAAATTGGTCAGAAATGTAGTTTAGATGATTTCTAGCGCAAGAAAACATTTTCTGCCCAAATATCTTGAAAAATAATGTCAGAAAGGCGGATAAGATGGTTTTTAGATCAAGTTAGAATATGAGTCATCTAGGGTCAATAACTAGGTCACATTGCCCATATATGGAAAAACCTTGTAAACACTCTAGAGGTAAGATTTACAGATTAAATATCTTGGTAATTTGCCAGATAAGTAGTTTTAATAATTTCTAGCTCAATTTTGAATATGGGTCATCTGGGGTCAAAAACTAGGTCACACAGCCCAAATATGGAAAAACCTTGTTAAAACTCCAGAGAAAACATTTCAGTCTACTGAGGTCACTAGATCTCACTAGGTCACAAATCCCAAATATGCTAAAACTTTGTTAACACTATGAGGTTACATTTTTAGCCTAAATAATCTGGAAAATGGTCAGAAATGTTGTTTTGATAATACTAGGTCAAGATCGAGTGTGCGTCATTTGGGGTCAAAAATTAGGTCACACAGCCCAACACTTAGATAACATTCTAGTGGCTATATTTTAGCCCAAATATCCTGGAAATTGGCCAGAAAAATAGTTTTGTATATTTCTAGCTCAAGTACGTTTGTGTGTCATCTGGGGTTAAAACTAGGCCACAGAGTCTCAACTATTTTTAATATGGAGAGAAAAAAAAACACTTGTAAACACTTTAAATGTAATACTAGTATTTAAAGCCCAATATGGTGGGAATGTGTCAGCAAGATTATTTTATTGTTTCCTATGTTTAGTTTCAATGAGGGTCACCAACGGTCAAAAACTACGAGGCACACTCCAAATATTTATTTTCCTGTGTCATCAGATGAGCGATATAAGGGCCATCATTGTTCGAATATGCATGTGATTATTGTTAAATATTTATTTTTAAATTTGTCTATGCTTGGACACAAGATCCATGTTGTTATGACAAAGTTCAATGCCATTACGAGTATGGTATTGAACTTAGTATATTTCTAATATGCTCTGGATTAAGTGCAACTTATAAGTCTTATTTTTAAAACCCATTACAAACAAATATATTATTAATACTCATCACTTAGGTATTTTGTCCAATTTCAAAAATGCACGATAACATTGCTGAAAACACCAATCCATGAAACAGACAACGGTCACGTATCCTATGAACACATGTCGTATTTTAATTTCATTATCAATTCATATTATTTTTATTTTTTTTCAGTAACTGTCACTATACGGGAAACATCTTACCAACTGGGGCTATTTGATACTGCTGGACAGGTGAGAAATTAACGATGTTTTAATTTTAAGATGTATCCAGTTCTTTCGTTAGGTACGGGTATAGGTTCGAATAGATAGAGCGTTAAACTGTGAATCTGACGACGTGGGTTCGATTCCCGGACGGTTCAGGTCACTTTCGTTGTGATTGAGCATGTAATCCTTTCTACGGCTCTGGCATTTACAGAAGTTATCAATTGCTTGCGAAAGTGAAAGCAACTTGTACTGGTTAACTGCTTGACAACATGTCCGCGAACGATGCAGTAGCTTAACTGTGCTCTGTTCTAACACGTTGTCCAGCATATTTTACAGTTAACATACAAAAGAAAACTCAACGAAAGACATCAATATCACAATATATATACACAGAAGATAGATAGGATAGGATAGGATAGGATAGGATAGGATAGGATAGGATAGGATAGGATAGGATAGAAAAATAAAGAAATAATATGTGCTGATTATCATATCCTTACAAACAAAAGTAGGACATACATAAATTTACATTAGTTGACGACAGCAGTGTAAACGAATATGTAGTTTGACTAGTTTCAAGTGGTGTTACCGTCCCTTATTCGGGAAACATTTCCCTTTTTGAACTACTAAAAATTCAGCAAGTTTATTTGAAGAAAATGTTCAGCTTCTGAAAAATGGTTTTGGTGACAAAAGTGAGATGTTCGTGAAAATGTCTCTGTATATTCAAAATGTTTGAAATGATGGATTGTGTAAATGTTCTTGAGGTAAAATTACAGTATATAAATAACACATGGGTTTGTGAGTAACAGTAAAAATATCATCCCGAGGAAAATACTGTTACCCGAGGCGCAGCCGAGGGTAACAGTATTTTACGAGGGATGATATTTTTACTGTTACTTACAAACCCATGTGTTATTTATTTTATTACCCCGAACAAAAATACTGAGATGATCTGAAATGTTCAACTTAATCTAACTGTAACACAAATAAACCAAGAGTAGCAATGATAACTAAACTGTCCTTACCTTTCAAGTTTTAAGTGAACTTTAGGCCTACTTGAGAAGTTTTCTTTTTCTTCTATTCTTTATGCAAGTGATGATATCTACAAATCATAAACATACAATAAGCTAGGTTTTATTTCGAGAACAAAACACTAACCCATTTACACGGTTATGATCTGTGAAATCTGATCCTTCTGTTTCCAGAATATTCTTAGCATGGTTTTTGATAAAATAACGATGATATCCTATGTCTGTCCTCCATCTCTGTAACGTTTCACTGATTAAAATTGTTAAATAATCCTTTGTTGCATGCTAAATCGTCTGCATGTTCCAGTTTGACAATTAATTATCTACATTGCAAGTACTTCCGTTGAAAACGGATGTTCAATTTTTGACTATTCAACAAAAAGATATTTTATACACGAAAAGCACACCAGGGTGCGAACTACTAAATTTTATGGGTGTCATAGATACTCCAGGGAAGAAATTGATGTCTTATCGGGGTTTAACGACGAAAATAAAAATGAATCGAGAAAAAAATGGCGGCCATTTTATTTCATTTTATTTAGAAAATAGACCACGTGGCCTCTTAAAAAATACTGTTACCTATGTCAGTCGGGCATACTTCCTGATCGGGAAGCAAGGGGATTTCCCCTCAAGGTTTCCCGATCAGGCAACAAACGTCAAAATCTTTCCCGATCGGGAAGTTTTTTAGGCCTTTTTTACGTAGTTTAAGAAAAATGGCCGGTGCATAACAATTTTCAATCCACTTCAGTATGAATATTACATTTTAGTTCAGAAAAGATACATCTAAAATCCTACCGAGTCATTTTCTTTTTAAATGTTTACAATTAAAATAATCTGAAAGTGAACTTAAGTAAAGTTTTTAGATTTTACCAAAAACTAGCCACTTCCCGTTTTGGGAACATTGCTTCCTGATCAGGCATCTAGCAAAATATTCATCATTAAAAGTTTAAGATACATTGCTTCCCAATCTGGAAGTACCTTATATTTGTTGTAGTTCCTGGCCTTGATGATTAGAAATTGCCAAGCCTGGTCAGCTTTTAAAGACATGTGGCACATAATTCAATCACGACGAGTAAAATATATCTGGCGAAACTTATGTTCTTGTTAGGCGTAATAATACCTATCAAAACATTAGCTATACTTGACGGACAGTACAAAAATCATCATTACAATACAAATGTTTCATACTGTTAAGATTGTAAAGCACATGTTGAACAACATTGCATAGAGTGTTATTTCTCAAAACAATTACCAGGCAGCTCAAATAATTCAAATGTTGACTAGAGCTCACATAATTTTTTTTTTGGCTATAGCTCAAGACGTGTTTGCATACTACATGTGTTTGTAGTGACTGTGTCATATTTCTGAAACTTAAGTGTATAAAGCTATATATCTGATGCAAAAATTATTGTTAAAATTTTAAAAAAGTATACTTCCAAAATTATTGTGTGAAATAAATATGGTAATTTATTGCCTTAAACGCGAATGGCTAATATAGCAAAACAGTATTGTGTTCCTGTTTACTTACAAGATTCATTTGTATTTAATAACAGTGATATTCTATGTTACATTACTTTTTCAGGAGTCAACCATATAATAATGGAACCAGCATAATTTTGCTGTTAATAAATATTTAAATATTTCGTAAGATATAGAACATACCCTTTAAGCCACTTTAATTTTAAAAAATGAATAAAATATAAGATAAAATAAATAAATAAAACAAGAAATATCATAATGACATATATGCCCCCCCCCCCTTTCTAGCTGAAATTGAATGAAATCTATCATTAGTAAGTTAAACAAAATGGAGAATAGCTGGAATAAATTATATACTATCATGTAAATGTAACTATGAGCATCTACTTTGAACATTCAAGGTTATTGTAACCTTGTCCTCTGACCTAGTGACCTCAAAATCAACAGGGGCCCTCTACTAGTTATGAACAATTAAAATGTGAAACACAAAAACTTGATAACGGGTAGTTTTGAAGATAATGAGTAGAAACCATTCTGACATTTAACGTCCTTGTGACCTTTGACCTAAAGACCTCAAAATCGACAGGGGTCATCTACTAATTATAACCAATCAATAAGTGGAATATAAAAGGTTTAGTGACAAATAGTTCTCAAATAATGGTTAATAGTTTTCAAAATAATGAACGCAAACCATTCTGACATTTAAGGAACCTGTTACCTTTAAACTGGTGACCCCAAAATCAATAAGGGTCATTTACCACATATGACTTATCAACACATGAAATAGGAAAACTTTGTGAAAAATACTTTTCAAGATATTGTGCGGATACTATTTTGACATTCAAGTCACTGTGACCTTGACCTTTGACCTAGTGACTCCAAAATCAAAAAGGGTCATCTTCTAGTTATGACCAATCAATATGTGAAATATAAAGACTTTCTAATAAATAGTTTTCAAGATAATGAGCGGAAACGATTCCGAAATTTAAAACACCTGCAACCTTGACCTTTAAGCTAGTTACCCCAAAATCAATGTATGTTATCTAATAGTTATGACCAATCAATATATGAAATATAAAGCCTTTTTGATAAATAGCTTTTAAGATAATCAGCAGAAACAATGTGGTCTAACGACGGATAAACAAACATACTTAAGGTCCCTGTGACCTTGACCATTGACCTAAAGACCCAAAAATTGATAGGGTCATCTACTACTTACGACCAATTAATATGTGAAATATAATGACTTAGTGATAGATAGTTTTAAAGATAATGAGCTTAAACCAATTTCGACATTTAAGGCCCCTGTGACCTTGACCTTTGAACTAGTGACCACAAAATCATAGGTGTCATCTACTACATATGACTAATTAATTTGGAAATATTAAGACTTTGTGAGAAATAGTTATCAAGATAATGAGCGGAAACCATTCTGACATTTAGGGTCCCTGTGACCTTGACCTTTGACAAAGTGACCCTGAAATCAATAGGTTTCATCTACTATAGTTATGACCAATAGTATGTAAAATATGAAGACTCTGTGATTAATAGTTTTTAAGATAATAACTGAGGTCTACCAATGGACTGGCCGACCAACATTAACATAACATAACATTTTTTTTTTCAACATAAAATTGTATACATGCAATTTATAGCCATACAGATATTGTGTGGACATTAGCAAATCAATATACCCGCTCTTCTTCGAAGTGGGGCATAATAAAAATAACTAGGGCCGGGAACGAATAAGAACTTACATTGATGTTCGAATATTCGTTTTTCCATATTCGAATATATTCAAATATTCATTTTTACAAAATTTAAGAAGACACCACCTATGATGCTATCATTTGTATCTAAACTGCTAGACACTTCAGACTTCAAAACATTCACACCATGACTCACATGTTGATTTGTTGCACAGGTAACTTTATTTGTTGGTGTTGTCCCAAGCAATAATTCCAGAATAGAACGCGCTAACTTAAAGAAGAAAACTTCCCAAACGGAAAACATTTAATGGTGAATATTATGCTAGATGCCTGATCAGGAAACAGTGTTTCCAAAACGGGAAGCCGCTACTTCTTAGTAAAATCGTAAAACTTCACTCAAATTCACTTTCAGATAATTTTAGGTTTAGGCATTTTAAAAGAAAATGACTCGGTAGGACTTTAGATGTATCTTTTCTGCACTTAAATGTGATGTTCATATTGAAGTGGGTTGAAAACTATTATGCAGCGGCCATTTTTCCTGAACTACGTAAAAATAGGCCAAAAAACTTCCCGATCGGGAAGGATTTTGACGTTTACTGCCTGATCGGGAAGCCTTGAAGGGGAATCCCCTTGTTTCCCGATCAGGAAGTATGCCCGACTGTATGTAACAGTACAAAATTCTTAGTCACGTGGTACACCTGCATTAACAGTAAAAATAACTCCCAGAGGCCTATGGGAAATTAGCATTACGAAAAAAGTGAGGGGTAATAATATATAATATTGTAGGGAAATATTGATCTGACAATTTTCTCCTGTTGATCTTTAATATTCTACTAAATTACAATAGTAACAAGAAATTCCAAGTATGTTTATATTCTTACACTTGGCGGCATGTTTCTATTAACAACTATTTGTTCCATAATAATCAAACATGATATAGAAATATCCTCAGCGAGCCAAAAATAGTTCAGCTATACATAAAAACATTCATAACACAAAGTTTTATTGCTATGCAGTATCGCTTTTGGATTTTTTTCTGGAACTTTCTCAAAATCCACAGTGAAACATAACATATTTAACTCGACTATTCAAGGAATTGCAAGACTAACCTATACATAGGTGTGTCGGATTCATCTTAGCGCTGTTATGGCTTTGCATGCATCTTCATATCTCAGAAACCACTTAAAGTTGTTGTCTTGAAATTCTAAGAAGTTTTGCATGCAAGATCAATATCCTAAAATATTGTCGGTATTTGATTGAAACTGCACACAAGCCTTCGATCATAATTAAAGGTAATGTTAAAGTATTGTAACTCTAGCACCGATATTGTCGGAATTGAACTTGTTTATCTATATCCTCCGTCCTACCTTTCGCAGAATAATCGAGCTAATGCAGTCACCCATTTGTCGGCGTCGGCGTCCCTGTGGTTAAGTTTTTGCGTGTAAGCTGGTATCTCCATAATTACTGAAGTGAATGGATTGAAACTTCACACTTGTTCTCTGTGATTATTTAACATGATTGGCACAAGTCCCATAACTCTGATTTGCTTTTTTGCATAATTATGCCCCTTTTTCGGGTTAAGTTTTTGCATGTAATTACTGAAGGGAATAAATTGAAACTTCACACACTTGTTCTTTGTGATTATCTTACATGATTGGCACAAGTCCCATAACTCTGATTTGCTTTTTTGCATTATTATGCCCCTTTTTCGACTTAGAAATTCTTGGTTAAGTTTTTGCGTGTAAGCTGGTATGTTCATCACAACTGAATGGAATGGATTGAAACTTCACACACTTGTTCTCTGTGATTATCTAAAGTGATTGGCACCACTTCCATAACTCTGCTTTGCTTTTTAACCAGGTTTTCAACGAAAACCGGGTTATTGTAATGCCGAAGTCGGCGGGCAGGCGGGCGGGCGTCAACTTTTGGTTTCCGCTCAATAACTTTCGTTTGCTTTGGCCTATTGACACCAAACTTGGTGTATGGATAGCTTATATCAAGAGGCAGCTTGGGATTGCTACCCAGGTGTCTGTGATCAAGGTCAAGGTCACTGTTACTAAAAATAGAAATTCAGTTTCCGCTCAATAACTTGAGTTTGCTTTGGCCTATTGACACCAAACTTAGTGTATGGATAGCTTATATCAAGAGGCAGCTTGGGATTGCTACCCAGGTGTCTGTGATCAAGGTCAAGGTCACTGTTACTAAAAATAGAAATTCAGTTTCCGCTCAATAACTTGAGTTTGCTTTGGCCTATTGACACCAAACTTGGTGTATGGATAGCTTATATCAAGAGGCAGCATGTGATTGCTACTCAGGTGTCTGTGATCAAGGTCAAGGTCACTGTTACTAAAAATAGAAATTCAGTTTCCGCTCTATAACTTGAGTTTGCTTTGGCCTATTGACACCTAACTTGGTGTATGGATAGCTTATATCAAAAGGCAGCTTGGGATTGCTACCCAGGTGTCTGTGATCAAGGTCAAGGTCACTGTTACTAAAAATAGAAATTCAGTTTCCGCTCAATAACTTGAGTTTGCTTTGGCCTATTGACACCAAACTTGGTGTATGGATAGCTTATATCAAGAGGCAGCTTGGGATTGCTACCAAGGTGTCTGTGATCAAGGTCAAGGTCACTGTTACTAAAAATAGAAATTCAGTTTCCGCTCAATTACTTGAGTTTGCTTTGGCCTATTGACACCAAACTTGGTGTATGGATAGCTTATATCAAAAGGCAGCTTGGGATTGCTACCCAGGTGTCTGTGATCAAGTCAAGGTCACTGTTACTAAAAATAGAAATTCAGTTTTCTGCTCAATAACTTGAGTGTGCTTTGGCCTATTGACACCAAACTTGGTGTATGGATAGCTTATATCAAGAGGCAGCTTGGGATTGCTATCCAGGTGTCTGTGATTAAGGTCAAGGTCACTGTTATTAAAAATAGAAATTCAGTTTTCGCTAAATAACTTGAGTTTGCTTTGGCCTTTTGACACCAAACTTTATGAATGGGTAGCTTATATAAAGAGGCAGCTTGGGATTGCTACCCAGGTGTCTGTGATCAAGGTTAATGTATTTAGTTTTCATGTTATAACTTGAGTTTGCTTTGACCTTTTGACAATAAACTTGCTGAGTGGCAGCTTTGGATTGCTACTTTGATATCTGGGAGCAAGTTCAAGGTCATTTGCTTACAATAGAATTTTCAGCTTCTACTCATTAACTTCAGTGTACTTTGACCTATTGATTGCTGTCACATCAAAATTTGGTCGTTGAAAACCTGGTTTTCGTCGCATTGCGGCGCTTCTTGTTTGCATATTTATGCCCCTTTTTTGACTTAAAAATTCTTGGTTAAGTTTTTGTCTGTAACCTGGTATCTCCATAACTACTGAAGGGAATGGATTGAAACTTCACACACTTGTTCTCTGTGATAATCTAACATGATTGGCACAAGTCCCATAACTCTGATTGCTTTTTTTGCATATTTATGCCCCTTTTTCAACTTAAAAATTCTTGGTTAAGTTGTTGCTTATCAAACATGATTGGCACAAGTCCCATTACTCTGATTTGTTTTTTTTGGGGGGCATAATTATGCCCCCTTTTGGGCTTAGAAATTCTTGGTAAAGATTTTGTTTGTAAGCTGGTATCTCCATAACTACTGAAGGGTTTGTGCCTTTTTGGAACAAGTTTATGCATTCAAAATAATAAAGCAGTGAATACTCGATGAAACATCATAATAACAAGCCTTTGTACCTTTTCGGACAATTTTATGTATTCATATAGGTAAGCATTATTATACTCAATGAAACACCCGTGTGATAACTTTTCGAATAGTTGAGCGTTACTCTCCTCCGACAGTTCTTGTTTTAGTGTATTGTTTTACTATAAACATGAGAGTAGTCGTGGCGCAGTATGGCCTGCAGCTTTTGTTTTCTGTTATGTCTGCAATATAAGACTATTCAATGTATCAAAAATAATTTTATCAGCTGCTGTCTTCTGTAAAAATACTTGAGATTTAAAATAGAATAACGATCAGTATAAACATATAGATGTAAGTTTGGTGCATGTAAAGATTATTCAAATTAAGTAGGTAAAACGTCATGTTGAAGTTATATCTGTAATAAAATATGCATAATTTTCTAAAAGCTACTGACTTACTTTACAATATAACACAATAAGGAATTCAAATCATTCGTAGACTTGTGCGAACACCTTTTAAGCGTGCGTTGAATTAATTGTTCAAGAAATTATTTGTATTTTTCAGGAAGAATACGAGGGTTTACGTCTCCTATCATACCCAGGCACACATGTGTTCCTTTTATGTTACTCTGTTGTTATGCCCGACACTATGAAAAATTTGGAAATGAAATGGCTACCGGAAGTGCGGAATAATTCGCCTACTTCCGCTTTTCTCATAGTGGGAACTCAGACAGATCTTCGAGATGATGAAAAAGTGCGGCAAAAACTTCAAAAACGTAGATTAAAACCAGTAACTCCCGAGGAAGGTGCTAAATTAGCTAAGAAAGTTAATGCAGACTGTTATGTAGAATGTAGTTCTTTAACTCAGCAGGGTCTCAAGGACGTTTTTGATGAGGCAATGTTGGCCGTTTTGTCGCCAAAAATTAAGAGACGAGCTCCTAGACGAGGGAGACGAAAATGTGTAATTTTATGAGCGAAATTCAACTTTGTATATTTATGATCTCTGCTACAGTGATAGTTAAATAAGAAACTATATAATGTTACAATCAGCGTTACAGAATCATAAAGTTGAAGCTTGTATGTGCAATTCACAGTGTTCGAAAAGGAAAAACATATAATAGAATTTTAACATATGATGATTTGGTTATATGTATATATCACGGAAAATCAGTTTTCATATTTAACATGTGTATAGCCTTACCAAAATATAATTTATGTGACTGTAAGTCAAGTAAATATCAAGCTAAAATCAGTTCCGTTTGAAACAATAGTACACTAATGTTTATATTTTAATAGATACAGAATGATACTGAACACCCGATGGAAAACCCAGTCAATGGTAACTGTCAAACTTCGTTATGGGTCATTGGCGAGGTGTTCCAATGTGACTGACCGCAGACGTGATAATTACCACCCGCCGGCCACCAACAACAATCTTTAATGGTTTTGTGTTACATCATTGTTAACAGTCTAAAGGGATATCATTAGCAACACAGCCTTTTACTTACACAAAAATATTGCATGTTTTTACAGTAAATCTGAAATGTCGGACAGCTGTACAAGACCCCTGCAGCGATTTTTATTGCTTACATATATGTATACATTCCTTTGTTATATTTTGCCAATGTAAACATTTATATATATTTTATATCAATTTAGAAAACAGATATTTTTCTAAATTGTTCAATTGAGGTCATTATAAAAGCATATTTTGTAAATACAGATTTATATTATTTACTGTATATAGCAACGACTATAAGCGATTTTGTCTAAAAGAGGTGCCTGATAGTTTATAACAAATTAATCTACATTTGAATTAGACACTTGAAATTACTTCTTTTGATGGAAAAATTTAACTTAAATTCAATAGTTATTTAATGTATAATTGAGCTATATCTTAATTTGATATGTAAATATTTATATTGATTTATATATATTGATTCATTGAAATGTTTAAAAGTTTAGATTTAACCAATTTTACAGAGCAAAACTTGTTAAAATAGGGAGACATGTATAAACAAAACTGGAATTTAAACGTAGATACAATACATGATGAATGAATTCTTCCCTAATTCCCCCACTAGACGGCGGAACATATGGATTTACCCTTTATCCTTCACACTATCACGCTGTCCGTCGGTAAATTGACAAAATAGTAAAATATGGGGGCATCTGTATCATATGGATAAGTTTTTAGTTATTATCCTTTTTTTCGAACGTTCAGTTAACATCTCTAACATCTCTAATTACTTTTATTCAATATAAATTATTTTACCATAATTATATACATTGTAAATGAAATATAAAAGACGATTTAGCGAAGTTTACATGTGTTAACTGTATACACATTTTGTCATATACAATTTAAGAGGACAGTTTGGTAGTACATGTATGACCTGTTGCTAAAAGCTACATGTATATTATAACTTGATGTATAAATAAGGGGAACTGTCATGGTTTCCTGGTAGGCCTACATTCAGGAAGTTTATTTCCTATGAAAATAAATGATAAAATAATGAAATGAGTTGTTTATAATAAAGTACATTGTGTTTTACTGATGAGTGAACTTTGTACCAGTGTACATTACTGACTATAAGTTTATAACAACAGAGGAAGTATATCATTAGATATAAAGATGTCTGACAGGGTTATATAGTTCGGTACAAACGATTGTTAGGTTTTATAACCCGAGTCACGAGGCTAGTGTTATATTGCAAACAACCGTTTTACACATCTACATAACATTCCAATTTTACAACGAATTTATAATACTGCAGAATCACATTGAGGAAAATCGAAAAGGTATATATATATATATAACCATTACAATTATCTACTGAAAGCCGACATTACAGACGTGCAGTATTATAAACATTATATATAACCAGAGTCGCTAGACGAGGACTTTTATTACAAACAACTGTTTATATACGGTCATATAAACTACAAGAATTGTTAATACGAATTTTGTAATACAGCAAACTTCCTTTATTAGAGAAAAAGAAGAACTGACTTCAATAACTGTCATCTGTCGTTTATATAAGCGTCACGATTATCCTATATGAAAAGTGAGTTACAAACATGTAGTATAACAAGATTGGCCTACCAAATTCCGTCTAGATCAACACTATAAATTTTGTAAAAATAGTAATAAACAGGTTACAAGTCGAGAGGTAGATATATCTTTAATAAAATATTTATTAATAATAGCTTAGTAAAGTTCTCAGAAACGCTCAAAACACTAGGCATACATGTCGCTGATGTAGAATCATTCATTTCTAATGTCAGTGTGAAATTGCACTCAAAACTATTTAACAATGAAAATCCTTGGTGTTCACTAACACTCGCTTTGTTTGTTCATTTAGTCGTTAAAATATTTCAAAAATTATCAGTAGATATTTTCAACCTTTAAGCTAGGTTATTTCCTATTTTTGAAGGGTTAAATATTCGATACACGATATAAATTTAGTACACAAAATAGTTTATATTATTATTTCTGTGTCTATATTCATATTTATTGTATGGAAGTGTACATGTATGTGTAGTTGTGACAGCTTTTCAACGTATCTTATTATACCCCACTACTTAAGGGTGTGGATGCATATAGATAGATAGTTTTATTTCAATCATATTAGGCTTAAAAGCCCACGATATATAGATTCTTGTCTTTCCGTCACACAGTCCTGCTATCATACTGTCCGTCCATAGACTAACACAACAGTAGAATGTACGGGTGGGCATCCGTGTCCTAGCGACGTTATGTATAGTTGTATAAAAGTCATAAGCTTACACAGCCTTCATTATAATTCCTGTATTTAAAATGAAATATACCTAAATTTAATAAAACTCTTGTATAGCCGACTTACCGGTGGTTATGGTCCCCGCCATTAATGACCGTTCTAAAAGCACGTGTCAGGAACAATTATTTATGTTAATGAAAATATTAAATATGTATACGATAGTGTGACTGTAATGACAATAATTGCACAAGTACAAAAACTACATGATAATAGATTTCGTGTATAATGACAACAACAAAATATTAATTAGCATGTCGCAGAGCGAGGTGAATATTTCAAACTCTTTAAATATATTAATCGAGTTACGATTAAAGGGGAGTAACTCGTACAGTTATATTGGTCCGAGATACTAGACTAGTTTGGATGATTGTTACCGATCTATTCAAGGTATCAGATCAAACATGATAGTTGAAATATACAATGTCTTTATAGTCAACACAAAGAGCGTATCTCATCAAATTAAATCAAGTCCGTGCCCATTTAAACAAAGAAGTATTTTACAATCAAATAGTTTTTGTCTAATTTTTAAATTCAATTGACATGAGTGTGTAAAGAATTTTTGTGTAGGATATTAAAAAGAAATGGTGAGATTTGCAGTTATAAATGTGTGTTTTTTTCTTTGAATATAAATTACATTAAATAAGAATTAGTTCTTAAATGATGATATATTATACATAAATTATTTTAGCCTGTTAACTTTGAGAATCCTAAATTACATTTATAAATAGAGGTTTGAAGATCATGTGCATACATGCAAAGTATCATTGAATATTTGAATAATTTTCCATATGTCATTTGAATGTCATTTTTCTTTTGGTATCTAAGGCTGACAGTTTCACGGAGGAACAAATCGCCGGTATGTATCCACAAATTCTACTTTCTAAACTCATCTGTCCATGTTTTAGCACAAGAATCACACTTTATATCTAAAATATTTAATAATTTTTCGCTGTAAAGTTATATTTTCTCGGATTTTAATTTCAGATGTGACATTCTAATGAACTAGGTTACTTTTTAAAGTGTAAGCCTAAATGTCAGACTTACATTAAAGGCACAATATGCCTATATGAAATGAATATTTAGTATTAATGTTACTTGGGGGATGGGGTTGTAAGCGATGGTAACTATACAATGTTATACAAGGAGTTGTAATCGTAATTATATAATCATAACTGATTACAATTAATTATAGTTACCGTTACTATATGTACAATGTAGGTGCATAACTTCTAGGTAAATCGCGATGAAAAGAATATAAGTATACAAAGTGTATAGCGCTCTTTAGACCTGTAACTCCTAAAGAAAATTTTGAACTCTTATAACCACGGTAATTTCAGAATATAATACTCTTAATAAACACTGTATAAAGAAAACGTAATTGTCATGAACTCGCTATGAAAACTTTTAACACGATAAATACAATAATGCATTCTTTAAGACATCGAAAAAATAATAAAACGGAACTCTTATGAAAACAATAAAGAGAGTAATGAACTCTTACAAATATGGTAAAGAGAAAATGGAACTTTGATTGACTCGGTAAAGAAACGTTTGAACTCTTATTTGAAGAAAGTATGGAAATCATACAATCACGGTAAAGGGATTACGAAACTTTAAGAAACGCGGTTAAGAGAAAACAGAAGCTTATTAAATAAGGTGCAAAGAATCAAATACGGTAAAGAGAATATGGTTTTCTTATAAATACGGTAAAGAGAATATGGAATTCTTATAAATACGGTAAAGAGAATATGGAACTCTTATAAATACGGTAAAGAGAATATGGAACTCTTATAAATACGGTACAAATAATATAACACTGTTCAGAGATTACGGAACTAATTGAATACTAAATTCGTAAATCTAAACACGGTAAAGAGAATATGGAACTTATAATATATTAACATGGTTAAGAGAAAAGTGCCCCAGTTATGAACTGTATGGAATTGTTGTAATCACAATAGAAATAGTATGGATCTCTTGTAAATTCGAAAAGGGAATATAGAATTATAGTGAAAACGATGAAAGGAATGGGAAAGTCATTTTTGAGCACCTGGGGAAAGATACAGTTAGAACGTATATCAAAATATGATTATTTGTATCGAAGTGTGATTATCGATTCCAGAGTTTAAGGGAAACTTTTGTGTTTTGGGCAAGGAGGAGAAGGGGCGATAGACTTAAGGAGCTGGCACAGGATGAGGGGATCGGTCAAAAAACCTTCCATAGCAGAAGGGGGGGAAAAAAAAATGAACTGACAGGAAGTTAAATGTTTACTTTTTTATCTACAGTTTATGATAGAATATCCAAACCCTTATTATAACTTTCCAATAACATCCATAATTATAAATATCTTTGTTTTCATGTATGATACTGAATCCTATCAACATAATTATTTATGGTATTAAAGACCCAGTTCACTTTAATAGTATTCAGTGTTTAAGGCAGCAATATGCATTGATTGTGGATATAATGCAATATTTTGTCAAACTGAAAAAAATAATTTTGAATAACTTTTTAAATTAAACCAAAATTACATAATATCTTACCATGCTAAATACCAACAAGACAGTTATTGCGCTTTTCAATTGTAAGACATTCAATGGCTCATGAACAATCGTTTGTGTTTCACTTAGAATTAACTAAAAATGAAGGTAACTTGGCAGGTTATATAGATCAGACTGTATGGATTAAATATGGAAATTAATAACGTGAAATATATATAATTACAGCGGTAGATTTTAACAGTTTTCTACAGTTAATGGCTACAAAAATGAAAGACCAAGAAACCGAGGACGATCTACTGGAAGCCTTCCGGGTATTTGACAAGGAAGGCCAAGGTACATATTTATTGCCACTAAATGGTATCATTTCTCTTAAGGTGCATGTTATATACCCACGGACTTTAAATGTCATGTCAGAGAATGTCTGTGGTATACCAGAGGAATTCATGAAAGTCTGAAAAAGTCCTAGATTTTCACAAGTTCCATTTACTTCTCTCTATCTGGACTATTAGCTTATCTGGTCGATTTACTTCTCTCCATCCTCTTCCCGGACTATTTTCTTCTCTCCAACCTCTAAGAATGTCGATACATCTACTCAGATGGTTTCATGTTACAGAATAAAGATACATGTATGTCAAAATTTTTGTATATTTTTATAAAGGTAACATAAGTTCGGCAGAGTTACGTCATGTCATGACAAACATGGGAGAAAAATTAACAGACGAGGAGGTAGATGAGATGATTCGAGAAGCAGACAGTGATAACAGTGGTATGGTTAGTTATAGCGGTACGTACATCTATAGTCTTGTCGGTCATGTCTAGTCTTGTCAGTAATGTCTTGTCAGTCATGCCTGGTCTTGTCAGTTATGTATTGTCTTGTCAATCTTGTCTTGTCATTCATGTCTTGTCATTCATGTCTAGTCTTGTCAGTCATGTCTTGTCTTGTCAGTCATGCCTTGTCTTGTCAATTATGTCTTGTCTTGTCAATCATGTCAAGTCTTGTCAGTCATGTCTAGTCTTGTAAGTCTTATATTGTCAGTCATGTCTTGTCAATCATGTCAAGACTTGTCAATCATGTCAAGGCTTGTTAGTCATGTCTTGTCTTAACAATCATGTCTAGTCTTGGTAGTAATGTCTAATCTTGTCAGTCATGACTAGTCTTATCAGCCATGTCTTGTCTTGTCAGTCGTGTCTAGTCTAGTCTTGTCAGTCATGTATAGCATTGTCAGTCATGACTAGTCTTGTCAGTCTTGTGATGTCTAGTCTTGTCATGTCAGTCATGTTTTGTCTAGGCATACCATGTCTAGTCTTGTCAGTCATGTTTGGCAGTAATGTCTAGTCTTGTCAAGTCTCGTTAGTCATGTCTAGTCTTGTTAGACATTTCTAGTCTTGTCAGTCATGTCTAGTCTTTTCTAGTCTTGGTAGTCATATCTAGTCTAGTCATGTCATATCTAGTCTAATAAGTCATGTCATATCTAGTTTAGTCAGGTCATGTCTAGTCTTGTCTCGTCTTGTTAGTCATGTCTAGTCTTGTGTATTAACTATAAATCCTTTCAAAAAAAACCTTGTCAATAAACTATTTAGTCTTGTTCAAAAATCTTGTCTATTAAGTATCAAACCTTGTATATAAACCACTCGTCTCGTTTTTATTTGTTTGGGTCGTCAGACCAAACAAATAATGGTAGGAATTTCAGAGTCTGATGCTCTTAATTGCAAATGCTGAAAGTAGGCCGCTTTTTTGAAGCGGTTACTTCCCTTTATATGTACACTAACGCCAAAAAAATCAGGGAAGATCACTGCGTAAAGATGGTCAAATGACAGGCGCATTAATTTTCAAGCAAAATAATTCCCGAATGGTAGAATATTTCTAATATTGTTTTATCCTTTATAGATATACATGCTTGTAATAAGCTCCATGATTATTTACATCTGTGTTAAACAACAGTTAGCGTCGAAATAATAAGGGTTACAAACCCTTATTTAGAATAATATGGTTTTCTTCAGGCCTTTTACGTATAACTTCACCGTGGCCGAAGGGTCTGGAGTTCAAATCCAGGAAGGCAACTCTTTTTATTTTCAAATTGTTTAAATCAAATAAACATTGAATTGAATATCAGTGTTGCAATTAGTCTCAAAGCCAATTAACTACAATTAAAACGAAGGAAAGCACTGGTGGCACTATACAAAAACAAATTGGTTTATAATCTCACAACCTTCACCTTTCTGACATTCTGAGACCCAAACAAATTCAGCGCCTTCTGTGCTTTGATTAAATTATGTAATCTAGTCTTGTCTATCAACTAAATTATATTATATATGAACTATGAAGTCTTGACTATTAACTGAAAACTCTTGTCTAAAACTAAATTATTTCAAACACTTATGTCAATAATTCAGGATGCACCGTTCTTGACCGAACACTAACCTGCACTTGGCATTTTCTTCTATGCTGTAATAGATATGATGTTATAGCATAACAAGGCATTTTCCGTTTGTTTTTTCAGACTTTGTGAAAACCATGTTCAGCAAATAAGCAGTGCGTTTAGAATTACACCTCATTTTACATCATTGCTTACAGGTAAATTAATTTATAAAATAAAATTAAAGCACTCAAATATATCGTGACACCATGGTCAGTTCTTCCTCTATAGTCAAACGGAATTACCTAGAAACGTAGAACACTAAACTTATATGCATTTTAAGTTGAATTAATAAATATATGCATGTCATAGGATATACTTTAAATGCATTAGTACAAGATAACATTATAATATAATATATTGCCTTATGTATCGGTGAGTGCTTACAAATGTATTAGTAAATTGATCAAGAAATTTTATTTTATAAATGCTTACTTATCAGCTAAACAATTTAGTGTTTGAAGTTATTTTTGTAAACAGTTTCGCTGCAAAATACATTTCATATATATGTAAGTTTAAAATTCTTGACTGAATAATGTTTATTTGTTTCTCACTTTTTCTTTCAGTAAAGAATACAGTCGGCCGTCTGAACCATGAAACATTCATTGACTTTATATATTTTTATATATTGTAATACATGTAATATACACAATGTGAATCAATACTGCTTATTACTTTTCATTGTTGTGAAAATATGTTGTTTGATAATCTTTTTAGTAAGAATAAATTGTTTAGCCTCGTTTGAAAACTCGGTGTAAGTGTTGGTGAAACTGTTTAGTTAGACGATACAGTGAAAATGAAGAACATAAGAAAGTATGTGACAAAAGAAATGTGACAAATCATATCTTTAACCTATTGACTTTTGGCGTTGAAAGAATGTACCCACGTGACCAGTGCAGACATGCACTGTCCGCCACAGGGATAAGACGATTATCCCCTACCTGTAGCCCCCTTCCTCCATCCACAGATTATCAAAAGAAACTTCATGGATGTATAAGCTAGGTACAATTATTCCTGATGGCATGAATTCCAAAATATTTTATTAATTTTGTAGATTATAATTCTTCATTTTAATATATTTTGTTTATATAAAAAATTGTATTTTCTATTTTTTGCTTAATATGACTTAAAACTAATTTCATGTCAATATGTAGTTTATGCTGGTTTTCTTATTTAACAAAAACTTAAACATAAATTCTAAGTCGAAAAAGGGGCATAATTCTGTCAAAATGCTTGATAGAGTTACCTCCTCCTGTCTACATGTTGGGGTCATGATGGTGAACAAGTGTGCAAAGTTTCAAAGCCATATGTCAATGGACCTTGAAAATATTTGAGGTATTACAAAAACTTTAACTTAAATTCTAAGTCGAAAAAGGGGCATAATTCTGCCAAAATGCTTGATAGAGTTACCTCCTCCTGTCTACATGTTGGGGTCATGATGGTGAACAAGTGTGCAAAGATTCAGAGCCATATGTCAATGGAGTTTGAAAATATTTGAGGAATTACAAAAACTTTAACATAAGTGGTTACGCTAACGCCGACGCCGACGCAGCCGCCGACGCCGACGCTCGGGTGACTACAATAGCTCTACTTATTCTTTTCGAATAGTCGAGCTAAAAACAACATGTTTTTCCATGCACTTTCATATCTCGGGTTACACAGCCATTCACTGCATAGGACTTGTCTACTATATGCCTTTATTTATAATAACAATTGATGGATGCCTTCATTTATAAGACTGAATATTCGTATTAAGCGTTAAATTTGCCTTTGCCTTTTGAATTAAACATTTCATAAACCTATTACAGGAACTCCGCTGAGGTTTATAAGCCTAAAAACATAAAATTTTATTTTTTCACATAGATAAACATGAGCACTTTAAACATAAATATTAATAAAATATAACCAAGAAATATAGAAAAAATACATTGAAAATCATATGCTTATTCTGGAAAAACGGAGCAGGCTAATGATCGGAAATTTTGCACATAAGTTATCAATCGCAACTACTCGGCCCTTTCCGTCAGTCTTCGGATAATATTGTAGATAATAGCCGAGGCAGTTCCGAATGATAAGTTATTAGTATAGATCTACATCAAATGGAGAAATAATCTCAAAAAAATTATTTCCAGTCCCGTCATGTCAAAAAACCTTAGTGGAGTCCCTTTACAAGATACAACAAATAATAGAAAGTAATAATAAAAATAATATAATTAGAAAGTATCATGAATAAAGTAATATTTTAAATGAACAAAAATGTTTTACTCTTTCCTAGTTACTGTAGCACAAAAGCGCTGAAAATTGTTTCTTTGAACGGCTTTCAGCGTTATTCATTCTTGCCGATGAATTGCTGTCGATGTTATCATTAAAAAGAGGCGAACAGCTGATGACGTTACTAAAATTTTGATGACATTCAAACTTAAATACCTTAAAACTTTAACAGAAAAGCTTTTTTGAAGGTATGCTTTGGAATATATTAAATGACGAAATGTTGACGTTTACGAATCTTATGAAAAAAGGATTTATTATCATGAGAAAATATAAGTTTTTGTGACTTTAAACTAAAAATACCGCATCTCATCTGATAGTGTGGTTATTTTCAGTCAAAATTCACGTGAAGTAAAACTTGCACAGGGCCAGAAATTTGTTAGCATGCTCCTTTGGATGTTGGCTATGAATACAAAACATTGATTTACTCGAACACAGTTGGGATATGTTAAAATAGATGAACACTTACCGTACGTCAATTGTATTCCCCGCGCCGACATGTATATACTGGTACAGCTGTCGACGCGGGAACAGCTGTCTGCCCATTTGATTGTACGGTGTGATCCAGTCCCTGTTATTATCCCTAAAAATATGATCTAAAGTCAATTTCCACATTTAGTATACTAATACTACAGAGGTATAATGAGAATTGTGTAATAGTGTCATAATTAATATTGTTTTTATGAATAATTCATATTGAAATTAACTTTAGATCATATTTTTGGGGGTTGTAACAGGGACTATATGGAGGGAGGAGGGGGTCAGGTAGGGGATAATATAAAATCAAAGTGTCTTATCCATGAGCTGTCCGCTTGAATACATAATACATATTTTGAAACTTATGGTGGCTGATTTCGTGTACGCTTTTGTGCGTCTAGTTGGCGCTAGCGAAAACACGGCAAAGCGCCAAACGACGCGTAGTTGGATTTTCGTCTTGTCGTCCTGTCGCTAACGATGCACGCCAAACAGCGCGTTGTCGTGCGACGTGTTGTCGCGATGTCACATTGTCGCTCGGTTCAAATCGAAGGATTGGCTTGTAAGCCAAGCGACAGGGCGACATCGCGACAACGCGCCGTTTGGCGTGCTTCGCTAGAGACAAGCCGACAGTGCGACAACGCGCCGTTTAGCGCTTTAAAGTGTGAAGTGTTGTCGCTAGCGACAGGACGACAAGACAAAAGTCCGACAACGCGCCGTTTGGCGCTTTTTAAGTGTCTTGTTGTCGCTAGCGCCAACTAGACACACAAAAGCGTATCAAATCAGCCACCATAGGTAAAGGTTTAATAAAAGGAGATAAAGGTGTTTGATTTCAAATCATGAAAATAGAAATAAACAAACTGTCGTTACAGTGACGAGAGCCTATGGAGCCTGATGTGTCGTCTGAGCACGTGACAATCTGAATCATATAGAAGCTTACTCGGTCGAGGCAAGACGACTGTTTAAGTAACACTCCAATGTCGTCCATTTATCTTTCTATTGTCGGCGTTAAGATTAAGTAAATATTGCAATATCTATACCAGCACAATAAGGCGATTAAATATATTTTTAAACAGTTTAAAGGCGTAGAACACGCTTTCCTTTTTTCCCAATTAAGTAGACGATCGAACGTTAAAGTTTAAACCATAAGAAAAGAACTGAAACCTACTTCTGTGTCTAACACACGCACACATATGTTTTCATGGAACTAAGAATAGTCCTAATTCTCGGTAATTATGTCTTATCAAGGCCATTTTCGACCATTTCCGTCCAAAGTCGGATAAGTACAGAAGTTGAAAACGGATATATGGTTTTTCGGGATGTCTTAAATGTTTAGTTATCTCACATGGTTTAAAGACTGTATTCAAACGGAACAATGTATAGTGATTTATCAGAAAAAAAGATTTTCTAAATTTTGCTAGTAGTTCATGGAAGTTGTAGATGTACAACCAATCAATTTCAATAGGTATTAGAGCAGCCTTTTGTTTTGTTTTTGTTGTTTTTTTATGTGGGGGAGGTGGGGGGGGGGGGGGGGTAGTAATCCTAACAAAAAATGAGATTCTCTCAGTTGAGAATATGAGAAAATTCTCTTATATGAGCCTGCCTGTAAATCTTATTATTGGATGATAGTTATTTGGGTGACGTTTTTACATTTTCATTAAGAAGTTTACAGGATTAGTTCATAATATGCAGTCTTATTACTTGCTTTTTATTGGAATTAAATTAATGCATAAACCTGTATATACGTTTTAGATAAAATATATATATATAGCTAAAAATCATGTTTTTGTTGTATAATAACGTTTACTGTAAATTTTGTAAGAAGAGGGTAGCGGATAACTTAAGGTTGAACACTTTAATATAAGCCTGTTAGAACTCTCAATTTCTAAACAGGGCGGATGGGCCCTCATTAATTCAATATTTGTTTCCGATGTGCTTATTGGTAATAGACGAGGTGTTTCGAGTCCCAGCTTATAACCTTATCCACAGTTTAATTGCAAAGAACCAAAAAGTTGCGATTGCCAATAAATGTAAAATAAGGTTACACGAAATCAATAGGTAACTTGAATGTCAACCATATGTTAATAAATATATTCGGGTATTCATTTATATCTTAAAAAATGATAATAATGAACTATATAAGTCGAAAATGAATATAACACAGAAATTGGTAACTTTTTTTCTCAATACATGTTGTAATGTTTCATTCAATCATTTCTATTAATCGATAAATGGTTAAAACCCTTTAAAATACTACCGTTCAATATAGGTCAAGTTTTTATTATTATTCCAATAACAACCGGATCATAATGGAGTAAAACATAATCGAAATTTTATTTTTTGTAATTTAGAATCACTTTTTAAGACTTGGACGTAAATATCGGTATTAATTTGACTAAGGGACACTAACTTTAAGTAAAGGCCGATATTATTTTGTTTTATAAAGCGTCGTGGTAAAAAAAAAGAAAATGGGTTCAGCGGCGCATTGCTTCGGATATGTGTGTGTTATACTGAAGATATTGGCTCTTATCTCAAGCCTTGTCGGTTTGGGTATACCATATTGGTATCAAGGGGACGCAGTAGAGTCCACTGGACTAACAGGCACGGTAAAGACGACTATAAGAGAGGGGTTGTGGAAAAAGTGTACTGTGCTGGAGTCCACGTCCACAACGGAAACATTCTGTGTAGGAAACGATGGTACGATTTATTATTACAACTGTAATATAAAAATAATAATAGACTATTAATGTGTGACATGAAGTCAGTCTCAAATTACATTACAAACTAATATATCATGTAAAATAAAAGAAATGGTGTAATCGCTTAATATAATATATAGGTTTATCTAACTCAATAAAAGAAAACAAAAATTCAATACTCTTTTTTAAGTTTGAAATCAAGACTTCGTCACCAATATTCAACTCGAAATGTATTATAAATGTATCAGAAAATTTCAAAAGAGTGACAGTTGAATGTGTCCATACCACGTGATATATTACGCCATTTTAAGTTAAGGTATCAGATAGCCACATATATGTAATCACTTAATTTTACCTGATAATTATGTGGTTTTAACTAGTTAAGGCACGTACTTAATTAAAGGCTAACGCGTTATGATACTACGTGCAATGAACTTTGAAATCTAGAACATATTGCCGGTTCTAAATACGTTTTTCTTTCAATATCTAGTAAAAGTTAATATAAAATGTAAGTGGTATCTTACTTCAACAGGGTATGGTTTCTTGTTCTAAATTTAATCATATATCAAACAAATGTGTTCAGTTTCTGTGTATAGTTTATGCATCTACTATAATTTTATGTTGAAAATGAATAATTTAACAAATAGATTAGACACTTTGACTTTTTTATTAAACAGATTTGATGATAAAGTAATGGTAACGATGAAATATCCGTTTTGCCACGAGTAAGAATCATTATAATAATACATGTGAGGAACGTCAGCACAGATGCCCAAAATATAATTTTCATTTTTCTATGAAGGAGTGAAGTCTTTTACTAAGAAGAAAATAAAGGTCGGCTAGTGATCGACTTCTTTCACGCCAGTAAATGCGTGACGACTGAAAAACACCAGCTAAAATAGCGCAGTATTATCATTTGCATTTTATTACATATTGAAACCATAAAATGCAAATTGAAACAGTTTGTCATATTTTAATGCGTCTGCAGAGAAAATCGTTACGTACATTTAGTGTTGATTTCATTTAATTGTTATCACATATTGAAACACGTTTTAAACGTACAAATGTTCATAACCACACGCCATTCATTTCTTATATATGTATTATTCAACCGACAACAACAACATTTTCGCATTCAATCTTTCATGCGAAATGTAAAAGTTAGCAATTTAAATCTTTACTGAAAATCATGAAAGTATTAAAACGATAGAAACAAATAACATAACTTTGAGTAAGAATAATTTTTAAAAGTCAGGACTGGACTCTCGTAGAAGTATTGTATGAATTAATCTGGATATATTTTCCAAACAGAGAAAAGAAACACATTACATTTATGGTTCATAAAAGAAAGTCAATGTAACGATAAACGCAGGATTACTTTTTCACCCATGCATGTATATGACTTGATGTTGGGTCATCGGTTTAAAAAAAAATCATACGTGATTAATTCCTGCACAAATAGTTGAAATATATCTAAAATAAATTTGCAAACCAAAATATTTGAAAGGGATTTAATGTATAACATTTGCCGTTTAATTCTTTTATGTTTGGTCTTGCTTTCAATTCTTTGGAATCAAACAATTTATTTAATAAAAAAGTAATCACACTGGCCATAGCTTTCGCAGAAGCGGTGGGTCTACCGCAGCGACGGTGGAGTATTCGTCGCAGAAGCGGTGGATAAAATATGGCCGTTTGTTGTTTTCGGTAAGTATATGACTGAATTTTGTTTTATGTTTTAATGTTTTACTGGAAACACTCAGTGAGACTGGAGCCCACATATGTACTCTTTCAACCTATTACACGGGCACGGTGCAATTCATTGCCGTTTATGCAAACACTCCTGTACAGTTTGATGAGGGGACGCCACTTTTGCCTAATTTTGGTTAAAACACATACAAATGTGTGCAAAACGACCCATAATACATCGGCATCACATCGAATCAATGATACTTTCACAAATTAACCATAATTTGGAAGATTGGGAAATTGTTATTGCCTGTTTATAAAATAAATGACAAAAAAATGTTTTCGTCGCAGACGGCGGTGGATTCGATTGCAACGCAGTGCGGTGGGCCCGATACCATTTTTGTATATTTTAAGAATTTAACTTGACGTAAGGCATTTTTCAATTGAGTACAGCCCTTTTCTTACTTTGACATCTGAGAAACGTGTTTATTTGATGTTTAAAACGATATTAATTATTATATATACTCTTGTACAAAATATGTCCGAGGTCCGCTTTCATTTTCCTTCCATTGAAAATTACTTCAGCCATAATTATCATAGAATAATCCACGTTCAACTATTTATTGCGGGTTATTACTAAGTATCAAGTATTTTTGAGTGTGAATGCACCATTCCAGTTGAAAAGCGCAGGAAAGTAAGAACATATATAGTGCCCTTTATCATATTTGTATTTCCAAGTTCATATTAGGGATCATGCATTTGACAACCTGGACCGTAGAGGAAACGGCGAAAACTAAGAGTCATAATATTTGACCTTGATGCACCACCGAAAGGAAATTTAGCGATGTGCAGGGAAGTCCACAAATGTGATGAATCCAGCCAAAATATCACATGTGTCAGACATTTACATGTTACACGTGATCACGTGTTATACCTTATAACCAATGCCGATTTCTGACTTATTAAAAGCGGAATGGCAGGTATATATATATATAAGCATATAGTTTTGCATTGCGGCATATGAGTTATAAATACATAAAGTTAACACATATTCATGGCATTTTCGAGGGTATCATATTAGTTATAAAGATTTTGAAAGGCTATACAATATGGCCGTATATAAACGGTTGTTTGAAAATATAATACATTAACATACAATTTCTTATTAAATAAACAGCAGTCGTGTATATAAATATATAAACTTTATAATACTGCATGTTTGTAACGTAATTTTTCGTTGGAAAATCGAGACGTTTATTTAATTATAGAGCTTTTTGGTTTATTTGTAACTTTATTTTCTGATTTTTACACACATGTACAAGTATAATAAAGAACTTCGATAGCTATTAATATTGCGAACAACCGTTTATATACGACCATATAACCTGTTGGATTTATTTATAACGAACTCATAATACATCAAGCATTTTTTGTTAAAAAAAATGAAATAATTTCATAAATTGACGGCAGCCATGTATTTAAAAAGTACATTGTATGTATATAAACGTCACGATTATCCAACAAACGTGCAGTATTATAAACACATACACGCAAAATTAAGGATGTTCGATAAAATTATATTCTTTAAATTAAGCATGATGCCAGAATATGATAACATAAACATTTAGAGCGGGAAAAAAACTTAGGGTTCACCGATCTCATTTCCTGTACGTGAATTTGATTTTTTCCTTAATTGTGGTTATTTCAAGGTCATATGACTTAAATGTAAGTTCTGAAAAATCTTTTTTCTCCCGCTTATTACGTTCTTTACTATATTTGTGTACATTATTAGAGAAAGACTTAATTCCATAAAATACTTCTATTACCTTTTTTTTTATTTCATTTCATACTTCAAAATTCTTTAAACATATACCATATTTGAAACCATTTTTTTTTATAAATGTCACAATTTAAGAAAAAGAAGATAAACTAAAGCTATTAAACGCGTAGGTCTTTACTAAAAAGTAATAGAGAAAAACTTTTCCTGAAATAACTCTTACGCTGTAAACATACAATTTATTTATATTGGTGTTCTCAATATATATGGTAATATAACACAGTGACATTAAATTTTCGTATTCAAGAAGCATGTTCTGTTTATCTTTACGAGTATCTCTTATACATGTATGTCTATATGACAAAAAATGAACTTACGGTCTTTTTAAGTCCAAGGTTGAACGTGGATTATTCCATGATAATTATGGCCGAAGTAATTTTCAATGGAAGGAAAATGAAAGCGGGCCTCGGACATATATTTGTACGAGCGTATATATAGTAATTAATATCGTTTTAAACATCAAATAAACACGTTTCTCAGATGTCAAAGTAAGAAAAGGGCTGTACTCAATTGAAAAATGCCTTACGTCAAGTTAAATTCTTAAAATATACAAAAATGGTATCGGGCCCACCGCACTGCGTTGCAATCGAATCCACCGCCGTCTGCGACGAAAACATTTTTTGTCATTTATTTTATAAACAGGCAATAACAATTTCCCAATTTTCAAAATTATGGTTAATTTGTGAAACTATCATTGATTCGATGTGATGCCGATGTATTATGGGTCGTTTTGCACACATTTGTATGTGTTTTAACCAAAATTAGGCAAAAGTGGCGTCCCCTCATCAAACTGTACAGAAGTGTTTGCATAAACGGCAATGAATTGCACCGTGCCCGTGTAATAGGTTGAAAGAGTACATATGTGGGCTCCAGTCTCACTGAGTGTTTCCAGTAAAACATTAAAACATAAAACAAAATTCAGTCATATACTTACCGAAAACAACAAACGGCCATATTTTATCCACCGCTTCTGCGACGAATACTCCACCGTCGCTGCGGTAGACCCACCGCTTCTGCGAAAGCTATGGCCAGTGTGGTAATTGATCTACGTCTTCTGAAAATTATGAAATACTTCAATGTTTATTTCTCGAAAGAGTAAATCGTGTACATTTATTTTAATGACGTAAATAATTAGACACTGCTATTGTTGCATTTTTCACTTTTTTTTTCATTAGCAACATGTTACTAAGTCTATACATGCACTTTTGTAAAACGAATGCATTGTATATTTTGAATAGACCTTCATATTTTAATATTCGTAAATAAGAATAGCTATAAAAAAATTACTGACCTAAGCCAACAATTATCGTTACATGCTCGGTGCCATTTACTTATATTACCCGTAGCCTTAGAAATATTCATTTATTAAGCCGTATTAACTATATTGTAACTCAATACTTATTTTTGTTGACAGATATAGGTTACATAAAATTATATACATTTACAGTGACAACAATCATCGACGTGATTCGCTGGTTGATATTTATTGCCGCCGGAATACTCGGTATTGCTGTACTTGCCGCCGGCGCAGCTCACATGGAGAAGAACAGCACAGCTTTTGTTGTAGCTGCCATCCACGGATTTATATCAGGTATGGATTCTACATTTGTATTTTTTGCACTATACTTAAATATTTAAAAAAATATTACATATAAAACGCTTTCACCTTTTTACAATATTAAGTACTTAATATTTTGATAATTTTCTTTTTACAATATTAAGTACTTAATATTTTGATGATAATTTTCTTTTTACAATATTAAGTCCTTAATATTTTGATAATAATTTTCTTTTTACAATATTAAGTACTTAATATTTTGATAATAATTTTCTTCGTTTTTTTTTTATAGCTGTAGTCCATTTGGTAGCAACAGCACTTTATGCAACAGTGGTAAAAGACGATATTGGATTTGAAACCAAACATTTGTATATCGGCTGGGGTATGGTGATACTAAGTGCCATCCTGACACTCTTGGCGTCTGTGTTTGCACTGATATTGGCCCGGATGGTGCGGTCAACTACAAAGGTCGAAAGTGAAGATCAAAAATGAAATGGACAAACACTTAAATGTCTTACAATTATTACTTTAACATAGTAAATTATAAACTAAAAATGAGAAAATAATATATCTACTTAGTACAGAAACTCGCTGTCATTTTGTATATAAGAACGGTTAAGCGATGACTCATATGATATAATGCTCATGTAGAAATTGCAATAAATATATGTGTTTGTTTTAGAAAGAAAAACTACATTTCGTTTCAACTTCTTTACTTTCAAGCTACTTCTTTCCCCCTTAAATGTTTATCTCGCTTATAAAACAGACCAGGATTTTGACACTGGTTATTAAAATAAAAATAGCACTTTTTTGGCCAAAGGAATAAGATTTTTTATAGCTTTAATAGAGATCCACTAGGCTGTGCATTCTACATAATTGCACTGCTAAATTGTAATTGTTTCCAGATACTGTGAAGGAAAACCACATTTGGTATTTATATAATAAAGCCCGACAGTTTGGCATAATTATATGTTATTTCATTATGTAATAATTCATTCAAGTTCTTATTTTTGGTGTAAACCAAAAATTTATTTAGCTATTCAGATGTTTTCAATTTCTTTAAAATCCCACTAGATCACGAAATAATTCGATCTGTCATAATTTGAACGGCAGATTTGTATCAAATACTAAATTAATTTCTTATGGTTTCTGTGAATATATTGAAATGGATAAATGGTATAAAATAACGTGCATATCAGTTATACTGGTATTAATTTTCAACAAGAATATAATTGAAGACAATGGTGCCTCCCTGTGCGCATTTGCAATGCGCAACGAGTGACCAGTGACGTAGATTCCAGTAATCCCTATCTCCACTCAAAGCTAGAGAACAACCCAAATTAAGTTTCTTACAACCAAATATGAGACAAATAAATAAATGCTGCATTGGCAAAATTGTAAAAACTAGAAATGTGTCCATAGGACACGGATGCCCCCACATGCACTGTTCTGTCAATCTTATGACTCTAGGTCAAATATTTTTTGGACTACATTTGCCACAAGTTAAAAACTAAAAATCAACAAAGGGCCATAATTCTGTTAAATTTGGTCGCAGCAAAAATTCCTTCCTTTACTACCATCTACACATTAAGGTTGTTCATCCCTGGAAGTTTAAGCAAAATCTGCCATCCGGTTTAAGAGGAGTTGCGTTCACAAAATTTCTACATAGTATATAGTGAAAAAAATCAAAAAAGGGCCATAATTCTGTTAAATTTGGTCGCAGCAAAAATTCCTTCCTTTACTACCATCTACACATTAAGCTTGTTCATCCCTGGAAGTTTAAGCAAAATCTGCCATCAGGTTTAAGAGGAGTTGCGTTCACAAAATTTCTACATAGTATATAATGAAAAAATCAACAAAGGGCCATAATTCTGTTAAATTTGGTCGCAGCAAAAATTCCTCCCTTTACTACCATCTACACATTAAGGTTGTTCATCCCTGGAAGTTTAAGCAAAATCTGCCATCCGGTTTAAGAGGAGTTGCGTTCACAAAATTTCTACATAGTATATAGTGAAAAAATCAACAAGAGCCATAATTCTGTTAAATTTGGTCGCAGCAAAAATTCCTTCCTTTACTACCATCTACACATTAAGGTTGTTCATCCCTGGAAGTTTAAGCAAAATCTGCCATCCGGTTTAAGAGGAGTTGCGTTCACAAGATTTCGGGACGTACGGACAGACGGACGGACGGACAGACGGACACTCGGACGGACAAGTGCAACGCTATATGCTCCCACCCTGTGGGGGCATAAATTTTTTTATCAGTTTGGTAACCTTCTTTGATACATGCGACCACATCTCGTCCGTACCAACCAAGACATTTAATGAATAAGAAAGATATCAATTAATACAGGTTGTAAAAGCAAACGTTGACATTGAGATGGTAGAAATATGGCTTTTGTACTCTGCACTTCCTCTTTATGACTATATTATAATAGAGGAAATTTAAAAACTGAGTAAAGTAGAGTTATTTACTGCACATTGCACTTCCTCTCACTGGTCTCTATCTCAACCAGTGACATCAAAGATATGATCATTTCTTTTGGCAGCAAACCTCAAGCAGAGTGGTCTTGACTTGCGTACATATAGCATCATTCGGTGAATTACTGAAAGGTGGACATGAATAGAGACATGTCCTGGGTCTGTACTCTCAATGTCTGAAAGGGCAGATGGACTCTCATTTACCTTGGAACTAAGACACGCGCGCGCAAACACACAAAGGATATCATAAATCGTGTATAATTATACTTGGGTAACATTTTTAAGTGTCGTCAGTAGAATTACGCTTCTTTTGGACTGCACTTTTTTCATTGGTATCTATTACTGTGTGAAGTTTAAATCAAATTCCTTCAAGTTACTCTCCGGACAATCATTAAATATTGTAAGGGAGATAATTCAAAATTGTAAAAGTTCTTTGTAATGTTTCAATAGCTTAGTTACACCGCAGGCAATAATCAGCAAGGAATTATAAATCAAGTAAGGTAGAGTTATACCATATACCTTGTTCAATGGTTTCTATCACTGTGTGAAGTTTAAATCAAATTCCTCCAATACTTTTACAGCTATTCTCTGAACAAGAGTGTGATCGACTGACCAAACACATGTTCTTACAAGAAATTACTGATGTGGCTACTCCATTCTTCTCTTTAGCCACATTAAGGAAAATAGCCACATAAAAGCTTACCGAATGACAATAAATAGAAAGTACAGTCACCTATTGTTACTGTAGCCATATACATATTTAAATGTTAGCTCAGACTGAAGGACAGACATAGTGGTAACTATAGACTCTACCTTTGGACAGCATAAAATCATCAACAATATAACATACATATACATGTATATGTTTCACTATAAGTTTATAGAGTGTACTATAGTGAAATACAAGTTCAAAACACTGACCTATATTATAATGCAAAAGCTCTATTTAGGTAAACAACTTAAAACATTTTTTATTAAGGTAAACAACATTTAAACAATACTTCAGCGTGAGTGTTATATTCTACAGTGTGTATGAAAATAAACACTAAGAAATAAACAACTATTTAATATTTAAAAACTACAGAGTCAATATTTTATTGAGGCAAACCAACTTTACATGCTGTGAACTATGCATGATGAAATTGTACTAGTTTTCTCCCATTTTTAGAAAAAAAAATAAACAGATAATCAAGTAAGTTTTTTTTAAGATTTTTATTGTTTTACATGGTCTTTTCAAGCACCATCTCCAAAAATTAAAATAAAAACACAAAATATAACATATACATAAGACAGTTTCAGTATTTATTTCATCTGTACTAACAGAGCAGTAAATATACTTCATGTACACTGTTTTACTTCACTGTTATTTCATCTTCACTGTTAACTTCATGTACACTGTTTACTTTACTGTTTTACTTCATGACACTGTTTAACTTCACTGTTTATATAATCTTCACAGATTTACTTCATATACACTGTTTAACTTCATGTACACTGTTTTACTTCACCGTTTTACTTCATGTACACTATTTTACTTCACTGGTAACTTTGTGTACATTGTTTCACTTCACTGTTTACTTCATCTTCATTGTTTACTTCGTGTACAGTTTTTCTTCATGTACACTGTTTACTTCATGTTCACTATTTTACTTCATGTACACTGTTCACCCCATGTGCAATATTTTATTTCCATGTTTACTTCATGTACACCATTTTACTTCCCTTCCTGTACATTTTTTCACCTCATGTACAGTATAGACACCATTTTAGTAATCTTCATGTACTTTTTTACTTCACATACACTGTTTTTGTATGGTATACAGACAGATCTTGCATTTGTTAATACATCATCATTTATTGACAGTTATGTAACTATTATAAGACTGCTAAAATCTCAAGTATCTTGTATTTCATATAACAAATACCATAACCCATTTATTTAATGTCCGTAATTTACAATATGATTGTAATCATTACTCTGCTGATGACCACTGAATTAAACCATGTCACCAACATAAGCTGGTGTACATTATGATCTGCATTATTGCCTATTGTCAGTACAGACAGTTTTCAAAGTTCTCAAATTGTAACAAGTATTTATATAATCAAGAAATTTTAACATTAAAACAAATATTCGTAACATTTAAAGCAGCATACCTCCAGATTCATGTTAATTTTCATGAAAAATTTGGAAGTGAATTTAAAAGTAAAATATTGTGAGGTGAACAAATAAAGTTATTAACATGTTGCAATCAGCACTTACAATCAAAGAAAATTACCAAAAAATGGTCTACACATGCAAAAACAGCCCTTACTGCATTAGTAACGCAATAGAAATATGGTGAAAAAATACTACAAAATCAGTCTTAAACCGCACATAACATGTAAAATATAACTAGGATCTTCAATATTTTTACCTTTCTTAAAAGTTTACTACATTTTTCTCAATATTGATCTTCTTGAAATATTTTGGCTCATCTAGAGGTGTGCAGCTTTAAAAATAAACAGAGTTTCAATACCGGTAAGTTTTTAGCATACTGCATATGTATCTGATAAATAATCCTTCATGTTAAGCAATAATAACAAATTGGCTTTCTGAAAATTCAAAAGAGAAAAGAAAATGTAAGAGCTTTGTAGCAGAGAAGGGGTATCCCAGAATGTTGTATACAAAACCTTCAAGTTGATCATTTTTGAACCATAGAATATTAATACACAATTTAAAAGGTTATCTGTAAGAAATATAAACGAAACACCTCAATAATTGCCAAAGTTATTAGAATTTAAATAAAGCCACCTAGACAAACCTAGAACACTACCAGGTATATGTCATTAGCAAACTCCTCATTGCTTTTCTAAGTTTTCTCCATGGTGCTAGATGCACTATTTCAATCATTTGTCATGGTGTAATTAACAAACCTTTAATTTGTCTTAAATATCTTTTAGAAGCATGTTTACTATTAATCACATCTGAACAATCATATCTCGTTTCAGAATAAGTAAACAATGATTTTCACAACGTCTAGGCATTCATCATGAGAAAAATATCTAAATCTAGGTAATGGAACTGACAACTGGTTTATTTGAGAGCACAATTTGAAAATATTTCTTAAATTAGAAAGGAGTCCATAGGACAAGGATGCCCAAACATTTCATGGTTTTTACAGTCCACAAACAATCTATGTGCTGGGTCACAAAAGCAAATCTTTATGTCACCCTAAAAAAATGGGGGCATAAAAAGTTTTGTTTCTTTTTATTTAAAAACAAATGTGACCAAAGAATTTGTTGAGACCAGGATGTAGGCTAGATATGAAGAGTTTAGATTACAAATTATGACCAACATTAAAGTTTTCAGACAGCAACAATAAAGTCAATAACACCAATATTGTAGCAATAGATTTTTTTCTTAGAAAAAGTCGAGCTAATATGTGAAGTTTAAAAGTTCGCAAAATGATGTCAAAATACACTTTACATTCATGAAACTTAGCCTATGCAGATTGTTTGTGACCCTTCATATTCAAGTTTCACATGAATTCTGATTTCTGGAACATTAAAGTAAATGTAAATTTCAGGACATTTTTTCAGCTAAAAAGGCGCATAACTTTGTCAAAAAGAAATATAAAGTTGCAAAACCTGGCCTGCTGAGCGTGTTTGTGACTCTTTAAATATATTAAAGTTTCCAGTATGTGTCCTGGTTAATGGGTAATAAATGTAAATGTTTTTGTCAAAAAAATATTTTATATTATATCATAAAGCGTCTTAGAATATGTTTTATAAATACATGTATTAACAGTTTCAAGTATATACCCATTTTGGTGTAATGGAGTAATTGTTAATTTTAAGATGTTTAAGTACCAAAGGGGGGATGACTTTATTAAATGCAATATAAAGTTGTGAAACTTTGACCTACAGAGCAATCTTGTAACCCTTCATATAGACGAGATGATGAAACTAGAACTGCCACTGTCATGTTGTGAGTATCCCCGCATACCACTTTGTCAGAATCAACAGTGGTCATTTAAAGCTAAAGGACAACCTCCCTGCCAAATCTGAGGGTAGTAAGCCAGTGCATTGCTAAATTATGTATTCTACATGTTCTTACCTTTGACCTCAAAACTGAAACTGCCACTGCATGACTTGAATACCCCCATTCATGCAGCTTTGCCTGGGGGTGTTTTATGACGAATATATGAGAACATAATTATAATCTTCAAATGTGAAAATGTCAAAATCAATAACACTTTAAACAGGCATTCTTAAGCATTTGAGTGGACAAACTAATTGAAGTAAAAGCCCCTGTGACCTTGAACTTTGACACAGTCACCTAAAAATCAATAGGGGTCATCTACTGGTCATAACCAAACAAAATACCAAACATGAAGACTGCTGACCAAAGCATTGTTATGCAATTGAGAAGACAAGCTTTTTGAGCTTAAGGCCCCTGTGACCTTGACCCAAAGACCTCAAAATCAATAAGGGCCATCTACTAATAATGACTAACCTCTATGCCAAATATGAAGACTGTGGGTCAAAGGAATCCTAAGTTATTGGGCGGACAAGCTTTTTTCAGTCAAGGCACCAGTGACCTTTGACCCAGTGACCTTAAAATCTATAGGGGTCATCAACTCATCATGACTTACCATAATGCAAAATATGAAGACTGTGGGTCAAAGGAAACTTAAGTTATTGGGCAGACAGGCTTTTTTTAGTCAAGACCCCTGTGACCTTGACCTTTGACCCAGTGACCTCAAAATCAATAGGGGTTATCTACTCATCATGACAAACCTCCATGCCAAATATGAAGACTGTGGCTCAAGGAATCTTGAGTCATTGGGTGGACAAACTTTTTTTAGTCAAGGCCTCTGTGACCTTGACCTTTGACCCAGTGACCTCAAAATCAATAGGGGTCATCTACTCGTCATGACTAACCTCCATGCCAAATATGAAGACTGTGGGTCAAAGGAATCTTAAGTTATTGGGCCGACAAGGAAAAACTGACGGATGGACAAACTGATTCCAGTATATCCCCCCTTACAACTTTGTTGTGAGGGGGTATAAAGAGCAAAGTGATTACCATATAGTCCAGAAACATGTTTGGTGGGGATATTACCCAACAAATTGGCTTGATTTTAGGTTGATTTGAAATACAGGGGGATAAAAGTAAGAGAATTTTAGTGTACTTCAACTACATCACTTTAAAACACATAAATTAAGGCATCACATTTCATACTATGATTTCATAATTCTAGATCTATTGTTCACTCTTTTTGTCTGTATCAGTTAAATTATTTTCAGAAGTTTTTGTGTCTGAGAGAAATTTTTCTAATCTACGTCTTCGTACTTCGACCATTTCATCTGTATATTCTTCTGTGCGTGGATCGTCCCATTTAGGAATATATTCTTCTACTTCTGGAGTAAATCCACTAGCACCCTCAGGTTCTGATGTTTCTATATAATCAGAGAACAAAATGAACAAGCAAGTTAGTTGAAATAATGTTTCAATGGTGACAGTCATGAATTGATAGCCCCCTATTGTATAATACAAATCATTTCATTGAAGCTTCTTTGTATAACTCTGAATATACAGTCGAACTTTGTACGCTCGAACTCGGAGGGACTGTGCAAATTTGTTCGAGAGATTGGTAGTTCGAGCCAACCGAGGTTGAACCATTATTACGTTGATCATAGGTCTTAAGGTTTTCTAGCTTACAGCGGTCGAATGATAAATAAGTCAATATAATTGTTTGTTAGTACATCTGTTCGTCGAATATCTCATATTCAGAATTATTATCCCAGTGTTTTCAATTAACGGTAGTACACTGTGTTAATCTATATTCATGCATATACTGTGTTAATCTATATTCATGCATATTGTAATTTGTTGAGTTCGATTGGGCAATCAGACCAAACATGTTGAACAATGTTCAACATATATTTATTTGTTTATTATGGGATGAATTCAATTTTAAAAAATGAATTAATAGAATATTAAAAAAAAATGTTTTACAGCAGCATCTATTTGTAGTCATTTACTAAAATAAGCACACCTACAAGTATCATTCTATATATAGATAGCACTGTTACAATTCACGTTTCATGAACAGCTGTAATTAAAGCCGTCCGGGTAAACGTCATTCTTAATTGTCTTTTGCATATTTATTTGCAGAGTTATTTTCTTTTTATTGTTAACATAAATGGCAAATCAACAATATTATCATAACAAACAAATCGGTTACAACACCTCTTATTTTGTATCAATTAACCAATTACCTTTGTCAGGATCACGAGGTGTTAAAAACATGTGTTGCCGACTGTCATTTATTTAGGACATGTCACCTATAGTCAGTTTGTGTTCAACCGAAAAGGTGTGATTTTCACTATATTTCTGCCGAAGGGACCAGAGATCAGGTTTAAGAGTTCGAGCGATCCAAGGTAGAACAATATATATATCATATAGGAACTTTGCCAGGACTGAGCGATGAGTTCGAGCGAAGGGAGGTATTCTAGCGATCCGAGTTCGAGCGACAAAGTTTAACTGTAACTGTAAATGACTTTGGTTTCTTTATTTTGAAGGACACAAAAACCATTTGAGCACTGTCAGACAAACTAGCTCTTATTTCAAATGACCTACTCTGTAGCAATGTCTATTTTAAGAATCTATGTTCAGTAAACTTTGTACTAGAATAACATGAGATTCAATATAAAACAAAAGTTACCTTTACTTTTTTTAGAATTTTCATCATCTATATTTTGTTGAGTTTTCTTGCTATACTTTGGCCTAGCACCAGTTTCCTCACCAGGAGATGTAAACACTGGTGGAGTAGACCTAGTCTGTAATGGCTGTGATAGATTTATTCCTGATGTACTGTAATAAAAGTAAATAATATGAAAAATATAGTAGACAGGGCATTAACAGAATTTTTAACATCATTTTCACTGAAATTTAAACATATATGTATATTAGATTAATTGTGATAAAAGTTAAAAACTTATTTAAACCACGCCAAGTCCCAGCACTAACCAGTACCAGTACTATTTGACCTTGACACTTTGTTTTTTGTTTGTTTTGCTTGGTTTCATGGTGCCCTAACACAATTTAGGTCATATGGCACCAAAACAGGAAAGATAGTTTTTGGTTAACCTCAGGTGTTACAAAGCAACACCAGGGGTCAAATCTACCCCACCTGCTGGAGCTAATAGATGCATGGACTCCATTGATTCAAACGTATTAAGTTGCCTCTTACGATCATGCAATAACTCTTCAAATACTGAGTTCACAAGATAAACCTTGATGACCAACATTTCTGTAAAGACTCTTGGTCAAATACTTTTTAGGCTATCAACTTCCCATGTTAAAAATAGCAAATTTTACCAAGTCAAGGGCTATAACTATGACAAAACCAGATTAATCCACTTGCAAACCCCAGGTGCAGAATAAAGTTTGTTGACTCTAGCTCAAGCACTTTTAGAGTTACATGCAACACAACATGAGAACTGATGGACAAACAGACAAGGGCAAATCTAAATGCCCCCCAACTCCTAGACTCGGGGGCACAAAAATTGAATTCTAGCCCAGCATTCTCTACCTTGAACTTGTTGCTATCGAGTTATATTGCTGCATAAGTAACATTGCACCATCTAGTAAAGCCTGGATATCTCGTAACCACTGAATCCTTGCCTCTATATTCTCTCTTTCTACCCCCTCCATTGATCTTAACTCTTCCACAGACAGGCCGGATAAGCTTGATGGTGGTCGTGGAAAATCTAACAAAACAATCCATAAGTTTAATATTTGGATACAAATGAAATTTTCAAAATATCAAAAAAATGCTAAAATGTAATACCTAGCAAAAAGGTACGCTACTATTAAAGTCTAATTTATATCAATATGTTTTATCATCCTGCGATATAAAAAATATGTTTTTACATAGCAACATATTATCTTATGTCAACTAGCTATTCTAACATTTGTTTTCTTGCATATCAGACTGGCGTTTCCGTGAGTTTTACCCATGCTGGAAATATTATCTGGCATGGGGGGTTCCAGATGAGTCGCGTGCTGTACAATAGCACGGTTAGAATGACGTCATTTTACTGTTATGAATGAAGTTGTAATTCATACGCTGTTGTAAGAAAGTAGTTACGGTTGTAATGATATAAATTTTCATTGAATATAAAGATAAAAAATTAAAAATATAATGGAATATGGTAGAATATGCAAGAAAAAATATCTGACATGTTTGCGGTTCGGATCGGAATATCGGCAAGCCTTGTTACCGCCCAATGGGCGGGTCACCTCAGGACGGATATTCCGATCGGAACTGCAAAATATGACAGATATTATTATTGAACTTGGAAATGTCCATTGTTAAAGTGACATAATGTCAATCAAAGTGAACAAAGTATGTGTACAGGTAAAAGTCAAAACAACTTTAAATTATGTCATATTTGTTTTCAATTTCAATTTTGGAGTTAAATTTGATAAAGAATTATGAAACAATCACTTACTATTTGGCATAAACATAGGAAACATTGGCATAAATGATGCCATATTTGGCATGGCACCTGGCATGCCAGTAGGGATCCCCCCTGGCATGGGTGGTAAGCCTGCAGATGGTGGTGGTGGTGGTACAGATCCTGCTGGAGTTGTGGGAGGAGTCTGAGGGCTTGTACTTTCTAAAAAATTAAGTGAAATACTAGATTTGCATTACATGTACAGATATAAAACAAGTAATTGATCTGACAAAAAGTAAAGAAGTTATAGTAAAAAAGATTTAACTGCACAAAATGTTTGATCTGCAATCTGGATGCAGACACCAATGCTGGGGTGGGTAGGACAGCTCTCCAAATACTTTTTATAGCCCAGCTAAAACTGTACTTAAGGTCTAAATATGTTTTTTTTTAACAAAAAGACTCCTTGAGCTTTTGCTATACACAATAACAGAAAAATGAGTTACTCCTTGAACCAGACATTTTTAATGTCAGTTTGGGTAGGACCACAAGATTATCCAAAATGCCAAAATTAATGGTAAATAAATAAATCATACAAATGTTTCAATCAAATATAAAGTTGATCGAGCACAGAAGTATTTTGAATGGTGGCAGCGGCTTGCCATTGATCCTAAACTCTGGTGAGCTATCAGAAATTTCTGTTCAAGAAATGTATAAAATAACAGTAATAACTATTATTAATATTTCATAAAATACCTTTCAGGTAATAATGTTGATCTTATTTTAAAATAAAAACAATTCACAAGATGATGTTGTCACTGACAATTACTAACTAACCTTGTGTTTGCTGGGGCTGATTGGCCTGTTGTGCTTGCTGTTGTTGTTGAGGCATTTGTTGGGGCCACATTGGGGGCATCTGAGGAAACCCGGCACCAAACACTACAATCAAATAAAGGTAATGTTGAAATAAAATTCAATAAAATGTAATTTTCAAAAAACATGTACATGAAACTGAATCTGCACCTGAATAAGTACATTTTGTGTTTTAACTGTACCCTTTTCATTTGTTTTTCTTTTTTAGGGGTGAAGTATATCAAGGTAAATTTCTAACTTTCCTTAGCGGCAGTGGTCCCCAAATAGATAATGCATAACATACATGTATATTTAAAATTCATTTCAAGACAAACTCCCCAAATAAAAGAAGTCTACAATGTAATTTTTCAAGATCTAAAGTCAGCCATTTTCTTTGTAATGTCAATCATGCTTCCAATATCTACTAAGAATAAACTCAGAAATACAACATTGCTAGTATCACAATATTTGTTTAACTTCATCATAAGTACACTTACTATTTGGAAATTGTGGCTGAATATGTTGCTGTTGGGGGAAAGGCGGTTGTTGGGGTGTGGGGCGTGTTGGCTGCATTCTTAACACCTCCATTCTACAAGTTGGACAAGTTTGTTGACGTTGGAACCAGGATCGTAGACAGCTGGTATGGAAAATATGGTTACAGGGTAATTTCTTACAAGCCATTACCATATCTTCACGACAAATGATGCATACATTATCCCCAGACTGAAGCTCTTCAGCAGATACATCTGGATAACTGTAAATATACCAATAAAACTAAACTGATTAATATTAAATTCTACAAGGAAAATATCAATGTACCTATTGCAATCTGACAGCAAATGTTAAGACATATAGTATTGACAGTATTGTGCTATAAATATGACTTTTCTATGTTCTAACTTTCAATGTGTTTTAATTAGATCATTTTACACTGAAATCTGAAACAATATTCAAGGTCATGCAAGGTTCAAGGATATAAAATGTTTCTGAAGTATTCAACTTAAATGCCTACATATTAAACTTCCAAGTTCATACACAAACAAAAAATCAACGTAAGTTGTGAACAAATATTCACCCAGTATGCAACAAATATCTTTAAGAGAATTCACTATCATACATGTGTTGTTCAACACAGAGGGAATGAGCAGCAATTGTGATTGGTCTATTTCTTTAGAAGGTTAGAGCACGGACACCAGACTGTTAGAGCAACATGATACTTAAATACTTAACATTTAAACAAGGATAAACTTTAATGCATTGAACAAGAGCTGTATTGGACTTATAACTGACAAAAATGTGTTCCTTCAAAAAGGTGTCAGCAGGTCATTAATATCTCATGAGGTCAGAGGTCAGACAAAAATGGTGAGTGACTGCCTAAACAGGCATTATTATGTTTTTATCCAACCGCTAACATTAAATGGTGTACTACTGTGAAGAAGAATTTACAAAACATGCATAATACAAGCCGACTTCCAATTGTTTTCAGTTCATTTTAGTAGACATATTGCTTTTTAATCAATATATTTTCTTTTCTTGTTATACTTTAACCATTCTGTTCTAGTCAAGTGTGGTACATGTATAATATAAGAAATAGAACACAGCACTATGGACCTCATAGCATTATAGTAACTTCCAGGTCAACCAAACAATTGAAATGACCTCAACCTTTCCCTTCAGTCCGTTAAATGTTTGCCTGCTTACTGATTGGTCTTATAATACTATAAGACCCTCAGTGCCTGGTAGTTTTTCATCATTATTAATTCTTGATTCAGGGTTAAAGCACTTACAGTGTGTTCATCTGTCTAATAGCTCTTCTAGACATAATAACGTCATGTAAAGATTTCTTAAAGCCCCTGAAAACAAAATGTAAGAATGATAGTAATTTCCCTAGATGGCTCACCTGATATCTATTGTTAGAAAAGGTAAAGGGTAGAAAAGGTAATAATACATTTGGTCACATTGGGTCAGGGTTATTTTGGAATGATTAAATGTTTTTTTCAGGTCCACTATGCAATGCTTAATGCAAATAACTAAGCTCTACATCAAGCAGTTTTATACAAAAAGGGAGCAGCCAAATTACACTATCCCATATGTATCATTATAATAAATTTATTGCTACATTACAAATAATTATTCTCTGGATCACAGATTTTAAAAGTTTTTTTTCCAATACAAGTAACAAATGTGACTCCAGCACACAGACAGATAAAATGATATCACAAAAGCTCACTTCTGAGCACTTTGAAGTCAGTTTAGCAGCTAACAGCTAATAAAAACCTGAAACCTGTGTAGCTGGCACATCTGTGCCATCTGATCACAGTCTTCCCTGTTCATTTTTCAGTCAGTCCTTATTTTGAAATTTCTAACATAGATTGGTCAATAACCAAAAGGAAAATAAGAAAAACTCTCAGAGAATGGAAATAAGGCTGACAGACAAACCTGCATCTATATTGCATGTACTTCCTACAAACTTATTCTCTGCAAAAGCATACAAATATGAGAGGTTGTACATAGCTAGTGATATAAATGAACTTTTTATACATACCTAACAGAGAGATACATTGGTCTGATGGCAAACAATGGGAATGTGTGAATCTTGATCATAATTACAGTAAATGTCATATACAATATGACCTTTACAAAACCTGAAACATACAAAATTGATATCTTTTATTACCTTTACAAAACCTGAAACATACAAAATTGTTATCTTTTATTACCTTTACAAAACCTGAAACATACAATAAAGTTATATTTTACGACCTTTACAAAACCTGAAACATACAAATATATGCTTTGTTTTCTTAAATCAGCAGTAACATTCTTTTATCATTTATGATGAAGCTTCTACATATTTCTTCAAATATTTTAAATATTTATAAAGATTTTTTATGTTTTGTTATTAGTCTGTTCATTTACTCATCTAAAAAGCTAACAAGAAAAATTCTTAAGGAAAACAATTTACCAAGTACAAGTTCTGAGTAGAGGAGATAAACAGCTTTGTTTTCCCAGGGGTTCTCACTCTGAAGGTCTATGGAATGTAAGACATACTTCATTGTAGCCATCATAACTATGGTTACCAAAATAGCATACTGAAAATAAATCACATATCTTTATCTCAGATATACATGATGTATGAAATAAACACAGAGACTGAATGTTTCAGTCAGAAGATTGATTCTTACACAACAGTGATGTTATCGTTTTAATTTGGACAGAAAAGGGAAAGAAAAAAAAACCAAATATTTGAGAACCATGAAAAGCAAGAATACTCAACATAATCTGCCAAGTTTGACCAAAACCTATACAATTGACTGGTAACTAACTGAAATCTGTATGATTAACATTGCTTTAAACTTAATATCTCACTCTAAAACCCCTAAACATGTTTGTCTTGTTTTTTACTATATAGATAAAATATTGTCACTGAACATCAAATTACAAATATTTAATTCTTATAAACACCACATTTACTCATAAGCCCCATTCCTCATTTATGTCTTTTTGTGCTTCCCATACTTTGTATTTAGTTTCCACTGTGACCTGTTCATGTTCACTGTAATGAAACTACTTCCTTAACAATTCACAAAAAAGATTGGCTAAAACTTTACAAAAATAAACCAATTTACATTATGTACAGCTTACCTCAAATCCAAATACTAACTGTACAGATGCTCCTTTAGTCAAGGTACTGTGGTATGCAAAGTTAACAAAGTAGGCATCTATCACTGACAAAAATGACAACAAACCTGGAAGGGAAGTAATTGCAAATTCAAAACTATGGAATGAAATGCAAAGAATGGTTTCTGACTTTTGGATTCAAGCTTTTTACAGCCGATCCTCTGAACTAAGTAGTTTCAGATATGAAGGTTAATTGGGGTTACTAATGAAATATACGACAAGACAGTAAGCGGAATTAATATCCCACACAAATAACTTGATTCTTATCAATATTGAAAAACTTACAAAATGAGTTAAAATGAATATTACATCTTTACTAATGACACAAGAAACACAAAGATGAGCACTGTCAAACTAGTATATAAACCTGCATTCTTTTGAGATATAGTGACATTTAATATAATTATGACATTTTGTACCTATATAAAATATTAATATTTCATATTGCAGTGCCGTCTCGTATTCTGAATTCCGTTTACATTCATATTATGGATAAACTTTATGATGAAATTCCCAATGTTAATCATTTTGTAGTTAAACAGTATAATGTTTGAACCACAGTCGTTGACATAATCAGATTTTCCAAACATTGTAGTTTTATAAAATCAAACATAATTGTATTAAAATTTTTCCTATATAAGTCTATATAAACGAAGTGATCCCTGGGCAAATTTTGACCCCAGGGTTACAATTTGAACAAACTTGGTAGACAACCACAGGAAGATGTTTCATGTCAAAAGCTTTTTCTTTATTGGGCTTAGTTTTTGACCCTAGATGACCCATATATTCTTATTTGAGCTAGAAATTATCGAAACAAGTTTTCTGATCAATTTACAGGATTTTTGGACCACTTGATATTTTTTGGCTCCAATGACATGATCAGAAATGATCCTTGTTTAAAACTGCTGGATAAATTACTAGGACAAAGATCCTTACAATTTAGGCAAAGATGTGACCACTAGTGTTAATGAAATAAATGTGGATGGACGACAGACTACGGACATTCAATGATTCTAAAAGCTGACCCTGAGAGCTAAAAAGCTGTTGACATGTTCAAATATGTACAAAATGTTCTAGCACTTACTAAGTACTCTCACATGAAACAAGAAGGAAATGACAGGACTTCTCTCCATCTGAAAAAGAATTTCACACACATGTCACATATGTTATATATTTCACCAAACAATCAACTTTGAGGAATCTCAAAATTGATTATCATTTATAGTCACCAGATGAGTGGAATAAATTTATAAAAATAAGATCAAACCTAAGAAAGAAATTGGTAAATATTCAGAATCTAAGTGAAACTTATGTACAGACTCAATAAAACCGAGTCTGCAATTTTCAAATAATTTTGTTGTGATTAATGCTTCCGAGGGATCACTTTGTTTCCAGATTTTTTTAACACATTAAGCAAACTTAGACAAACTGACAAGTTTTGTAGCAAAGTTTCATTAAACTTTGACGTCAAATGATTAAAACAGACAGCTGGAGAAAACAAGACAATCTTCCATCTGAAAATGAGCTCATATCATGATGTCTACTTTGCTTAGTTGAGCTAAATACCAATTATGTGTAGAATACTTACAAAGTCAACTCTGTCCTCTGCTAGCCAATGGAAACATTTCAGAAAAAGTAGAAGAGTAAATGAAGCCACAAATTTTGGACTAAAGTCATCACGAAATACTGTAAATGCCAGACAAGTCTCTGTTACAGCATACCATGACCTTTCAATCAGATGCTAAAAGTAATAAAACAAAGCATGTTTCAACATATGATTATTCTGACTCTAACAAAAATGAATATCCAGAACAGAGTGATTAAGGTCAATGACTTCAAACCACTTGGCCCCCACCACTTTAGGTTTGAATCCCACCAAAATCAACTTGATTACAGATCTTCAGTAGAACCACTGAGTCAGGTGCCTTTTTGTGCATTAAATAATGTATGTAAGAGCACCCAAGTTGTTCCAGCACCAGTAAAGCTGGAGATTTACCATATCAACTTTACTATGTTGGTGTGATGTCAAACCAAACAAAAAATCCACAAATGACTGTCAATTTTGTAAATTTTTCCTAATACTACTTTCAAAGGAGAGTCTTTATATTCTTTTTTGTATTTGCTTATTATCTGAGCAATATTTCATTACTGAGAGAAATCAAGATCATTCTTGCATTCTATTCACAGATATAAACAAGAACGTGTTTGGTAAACCATAAACACAAATGCCCCAAGTCCAGATTCTTGTCAGTAACATACTAACAAGTTTTCAAACAAGAGGGCCAAGATAGCCCTTGATCGCTCACCTGACCCATCAAACTCATTCGAACAATTACCTAGACAAGAATTCTGACCAAGTTTCATGACAGGTGAGTCAAAAATGTGACCACTAGAGTGTTAACAAGGATCATCCATATTTGAGCAGTGTGACCTAGTTTTTGACCCCAGGTGACCCATATCCTAACTTGACCTAGAAATCATCAAAACAAACTTTCAGACCAATTTCCAGGATACTTGGATCAAAACAGTAGCCACTAGAGTGTTAACAAGATTTTTCTATTTTTAGCTCCTGTGACCTAGTTTTTCATCCAAGATGACCCATGTTCGAACTTTTGCGAGCAATTACCTAAACAAGCATCCTGAAAAAGTTTGATGATAATTGTGTCAAAAATGTGACCACTAGAGTGTTAACAAGGTTTTTCCGTATTTGGGCGGTGTGACCTAATTTTTCATCCTAGATGACCCATGTTCGAACTTGACCTAGAAATTATCAAAACAAACTTTCAGACCAATTTCCAGGATATTTGGATCAAAACAGTAGCCACTAGAGTGTTAACAAGATTTTTCTTTTTTTAAGCTCCTGTGACCTAATTTTTCTTCCAAGATGACCCATGTTCGAACTCATCTGAGCAATTACCTAGACAACCATCCTGACCAAGTTTGATGACAATTGAGTCAAAAATGTAACCACTGGAGTGTTAACAAGGTTTTCCTATTTCTAGCACCTGTGACCTAGTTTTTCATCCGTTATGACCCATGTTCGAACTCATCCGAGCAATTACTAGACAAGCATCCTGACCAAGTTTGATAATGATTGAGTCAAAAATGTGACCACTAGAGTGTAAACAAGGTTTTTCTATTTTTAGCACCTGTGACCTAGTTTTTCAGCCGAGATGACCCATGTCCGAACAGTTCTGAGCTATTACCTAGACAAGCATTCTGACCATGTTGACTGAGTCAAAAATGTGACCACTAGAGTGTTAAAAAGGTTTTTCTATTTTTAGCTCCTGTGACCTAGTTTTTCATCTGAGATGACCAATGTTCAACTCATCCGAGCTATTACCTAGACAAGCATCCTGACAAAGTTTGATGATGATTGAGGCAAAAATGTGACCGCTAGAGTGTTAATGAACAAGTGTGGACGGACGACAGACGACGGACATTCAACGATCCTAAAAGCTCCCCCTGAGCTAGCTCAGGTGAGCTAAAAAGGTTAAACCATTCACTCAGTTATGGACAGATAAATTGCAAAAAACAAATCATGCCCACGGGCCGAATATCAAGCCCACTTATCTTAATTCAAACCTGAACTTACAAGCTTCAGATCAAAAAGAAAGATGTATACATAGGTGAGAAGTGCGCAACACATCCTCTTTACACAGTTATGTAACTTGACAATATCATGTACTTTGTATTGATATTATGAAACCATTAGTATGATAGAAATTAAGATAAATCCAACTTGCAGGTTTCGGTTAACCTAGAACTGACAAACGTAAGTTCTAACAAGACAGTACTTATGTGGCTATTCTATTGTTCTCTCTATTGTTCTTTTCAGCCACATAATGGAAAATCGCAACACAAAAGCGTTACAGAATGAATGACATCAAAGAGACAGTACAGTTACCTGTTGTTTCTCTAGCCACATAAATATCCAAATGTAAGCTCATGGGGACAGTTCAATTACAATATACCCGTGAACATAAAATTTTGAAAAAGATGAAAATGTGTTGAGTTATGCAAGATTTGAATTCAGGATTATCACTTATTGGTTAAGGTAAAATGTTGTATTTCAACATCAAAATATAAACTGAAATGTGAACAGTACTTTCTAGTCAGACGTATGGATGATCAAACAGCCTGAATTAAAAGCATTTATAAGTGGTACAAGCAGTCAACAGTTATAATGAACAATGAACAATTCTAACAAATGAACTTTCATTACCTCCATTTCAGCAGCCCTTAACTGACCAAAGAAAATTTTACGGAACAGCTTCCCCATGAGTATTACAAACACAAATGCTTGTAAGTAGAGTACCTGAAAGACAACAAGATTAGTTTTAATATATATATTATATGGTTTGGTTTGTCAAAATGGTAACGATTTGCCCCACTGATGATTCATCCAATCTTAGTGATTATTTGCCCCAGATTTACGAAGATCCAACCCCCCACTTCAAAATTATCATTCAATTCACACTTTTACATTATTTGAATTGAGAAATGATAAGAATAAATGAATGTTTAGGTATACTTGTGAAATAAAATGATCTCTTTATTTAAATTTAAGAACAGAAATTGGTCAATTTAAAAGTTGGGTTATTAATATTAAATATAACTACTAACAATTTGCTCCAGTTCAGTGTTCAATAATTATCATGGCACAATGTTCTAAATCATTCTCCTTCAAGAATATTTAAGTTAAATATATAATACTTTTATTTGCTGAGAAAAGGAATAGTTTTCCTGGTTGGTGGTATGCACTAAAATACTACTTCCGTTAGTTTCAGGAATTGTGTTACTTTATAAATATCAATTTCTAGGTTAAGAAAACTACATTGTATATATACAGGGCTCTAGCTAGTCCAAAATTTTAGGGAGAAGTGACTTCTCCCTAAGCTCCTATCTGACTTCTCCCTCAGCTCCTATCAGGGAGAAGTTTGAAGACATAGGAAGAAGTGAAAAGGTGCTAGGCGCATTGATTTGATCTTTAAAAAGATGTTTTACCTATTTACTTAGTAACATTAATATTTAAATTATATTTAGTGTTTGAAATTTCATTTTTTGTCTAATAGGATTGCAGTATTTCAAATGAATCGTAACACATTTACATTGGTAAATCGTCAAACTGTTAATCAGTCTAGAAAAAAAACAATTTAAAACACTAAGCTGGTTAAAATTTTATAAGTATGTATTAAAAAAATAAAATTGGTCGTGCGGCTGTTATTTTAAAAAAAATGTCAGAGTAGGGATCTATCAATTGCATGAATAATTAGATTTAAGGCCTTCAGTAAATGGTCTGTCTTGTTGATCAAATACAATGTAAAACCAAAAATTATGATTTCCAAAAAAAAATGCATTCCATTTCTTTAAATCTGTTTTCTTTCTTATATACATTTGCTAATTTCTTTTATAGAATTGATATTAATGTTGTGAGTACAGTAAAATATCAAAGCACAGAAGGCACTGAATTTGTTTGGGTCTCAGAATGTCAGAATGAAGGTTGTGAGATTATCAACCAATTTGTTTTTGCATATAGCCAACAATGCTTTCCAGTGTTTTAATTGTAGTAAATTGTCTATAAGACTAATTGCAACACTGATATTCAATTCAATGTTTATTTGACTTAAAAAAAGAAGAAACTAGAAATGTGTCATCATGCCACGGATGCCCCCGCATGCAGCCAAAATTTCAAATGTTATAATATTTAGTTCCAAATTTGTTTGCACAAATTATTTTTTTCATTCTAAGTTCAAAGCCCTTAAAACTTTTCAATGTTAACACAAACCATTTTTATACAATGTTCAAGGCACTGAAATTATTCAGTCTTAACCATTTTTATACAATGTTCAAGGCACTGAAATTATTCAGTCTTAACCTTTTAAAAATAGCATATTGCATATTTGTAGCCAACATAATGGCTATATACATTTCCACAAAAGTATGAGTGCTGAAACTGAAAGTTCAAAATTTTTCCAACATTCAGGAAAGATAAGTTTGTCCAAAATAATTGAACCACGACCAAATTCAAACTTAAACTGCTTATTCCTAAGATGTATCTATATTATTTTCAAAGTGAAAGGGACATAACTCTGCCAAAAAATCATCAAACCATGACCAAATTCCAAATTGACCTGCGCATTCCTTTGACATATCCATATGTCAATTTTGAGTTGAATATGTAACACTGTTTGGGAGATAATAAACGGAAACTGAAAATTTCATATCATTTTCAAAGTGAAAGGGGCATTACTCTGCCAAAAATCATTGAACCATGACCAAATTCGAACTTGGCCTGCGCATTCCAAAAACATATCCATATGTCAAATTTGAGTTGAATGTGTAATACTGTTGAGGAGATAATAAACGGAAACTGAAAATTTCATATTATTTTTAAAGTGAAAGGGGCATAACTCTGCCAAAAATCATCGAACCATGGCCAATTTTGAACTTGACCTGCGCATTCCTTTGACGTATCAATATGTCAAATTTGAGTTGAATGTTTAATACTGTTGGGGAGATAATAAACAGAAACTGAAAATTTCATATTATTTTCAAAGTAAAAGGGGCATAACTCTGCCAAAAATCATCGAACCATGACCAAATTTGAACTTGGCCTGCGCATTCCTTTGACGTATCGATATGTCAAGTTTTGAGCTAAATGTGTTGTACGATTGGGGAGATAATGAACGGAAACTGAAAATTTCATATTATTTTCAAAGTGAAAGGGGCATAACTCTGCCAAAAATCATTGAACCATGACCAAATTTGAACTTGACCTGCGCATTCCTTTGACGTATCCATATGTCAAGTTTGAGTTGAATGTGTTGTACCATTGGTGAGTTAATGAATGGAAACTGAAAATTTCATATTATTTTCAAAGTAAAAGGGGCATAACTCTGCCAAAAATCATCGAACCATGACCAAATTTGAACTTGACCTGTATTTTCTCATGACATATCAATATGTCAAGTTTGAGTTGAATGTGTTGTACCGTTGGGGAGATAATGAACGGAAACTGAAAATTTCATATTATTTTCAAAGTAAAAGGGGCATAACTCTGCCAAAAATCATCGAACCATGACCAATTTTGAACTTGACCTGTATTTTCTCATGACATATCCATATGTCAATTTTGAATTGAATGTTTTGGACCGTTTGGGAGATAATGAACGGAAACTGAAAATTTCATATTATTTTCAATGTAAAAGGGGCATAACTCCAAAAAATCATCGAACCATGACCAATTTCGAACTTGACCTGTATTTTCTCATGACATATCCATATGTCAAATTTGAGTTCAATATGTGCAAGGGTTATTAAGATAATGAACGGAAACTGATGATGACGGAAGGACGGAATGACGGAACAGGGTAACACTATATGCCCCTGCCATTATATGGCGGGGGCATAAAAAAATGAGTTGCCACAACTGGGATGTGAACTCGAGACCTCTCGATTCATAAGCGAGCGTGCAAACCCCTCGGCCACGGTGAAGTTATATAATAATGGCCTGACGAAAACCATATTATTTTAAATTAGGGTTTGTAACTCTTATTATTTCGACGCTAAACACAGATGTAAATAGTCATGGAGTTTACTGTAAGCATGTATATCTATAAAGAATGAAACAATATTAGAAATCTTCGACCATTAGGGAACTACTTTGCTTGAAAATTAATGCGCCTGTCATTTGACAATTTTTACGCATTGATTACCCCTGAATTTTTCGGCGTTAGTGTACATATAAAGGGAAGTAACCGTTTCAAAAAAGTGGACTACTTTAGGCATTTGCAATTAACAACATTAGGCCCTGAAATTTCGCTACCATTATTTGTTTGGTCTGACGACCCAAAGAAATAAAAATTACCAAAAGCAAAAACAGATTTATTCTACATTCTTTTGTCACATTTTAACAGGTGTTTAAATGATCATGTTTTAATGAATTAACCAACCATCAATCTGTATTTTTGGTGCCTGTTATTCAAAGAACACCAAAGACGTTGCCGACTTTTAACTAGATGCACATATAACTGTATCGAGCCATTTACTCAAGCTCCCATTGTGTATTAATTTATATGTAAATAAATTTAACTGGCGATGTGATGTTGTATGTAGTTACTGTCAAATATGGTACATATATGACCGATTCAGAGTGTAGACTTTTAAAACTCGCTGATTAAAAAGTGGCAGTTATCATATAATTACGCACAAATAATTGTGATGTTTACATCAATATGTCTGATGGATTACGCTTAGTTAAAAAGTACCTAATTTAAAAAATATTCGCCTATTGTTTAGGCATACTCTCTACACTTCGCCGCCCTTTAACTTCAAGCACGAATTATTACCGCGATTCAGAATAAGATCATTATTTTTTACATGGTTTAATGATGGCATTGCAAAAAAATGTTTATTGATTGATAAAAAACTTTTAAAGAAATTCATGTTTGAAATGTGTCTTTATTTCTGTGAATTATTTCCAAATGATTTGTACATTTTTTATTTGATTACCTGTATATTAGTATAAATATAGTAAATATTCTACTAATAAGTGTATTAAATATATTTTCAGACCATTCTAGACAAGCATTCCTATAGATGAATTCATTAGATTGGCAAGGAAGAAACTTTTATTGGCATAGAGAACAGCTGTTTTATAATATTATTTTTTATTTTCAAACATAATTTTTTCATGGTTATCCTTAACAATTCACGTCAAATGATTTATTTATCACATGTTTATTTTCATTATTTTTCAGAGAGAGCACTATACAAATTTAGTTGTATATTTTCAATTTCATTTATAAATGTTAATAAAGAAAATAGATTTACATTGTATTTATATATATCCTCTTCAGAATCATTTTCTTACCACATATGCCATGGACTGTAGTTAAAGAACGCGCATATACAAAATATACATTCAAATTCTATTTGTTTTCGAAGATTGAGTGTTGCAATTATCACATGTAACCTGGTAATGAAAGTTTGGAAATAAAGTTTTTTAATTATCACTTACCCCCTTCAAAAGTAATTAAACTTGAAAAAAATTTAAGCGATGTGTAAAAAATAATCAACAGTTACTTTTATTTCGCAAAATACTGACTCAAACTGTAAAGATTTTTATTGTTTTTCTAGCGTTACATTAAAAAGTATCATTTATATCTTTCTACAGGCATTCAAATAAAAAGAATAATTGAAATATACGGATTAAAATATACGAGTGACATTAAAAAGGCCGGAATCGAGACAGCCTGACACGAGAGAACTTAACTGTTACGATGATTGTCTACTTCACTGCACCGACATTTGAAAACAGATTTACAAAAAATAATAATGATATAAATGATGAATGAAATTTAAATATTCTATGAATATTGCAATATTGACAATCTCGGCAATATTTTGTACTAAAAAATGAATAAATTTTCTTCACGTGTAAAGGCCGCAATACATTACCCGTAAAACAATTGTGCGTTAATAAATTTGACTACATAACCCAATAAATCTTAAATATTGCATCTTTGATCATCTGTGAATAACTTACATCGGCTTCTTTTTTATTTTGAAACTGAAAGTATTATGGTAACGTAATAATAAATTTCAAATACCTGCTTTTTATATAAAAAATGTAAATTTACCGCGGATTTCGTCAAGTTAATTTTTTAACAGTCGTTGCGGACAGATAAACTGTACCTTTAAAATATAAATTAGATATTTGAATTAAACAAGTATTTTTCTTCAAAATAAACTTTAAATCTCCAAAATCGGATAATAAATGGAAAAGCTGTATGGTATTTTGTAAAGTAGGTATCCGTTGCGAACGGGCATTTACGCTTAGTGCCGGTAAATTATCGATCGATGTACCTTTATCGGGTGCACGACAAGATATTAAAGCATTTATATAGGGTTAACTGGGAGTGTCCGATCCCTGTAATATAAATCCGTGGTTACACCCGGAGGTGTAGATTAAATTTATTGACAAGAAATGATCTGTACATGCCTGAAGTAAAAAAGAGCGGAAAAGTCAATTTGCTTTGTTGTTCAAACTCAAAGAAGTTCAGAAATTTTAGGCGACTTAGTCACCTCTAATTGCCCAGTTCGAAATAGAAAGTGTGTGTGTGCTTCAGACCGAATGACTTTTGAATTGAAACAAAAATTCAACAGGAAAAGATTTTGTCTGGTAAACTGATAGTCCGGTAAATATGAAGGATCCCAGTAGTGATTACAGGTGTATGCCATTCTGTTGGGTTAACCTTTATTTTAACCACGTTGTTGAGTGTCTGTTTTGTAACCCGATCACTGCCAGAGGATTTTTCAAGTTTACAATATAAACATCAAAAATAAACGAAAAATCAATTGCTTTTACAACCGGAAATGGTTGTCGAAGGCAAATTTTGCGGATGAAAGTGAAATTTATGCCTAAAACTTACCGCCATACTGGGATTGGACTTGGTGATGTAAACAACGGATGGATAAAACTGTCTTTTCTGATAAAAAGCATTTCCAACAACAGATGCAGTTAACGCAAAACTTCCACAGGTTAACATAAAAGACTTCATTTCTTGCATTTTTCTTATTTTTTGACAGCCAAAACAACAATGGTTGAATTTCCGGTTTAATAGGTTGGTTAAACCAAATACCATAAACCATCTAAAAGACCCAAAACTACCACAATTCTACACTTCTTGCCCTCAGCCCTCAGGCCATGTTTAACAGATGAACTGTAATCATGAACCATATCCTTTTGCTTGTAAAATGAATGTTACTGTAAATAATCAAAATTAACATATAAAAACTTTATTTGTTGTACAGTAAACTTTCTAAAAAAAATATTGTATGAGGGGTTAAGTGTATACTAACTTCTTACTAATTTATTTTTTGTTGGGGGGGGGGGGGGGGGAAGAGAAGGGGATGAGTTGCGAAGAGTCTTCAAAATTTGAGCGGTGAAATGTCTGGGAGTAATTGTCTGAAATAAAAGTCTCTTGTATCATACTGTACTTTATTTAAGTTTTATTTTATCATAAAACACAAGTATTTCTTACGGTAATGTAATTAGAGGTCAGTATATAAAAATAAAAAAATATTCAGACAGATCATGGTTATTATAATTCTTAAACAGGTATTTTTCTGTGTAAAGGGCAAAAATACTAGGATCTACACAAAGTTCATCGATCCACGCCAGTCCCACGATAATTAATATGAGAAAACAAGATAATCCATTTATTTTATTTTATTCATTCATTTTTTCTTTTTCTTTTTTAAATGTTGACATTAAATACTGATGCAGAAATTGAACATTAAATTTAAATGTTTAAATTTATCACATGTGCTTTTTTCTTTTCTTTTATCACTTGGTAAATTTTTGGTAGTCTTTGGGTGTATTTGGGTAAATAGACCAAACAAGTGTGTAGTCTTCCCCTTTCGCTACGCAAATACTTGTTAGATGCCGGGAACCAGAATAACAAGTGTGTCGTTATTTGATTTGCCAGCTCGATTTCACGGACAACTTTTCCGCGCAACGTCAAAATATCTTACTTCTGTCCCAGACACCGTATTTTTCTGTCATTCAAAATGGACAGCAAGCCTGTAAACGAGACGAAAACAGAAGATTGTTTGCTCAAAACAAGGTAAAATCATCATTTCTTCTTTTTCATCGAATGTGCCATACAATTTGAAACTTATTTATCTTTGCTATATGCAAAATGCTCCACTAACTAAGTCAGGATAGTGAAAACATTTAGTGTATTCTGAAAAAAAATCTTGCTTTGATTATGAAATATAACGTCTTATTTTGTCCGTTCGATTCAGTCAATATATTTGTCAAGATACAATATAAATATGTACACTATTGTCGTTTGAACAAGTTACACCACATAAATAACCCGTTTTTGTATATTTGGTATGATTTTTATGTTTCCACGTGTGTATCTTAAGGCACCGCACAACTTTGTCAATCATAAGATTAGGACACCGCTTCATTCGTCCTTAAAATACCGCATTTTTATGTTTTAACACCGTTTATTTTGGACATTTGAAAAAATGTTAATGTTTGCTTTCAGAAAAAAGAGACGTTCAAACCTATGTCTGAACAAACCAAAGCAATGTGCGAAATTAGCAAAACTACATATACTTTCAACAGATACTGAAGCACCTGGAGAGCGTCCAAGTTTTCTTGTATCAGCAGTACGCCAATTGATCAGATCCACCCTGTATTTCAGGACGATATGCTAAACGCAACACAAACACCGCAGGGAACGTGTTACAGTATCGCGCTTTCTGGTAACAGTATAGAATTTTCAAGATGGAGGATTATTTGTGGGGAAGACGGGTAGGTGATTTTTTTTCCGGTCCATACTACAATTATTAAGTAGTTCAGTTTCTAAAGGATGTGCTTGTGCTTTGCTTGTAAGGAACTGGATCCGGTATCTAGTCATTTATTTCTTCAGACCCTACACCGCAGATTTTTCTCTATATTTCCTCATATAATTATATGCACATTTGACGGTTTGAAAATTTGAATCGAAAGACCAACGCATTTTTCTCTAATTCCGACATTATTTAAGCATGTCTACAAAAAGTAAACATACAAAACGTTAGTCTTTTGTGTTTAGAAACGTTTATAAAAGCAAATGACCAGTTGAACCTATTTTCCTGTTCGTTAAATGCGTTTGAAAAAATAAACAGAGCGAGGTGAGTTTTGCAGGGTTACAGTGTAGACCGAGCGACTTTGATTCGATTTTGTTACAGTATATACCCAAATTTCGGTTACAGTTTAGATACTTGCCAAATTGCAAATAAAGTTTGTGAATCCAATATTTGATAAAATAACCCATACCTTTCTATTTAATATATTCCTAAAAAGTTGTATTATTGCCATTTTTTCTTCAGCAGAAAAGTTAGTTTAGTTTATACAAATTTATTTTAGTTCGATTGTGTTGGAAGCTATAAGCTGATTGAAACACTCTCGAATTCGTTCCTGGAACCAACCAGTACTAAGCAATGAATGTAAAGTTTCTTGCTCAAGGAAACAACGGCTCCCTTTGACAGGGTTTGAACCCACGCGGTCAGCAATCCTTAATTAGATTACTAGTCCGACGCGTTAACCACTCGGCCACGCCGCCACTCCTGCCATTATGATAAGCAGAAAAGTTACAGTTTGAAACACACATTATAATGCATATTATTAGTTATAAACTAGAGAAAAGGAAAGTACAACACGGCAAAGTTGAAAATGTTGCAGACTCGATTTGTTTGAGCCTGTTCATAACTGCAAGCTACCGTCCACGCCTCCTAGCACCAGCTTAAGCAGAATTTGACATGAACTGGTAAACTTAAGAATTATTTTAACATCTGTAGATGTGTTCATATGGCGGCTATCATGGAACCTTCATTGTGACACATTAGTGCCATTTCATGAAAAGCGGCATATTGTCCCAAAGATTAAAAATTGCGTGTGTCCTAAACGAGAACACAATGGGTGAAACTAAATAAAATAGAATTTTTGAAAGGGGATCGGAGGTTATGAAGCCTGCATACCACAGATAACCTGTCAAAAGACACAATTTAAAAGCAGGAAACATACCTTAAGGGTGATTAAACAGTAATCAAGTGAGAAATACTGCAACCTTAAAACTTATTTTAAGTATTTAAAAAGGGTGATTACTTTTTTCACCGATAATAAGGTCATGTGAAAACATTCCTGCTTTACTGTATAATAATCCTTTATGAAACATTTCAGACAAGAGCGGGCACCTGACTAGAACCACCGACAATCCGTAAACTAGCTTGCTTAATTCCTCATATACAAGGAATCCAACGTCATGGCGGAATTCAACCACAGCAGTAAAAGAAAGATGATTTGAAGTCGGCGACCTTAACCCGACTCTGCCACTATTATGTACCTCCAGGCTCTATGGAAAATATATTGTAATTGTCTGACCTTTGTGCTCGATATCTTTCAATATTATTTTCCTTTTCAGAAACATAAAAACTTTCATACAGAATGTCTGTAATAAAAAAAACGACTTTTAATCCAACAATGACAAAATAATTCCCATTTCAACAAGGAAGCATTCGAAATGACGCCAGGGTCATGATTTGGTCTTTCTATGCAAAATGCTTCACAGCGAATGCTTTTTGGTTTGGGAGAAGAATGACTTATATTGCCTCTTTTAAAAATCTATATTTTTGGTTTTCGTATCCCAGATTGCAACCGAAACCATTTGAACAACTGGTAGAAATGCATGTACATTTCATCAAATCTGGCCAAGTACATGTAGTTACTGAGCGGATGTTATTGGACACACATGTGCACGACAGACGGACGAATAGTCATCGGGACAATAAGCTTAGATTTAAGAGTCTATAATATCATTTATACATTTTACCTAGTATATATAGAAAATATCGAGGTCTAAACTGTAACCGAAATCTGGGTATAAACTGTAACAAAATCAGATAAAAATTGCTAGGTCTATGCAATAACCCTGCACAATTCACCTCGCTCTATACTGTAACATTGTTTATTTTTTCAAACGCATTTGAAGAACAAGAAAATAGGTTCAACTGGTCATTTACTTTTGTAAACGTTTCTAAACACAAAGGACTAACGTTTTGTAAATTTAGTTTTTGTAGACATGCTTAAATAATGTCGGAATTGGAGAAAAATGCGTTGGTGTCTCGATTCAAATTTTCAACCTGTCAAATCAGCACATTTATGAGACAATATAGAGATAAAACTGCGGTGCAGGGTCTGAAGAAATATATGACTAGATACCTGATCTAGTTCCTTATATGCAAATTACAAAAACATCTTTTAGAAACTGAACTATTTGTAGTTTGGACCGGAATAAAATCACCTACCTGTCTTCGCCACAAATAATCCTCCATCTTGAAATTCTATACTGTAACCGGAAAGCGCGATACTGTAACACGTTCCCTACGGTGTTGTCAGGGCCTAAAATAAAATTTCATTTCTACCCAAAAGATTTTTTCAGGTTTTTAGTGGATGAAAGTATATCGAGTACAAAAGGTACAATCTAATCTGATATTTTAGACAGCTAGTATAGTTAATAAATTGTTGCATATGTCAGTATTTGAATATTTTAATGCATGTACATATACTATTGCACTTAATAAATTTCATTATACATATATGCAGATTATTTATTATTATGCACATACAAAAAAGATTTCCTACCTATCTACCCAACCCTAATTTTAATAGGTCGGGAAGGGGAAACAAACATATTTCTAATTTTGGCCAAAGAAAAAGAGTATGAAGACAATCTTTCGTAAAAGGTTGTTTAAAAAAGCACCTTAATTGGAGACCATGACTGAGGAAATTATTGCCCTGGTTCTTGCAAAAACCACCATGAAAATTTATGTTATGACGTTTGCAACTTTATCAAATTAGTATCATAAGAAATTCTGCTAGGGTTTGAGGAAAATGGCGAAATTACTTTAAAAGAAAGCACCGAATTCATAAAGCAACGTTCCCAACAATGGTTCGATTTAAGGAATCATTTCAAACTAACTGGAAGTAAATTATTTAAGGTTTTACGTCCTGATACTCAAGTCTCAATCAGCACATTGATAAGCTCAAAAATCCGTCAAAAAGAGAATGAGCCAATATCT